AAGGCATTAATTCATACTAACATTACAAGAATTGTCCTACTAAAATCGCATGGGGAAGTTTCATGCGGCACAAGCATGTGTCATGATGCTGAAGTCCGCAACGTTTTTATAAACGAAAACGAAAAAATAATTAGACAATATCTATTACTTTGGGTTAAAATTAAAGTTATTCGGGGATAACTGGTTTTTATAAAAGTATTAATTTCTGGAAAGTTTGTGCAAATCAAAATTAGAGATAAATTGACATGAAAAAATAATTCTATTTTAATTTTTCGTTTTTGAAAACGTTGCGGACTTCAGCATCATCATGTGTCTTCATGTTGCAAAAGCATGTTTTTTCTCTCCGTGTACGCATGACATTTTTTCCGTGTCATAAAATTGACGTAAAGTTTAACTTTTATTGTAAAATACTAAAAGTCATGTAATAGTTTATTGAAGTAAATATTATTAATTGTTGAAACATGTCACTTAATGATGACATTGCGAATTACATTTCAATATTAAAATGAGTTTAAAAAATCGTCAACGAATATTTCAAGTTCCACTATTTATATCTTTTCAATCCATTCATTGATTTTTGAGGTGTAGTCTTTTTTAAGCTAATCTCCAAGTTTATATATGACATCACCCTAGGTTCTTGAGAAATTTGACCTTGAAAATTATTGAAAACCGCTGTTTTGGAGTATTTTTCGGTTTTTATATTTGAACAAAATTTTTTTTTGCTCATTAAACATATACACTTAAAAGGTAATATCCTCCTCAACATTTTTTAATTTTGACCTTTTAAAAATTTTTATTTGTCTATGAGTTATGAATTTGACATCGAATTTTTAAAATTCAAATTGGCGGATACAATATGGCAAGTACTTGAATTTTTTCTGCTCTTCTATACAATTTGAAGCACCTGTTTCGTTTTAGAGTGTTTAACATTGTAGTGCGTATCTCATACATAGATAACTCTCATAGAGAAATAAATATGTTTAAAAGATCAATATTGGAAAATGTTATTGAAAATAAGAGCTTTCAAGTTCATATATTCTATGACCGAAATAAATGTTTTTTCAGCTGATTAGTCTAAGAGTTTTCAAGAATTGTTACTTTCCTCTTCGGTTACTTATACGTAATTTCCTGGAATCAGGATAGAAATTTTTCCTACACAGGTTAAGTTAAGTGAATTAAGTCACATATCGAAAACCACAATAATTTTCAATTACAGCAAAACTGCATGAGGAAAAATTTTGTTTGCTTATTACATTCTATAACTATTAGAAGTAAATATGAATCATTCGATTGACAATTTCATTGTAAACTGGTGTAATGAATATTTAATAGTAATAAAATATTTATTAATTAATTAAATTTATGAAGATTCAACACTATTGGCAGTTTATGACTTTTTTATATTATTGCGGAATTAAAACGATTTTTGCGTCTTAAAGTCGATTCAAATATGAGTTCAATACATGTAATAAAAAAGATTAAAAGCCATTACGTTTATTTTATTTTTAAATAATTTTTTGTATTTTTATCAATTTTTTTTTACAAATATCGCTTCTTATATTTGCCACTTTTATTTTTCATTTATAAAATAATAATCCCTTAACGGTGGAAGACGACTAGTAAAACTCTGCTCTCTAAATCTGAATAAGTGAAATTAACATTTAATTATAATGAAAACATTAGTTGGTTCAATGAAGAAAATGGACGCCATTTTTGAGAGCACACGTTTCCTTAAGTAAACATTAAAATGTTTGCATATCCATTTCATATAATTAATTTCACTGTACACATTGCGTCAAAATTGTGAAATGTGTGTTTAAATAATTTTAAAACTAACTAATAATTTATAATGACATATAGTGATCATTTTTATTAAACTGTGTTAATTTTCAATATATAGTGAAACATTTTGTGTCCGTTATTTATTGAATTAATGAAATGTACTATTATATAGTTAAAACTATTTTAAATATTTTGATTTGTTTTATGTAGTAAAACTATATAATAAATGTAAATAAAAATATGTAAGGAAACATTTGTTAAGTGATTCAATTGCAAAAATGTTAACATTGGATACAATAAATTATATAATTATAATTAATTTCTTTTATTTAATACCATAAAACTACATATTATTTAGTATAATTAAACAGAGTAGTGTGTTTCAATCCAACAATTAGTTAAACTAACTACAGAACGTAGTATATTTTACTAAGAAAATTAGTAAGCCTGACTAATGAAATTACTGTGTTTTAAGCCAATTAGTTAAACTAACTAAAGATAATAGTATATATTACTTACTAAATTAGTTAGCCTAACTAATGAGATTAGTGTGTAGGACTACATCAATTAGGTAAACTAACTAAAGAGTCTGACTATGACTAGAGCCTTTAGTAAGTGTAACTACGCTGCTTACCCAGTGGGAAATTGCCAAGGCTGAAAATTGGCTAAATATTGGACCAAGACTGGAAGTGTAGAGACCAATGCCAAGTCTCAAATTTCAATATTGGCCCAATATTCAACCAATATTCAAAAATACAAAAAAACAGAATTCAGCGAAGATTAAAAAAATTAATTATTAAAACTAAAATATAATAAAATTTTTGGTTATATTTATATATAATAACATTATTATTTCCCTTCGGATAAAGGTTTATATATAAAATCATCCGCAATAAACAGAGAAAAAGAAAAAAATATTTTCTAACGTCCTGCTAGGCATTAACAATTATCAGCTGAATAAAAGAGATATTGTAAAGATTCTGTACATATCGCGAATACTTATACCCTAACCGATTGATGTTGTTTATGAGAGAGAAAAACACTGTCGGTTTTAGTGAAAAAAATCAAAAAAACGACTGTCTGCTAATAAGCGGCTGGGGCTGCTGCCTATTAATTTTTCCAAAAAAAATTCTTGCTGATAAAAAACTTGTTAATAAACATACCCAGAAGTTTTTCCAACAAGAAAATCAAAAATTCATTGAGAAATATATTTTTTGAGTCGGTTTTAATGAAAAAAACCAAAAAAAAAAACGCTAACAAGCAGCTGGGGCTGCTGGCTATTAATTATTTTATTTATTAATATATTTTTATTTTTATTTTTGGAAAACCTTCTTGGAATGTTTATTAGCAGGTTTTTTATTTGCAAGAATTTTTTTTGGAAAAATTAATAGCCAGCAGCCCCAGCCGCTTGTTAGCAGACAGTCGTTTTTTTGATTTTTTTCACTAAAACCGACTCAAAAAATTTATTTATTTATTTTTTTTCAGAAAATTAATAGTCAGCAGCTCCAGCCGCTTGTTAGCAGACAATAGTTTTTCATTAATTATTATTGTTTGATTATGTACAAGTTCAGCTGCTGAACATGTACATTTTTTTTACAAGATCTTGTACAGGGTTTTTCAATAGGGTACAGAATCTTTACAATATCTCTTTTATTCAGCTGATAATTGTTAATGCCTAGCCAGGACATTAGAAAATATTTTTTTTTTTTTCCGTTTATTGCGGATGATTTTATATAAAGTAACCCTTGATCCGAAGGGAAATAATAATTTTATTATATGTAATAAAATATAATATATAAATATAACAAAAAATTTTATTATATTTTAGTTTTATTAATTAATTTTTTTAATCTTGGCTGAAGTCTGATTTTTTATATTTTTGAATATTGGGCCAATATTGAAATTCGAGCCTTGGCATTGGTCTCTACACTCCCAGACTTGGTCCAATATTGGCTAAAATAATAGACCAAGATTAGCAAAAGTGCTCCCAATAATGGACCAATATTCAGCCAATCGTGCTTTTCCCACTGGGTTAGTGTGCCCATATTTCACTACGCCGAATAGTAAGTCTAACTAGATATTCAGTTAGGCTAACTGTTCCTTTTTCTTCGTGTGCGTACGATATATCTTCAAATTTATATTATTATATTTTTATGAATCAGTATGATTGAGAGTACTGTTCCTACATATATGCTATATGTTTGTGGAAGATGTTAAATCACCTTCAACTCTAAAAAAATATGCGTTGTGGAAAATAAATAGCAGTTTCGTTAAAGATTTACCTTGAAAAGTATTGAATTTATTAATGAAAAGATGTTATTAGATTACATTCTCGTCAAATGAGTCACTTTCTCAACAGATATTTACGTTGAAAAGTGCTCTGATAGCAAAAATCCAGTTTTGATGAGAGTGTCTGCCTGTTTGTCAAGTGTCAGCTAATTTGCACTATAATTATAAAAAAAAAATCTTTCCTGAGTCATACATCAAAATACTCTACATTTCCAGAAAATAAAATTTACATTCCATTTTCAAGGGATATAGTTTGGTTTTCGAGACATTAACCGCTTTCTTTTATAGGTCAGGTTTGCCCCATTCTTTGGGATAAACCGGTAATACCTCAATTTTAAGCTTTTAATTGCGTTCCACCTTAAATTTAAAGGAACTAAAACAATAAGAAAATGTCTCGGTGGGCACAAAACGTTCTATGTTCCAATAATGTTCTCACAACGTTCTTAGAATGTTAATGTCAGCTCACATAACGTTCTAAAAATGTTTGAAATAATTTTAATAATGTTGGAAGGAGTAAATAAAACACTAAACCGATATACATAAATATGAATTTTTTAAATCAAACATTGGCTTATATTAAAAAATATTAATTTTGAATTTTAGTAAGAAAAAACAGTAAATATTTTCTATTTCTAAAAAAATCTCAATACCTAAACCAAAATTTTATCCAAATTAGTTGCAGCTACAATTTTATTGCTTTATTAACACTTTTTTGAACAATTTTCAGAGTAATTAAAAGTCATGTTATTTTTGTATGTCTAATAACAACATTTTCATAAACAAAGCACATTCTTCTATAGTATAAAAATTTTCCAAGAAACATATAATATATAATTTTTTAAACATATTTCTTAATATCTGTAATTTAATTATGAATAATATTTATATAATTTTCCGTTTGATTTATGTGTTAGAATTCATGTACTTACGAATTTCTGCAACAATGCATGTTGACAAAAGTAAGATACTGAACAAAGTGAACATGTTGTTTAATGAGTGGAATATATAATATAATTTGTCAACAACGTACAGTTTTACACTGTTAATAGTTGATTCTGAAGAATCGTATTTATATATTCGAGGCTACCTGATGGCCTTACAATTATTCTGAATCAGTAAGTTCAAGGTTACACCTAGAAACAACCTATCCTTATGGTCCGCACAATCCCCCACTAAAAGTGTCACAACATTTATACAAACACTGATAGAGTACTACAAACACGAGTTTAGTTTGACAATTGCAACATCATTATTCTTACAGATCAAACAAAATCAAAATAATTAACATATCACCTTAGAGAAAACTTACATGTTCATTATATTTGCATAAACCACTTACTGGAGTTTAAAGTTTAAACTAGTTGTAAATATACATTGGTTATAATGCGTTTTTTCTTGTATAATTACAATTTAATTTTCGATATAATTTATTTATTATTTATTAGTTTTAAAAACCAATAAGCTTTATTAATTCAACATTTACTCTAATACACTGTACACTATTTTTATTAACTATAATAATTTCCGTATTCATTCATTCATTCCGTCTGTCCACACTTGAAGTTAGTCGTATTTTGTTCCTTTTGTTTTTCTAAAATTTTGACAATTCTTGATTTCGTAATATTTTATGGTTAACACGACGGATATTTTTAATATATTGTAAGTGACAGTTTAAAGTAAAAAAAAATATTGTTCATTGTGTGCAGCACCAGTATATTTCCTACTTGGTATTTATAGAAAAAAAAGTTTCAATTATAATATAATTTTTATTATTATTTATAAATTTATTATATTATATATACATTTTTTTAAATGTAATGATTATTACAGATAATTAGAACATGTTAACTTATAATTATTATTTATCTTTCATTATTTTTTCATTATTCATTATTATTTATTATAAATTATTATTCATAAATTTATTATTATTAATTTGTTTTTATTATTAATTATTAAATTGTTATATTTTTTTATCTATAAACAATATAAAAATAGTTTGCTTTTTTAAAAAATTTTCAATTTGATTTTAATTTTTAATTTAAGTTTAAAGTTTAAAACATTACAAATTTTTTTTAGGTTTTATTTTTTCAAAATTTTTAAATATTTTTTAATTGCTTAATACTTTTAAAAATATAATTAATAATTTTCTGTTAATTTAAATTTCTTTTTGATTATATAATTTTTTAATATTTATTAATTATCAGTTAATTAAATTTTTTGAAAAAAAAACATTTTAAAATTTTCATTTGCAACGAAATATTTATAGAAAATACAAAAAAATATTTAGCATAACTAATTTTTTGTAATTTGAAAGATTATAAAAAATTCATCGAACATTGACTTTATCAAAAATATTTATTTCTAATATTTTAATATTTATATTTTAAAATTTTTACTTAAATTTATTTATTTATATAACATCAAACTCATTTTTTTCTGTGTATAAATAAATGATAACGTGAAAATTAGAAATATACCTATTATTAATTTATTACTCCATTGATGCAGAATTATTATTATTATTATTATTATTATTATTATTATTATTATTATTATTATTATTATTATTATTATTATTATTAATATTTTAAAAGAACCATCGTAATCAAAGTTGGACGCGCGCTTGCGCGCGTGTAATTTTGCTAGTTAACATTTAATTAGCATTTTTTTTTTTTTTTTAAATAAAAATTAAATAATTGGAATTTAAACTATATTTTCAAATAATTTTACGAAAATGATGTTCCGCACTTATATACTGCTGACAGAAAATAATATAAAGTGAAAGTAAAAGAAATAATGTGACAGGGTGAGTAATACCCCACATGGAAGGAGAATTGTAATCATAAGTTTGCCGAAAATATGTAAATAATGGAATATGTAATTCTCTGTTGAAAATTTCTATAAAAGATCACGCATGGAATCTTATAAACGAGTTCCTTTATAAGTTACCCTCACGTATTCCTGAGTAAGTTTTACATTAAAAGACCTTGTAAAGAACTTTGGTGCAATTTTGCATGATTTCTTGCATATTGGAATAATTACACGGTAGATTTTAACAAATTAAATTTTTTTTTTGTACCAATCGTAATTTTCTGACAAATTTTGTTTCCGGTGTTTCCTTTCAGAAGACAAAACAACAAGGAGAAAAATGAAAATCTGAGTTATTTCGAAACAGTGTAGTACTCCTTTATTGAATACTTTGCGACAAGTACACATTATATTATTAGAATTGTCTTTTTTAAACAGATGAGGATTTAGTATAAGTTATTGTTCATTTCCCTACTGGGGTCCATTATACATGAATATTCCATATACACAGAAAAAAACTGAACTCAGAATGAGCCGCCTAGGCGACTCATTTTGATGTGCAACAAAAATGAACCAGGTTGGTGGCGCCACTGTCTATGTCGTTTAGCATTGGCTCATTTTGATTTGCAACAAAAATGAGACTAGGTTTTTTCTGTGTACATACCCCATTCCATTTTTAATTTTCCGCTTCCACTTTTCACTTTACGGATTCCTCATTCCACTTTTCACTTTCCTCATTCCGCAATCTATTATTCACATTCAGCATTCCATTTTTCACATTCCGAATTCCACTTTTCCCTTTCTGCATTCCGGAACCCACTTTTAACATAACGTATTTCATTTTTTAATTTTCGAATTCCTTCTAATACTTTCCACATTCCAAAATTTTTAATAAAATCGAATAAATTATATTTTGTAAATCTAAATAATTTTTAGAATGTAATAAGGGGCTTATAAGTTTTATAAGGAGTTATAAGTTTGCTTCTATAATTAAATTAAATGATTTTATAATAAAAATTGTTCTTTGAAAGGTAATAAAATATTTTATTATTTCTTAATAAATAATTATTTTTATTTTTAAATATTTAACAATGTAATATTATTAAGTTCCTCACAAGTGCAGAAAAATTTGTCTATTTAGTAAATAAAGAAGTTCAGAATTTCTCATTTCAGCGTGAATTATGTATATGAGGCATTTCATATGAGAATACGGGGTCATGTCTCGGATTTTTAGAAAAAAATAATTTTTTTCTAAAAGTTTAAGATCTTCTGCGTAAAAAACATTTACAACATTTTTTGTTATTGTAAATATCTCGAAAAATATTAAAAATTTCAAATTGAAAATTTGTACACTTATTTAGTACCACTAACAGTACAATTGAGGGCCTCCATGCAATAAGGGGACGAACGTGATTTTCGTTGTCTCCTTGCGCAGCCGGCAGCGCGCCGTCCGCGGGGACTTCTACTGGCGCGCTCGTCCCCTTATTGCATGGAGGCCCTCAATTCATCGAATTTTGAGAAAAATCCGAGACATGACCCCGTATTCTCATATGAAATGCCTCATATACATTAAGCACTGAAAACAGCGTAAAACTAATAATTTTTCAACATTTTTCGATTTTCTTGACTTAAAATAATCCTCACTAAATTTTTAAGATATTGCTAAACCCCAATCTTTAATTTTCATTTTGTATATATAATTATATTAATATAAATAAACAAATAAAAAGTATACCTTTTTCCTGTGAATCGTATGAATATCACAACAAAATCGAAATATTTTTTATTATTAGACACTTAAAGTACTCCTACAGATTTGTGATTTGTAAAATTATGTTCTAGTAGAACACACGTAATTTGTTATAAACAAATTAAATAAACAAATTACTAATTAAACCGATACCTTTTATTGATCCTTGTAAAATTCGTTACTCGGGGGTTTTCGGGGTCGCTGATTACGAATCAGAGGTCAGTTTTTCAAAATTCAAAATGGCGAATCCAATATGGCGGACAACTTTTGAAAAAACTTAATATATTCGTCTGAAGTAAGTAGTTTCCAGTGATTTAAAATATTTGTCCGCCATGTTGCATCCGCCATTTTGAATTTTGAAAAACTGACTCCGGATTCATTTTCAGCGACCCCAAACTTGTTTCAAGCAAATCCGAACGATTTTTTAAAAAAATTTCCGCCATATTGGATCCTCCATTTTGAATTTTGAAAAATTGACCTCGGATTCGTAATCAGCGACCCCGAAAACCCCCGAGTAATAAATTTTGTATAAATCCATCCATTATTTTTTGTGTTAATGTGAATTTTCTATGCACGATCTTAATTTCCTGGATAAATTGTTTATAAACAACCATATCTTTTGTAATTTTTAATATTTTGTCTGGCCACTTTCAGATATCTTTTTTAGTGTCATTAACTTGAAGTTAAACCCTGTTGAAAATTCCTATGTGAGAACACATATGGGATCCCATCCAGGATCTCTTGTGAGTTCTTATGTGGGTTCCCATACAGGTTCACACATAAGATCCTGTATGAAAAGGTTCCTGGGATGAACTTGCGTGAGATCAAGCGCACGATCTTATGTCTCTGTAAAAGCAATAACACAGGATCCCATGAGGTTTCCTGTGTAGGTTCCTATATGAACAACACGATAAATAGGAACACACATGGGATCTTATCCGAGATCTTGTATGAGTTCTTACATAGGTTCTCACATATAAGAAGATTAATAGCAGCTTAATAAGATTTTATAGAATGCTTTTATATATATGCTATTAATCTTCTTATATGTGAGAACCTATGTAAGAACTCATACAAGATCTCGGATAAGATCCCATGTGTGTTTCTATTTATCGTGTTGTTCATATAGGAACCTACACAGGAAACCTCATGGGATCCTGTGTTATTGCTTTTACAGAGACATAAGATCGTGCGCTTGATCTCACGCAAGTTCATCCCAGGAACCTTTTCATACAGGATCTTATGTGTGAACCTGTACGGGAACCCACATAAGAACTCACAAGAGATCCTGGATGGGATCCCATATGTGTTCTCACATAGGAATTTTCAACAGGGAAGTACTTTTCAGACCTTAAATGAGAAAAAAATGTTGTGTCCATATTTTCTTCATTTTCGTCCTTCGTTTGTAGAATCACCCATATATTGTATTTCTTTAATCAATATTAAGATTAAACTGAATTGAATGTGGATCTTATAACCGAGCAACTTAAAAGTTCACATAACCATCAGTAGTAATTAATTTTTAAAAGTAAAAACATTTCTCAGCTAATAAAGTTTTAAATATTTACTCAATTCACTAACTAATTAAATTCATAATCATTGTTACTTTAAAAAAATGACCTCTTAAACGTTAGTTTAAGTTAGTTATTGTTTTCTTATGAATATTAAAAAATAATAGCGCATAAAATTTAAACTAATAAATAAAGCGTTTCTCGCAAGTGCATTAAAATCTATCTTCTTAGTATATAAGGAAATTTTCTACCTTCGTGAAACATGTATACAGTAAGAAAAGTACCATGGTAGTCATAGGAAAGCATGCGTTACGCATAAGTTTGTCTCACTCGCACTCATGGGTTGTGACTACCATGGAACTTTTCTTACTGTATAATATAAGTGTGTGCGTTGATATATTCTGCGTTTATGTATATGCGTATTTTCGATAAGTTAGGTAGGGATATACATATGTTAAGAAAATCAAAGCGAACCTGCGTGCGTGTGTAGTTGTGTCCCAGTCGAAGGTTGAGTCCACAATAGACAGCGTTAAATAGATTTGGACTACTTAAGGAGCTCTTAAGCAGAATTTAGCATGGGTTTTATCTCCTTAAATAGTTCAAATCTCTTTAACGCTGTCTATTGTGGACTCAACCGAAAATCCTACGCTATGTTAAGCTGAACAAAAAGTTGTTTTGAAGTATTGAGATAACCATTAGAGAATTGTGAGACAGTAGATAACTAGCTATAGAAAACTTTCAGGAGGCCTGTTATGGCCGATTTTTCGCTTCCACGGAAAGCTTGAAAATTAAAAATTTTGTACGTTTTAAACAAAGCATTCAAGTAGCTTTGAGAGAGTTATCAAAGAGTTGCAGGATTTTGCATATATAAAAAGAAAGCGTTCAGGTGGCGAAAATTAAATGAAGCGTCATGGATGTTTCAGGAAACAGCGGAAAAATGACAATGATCAAAAATTAAATTTAACCTTTCTTTCCATCTTTATTTATCTCGTAAAAATATTATGTATTAGATTATTATATTTAAATATTGAAGAATTAAAGAAAAATTATTTACGTCAGACTCGGTATTTCCACAGTCTTTTTAAAATCGTACAATTGTTTTATAAAATATCTATTAGTGATATTAAATACTTTTTTTTAATTAATTATTATCTTATTTCAATTAAAAGTTAGTTGTCAATTAATTTTCTATAGTGAAATTACACAATTAATATTGATTAATAATTTAATGTTTCATGTAGAATACTTTTAAACTGATTTTTTATTTTTAAAAGCATAAATTTATATAGATGGTTGTTATGACACTTCATAAATATTTAAAAACAATATATAATGTATAAAATGTATTTTATGTATTATTATCAACGTCTGCTAAATATTTTAATAAATAATTAAAATATTTTGTAAATTTTTAACTTTTAGTACATTGTTGTCAACCAAAATTTGTAAATAAAAATACGCTGTTAAATTCATTTTCATAAATTATGAAATTCTAAAAGAATAAAGAATATATTATTTATAAAAAATATTCATAAATATCAAGTATAAAAATAATAATCTTTTTTTTAAATATGAAATATTTTGTCTTTTTTTTTAAGAAATTGTATTCATTATTCAATATAAAAGGTATTCACCGTGTTCGTATTCCTAACCCTAAATTTTGCTCAAGTTATATATAATTTTTTTCGTATATAATTTAAGTGTTTAAAAATAAATGTTTTCTTTGAAAAATAATTTTTATATAATATATAAAAAATAATTATTAATTGTATAAAACGGATTTACAAATTACTATAGAATTTTTATGATTTTTCGATTTAGTTTAATTTAATGAAATTATTCTAGTTTTCAGGAAGTGTAAAAAAGGTAATTAATTACATATTAATTTGCAACTTGTGAAAAGCAAATAGAATTGCTTTCTTACACATTAAACCAGGCATTAGGAAAGCATTCACCAAGCAAACTGGTAGACCTTTTGCTAGATGTCCACAGATATTCAACAAGCTGTAGAAAAAGCTACCCGTTAAGAAGTCAGAAAGCAAATATCACAGAATTTTAGGTCTAATGTATAAATAGTTGCCATGAAGCTTTTGAAACCTTCATAACAGTTACCTGAAGGCCATGTGAACCCTTCAGGGAAACTTACGATTTTCGACTGGGGTATATAAACCAAAGCTGCATTGCTACAATAGAGAACAATTAACAGCGATGCCCCAATCCTTCGACAGGTAGCAAATAATGAAAAATTTTTTTCTTTTATTTTAACCTCGTTTTTAATTTTTCGTTTCTTTTTTGCAAACGAAATGCGCGCTTTTTAATTCCGCTTCCCTTTTTCATATAGTTTTAGTAAAAATAAGAAAACTTTCTTATGAATTTTAGAATAGTAATTTTAATTTCTGTTAAAACTGTTTCTACAAAGTTTTTGCTAAAAATATATTAATTTTTAATAAATAGCCTTAGTTTCCATAACTTGCTAAAGAATATACTAAATTTTTGTATCATTTTTAACATTTATTGCAAAGGATTTCTTTTCGTGTAGCCTGAAAAAGTGACAGTTATATTGATATTTAAATGATTTAAAATTAAATTTTCAAACTGAATAGCTTATTAGAAATTCTATTGAATCATCTAATTAATCTATATAATATTAACAAAAAAGTTTCGAAATATAAGTATAGTAAATTATTCATTGAATTTTTGTTTAATAATGCCAAACATAGTGGTCACAAACTTGAAACTTATTGTTACTCGGGGTTTTTTTGGGGTCGCTGTTTACAAATCCGATGTAAATTTTTAAAAATTAAAAATGAAGCAGGTGAATAATCAATCTATTGTGTGTTCTTAAAATTCTGGGTGCGGTATAAGATTAACATTAACAACTCTTCTTTTTCATTAAGACTTAAAAATGCCGAGGCCGAGAGGCTTCACACATATCCCTGCCCAACCCTGGCATTTACTTTTAGAACCTTGATCTTGAATGCGCTAAAAAGCTTAATTCTATTATTAATTTAGACTACGGAGAAGGTTATGCATCTGAAAAAATAAAAACAAAATTTTTTAAATCGACAAAACAAAAAATAATATTTTTAATTTTTATTAACACTATGCCCACGTCGTTAGTCTTAGGGCAAGCTGAAAGTGATTTACAATTATAAAATTGCCATTTATTTTAGAAAAAAGTTAAATAATTTCTTTTCTTGAATCCTTTCATCCAAGCGTTACTACAATACTTTGATTTTGAAAATATAAATTTTTTAAAAATTTTTTAAAATTTGTAGAACTATTATTAAATTTGTTAGGAAACTATAAAAATATTACTATGGAAGCAATTTATCGTATCAGACCTATTTTTGGTCGTAAAAATGATGTTGCGTAAACTTAGTACCTTAATTTTGACTTTTCATTTTTTTTAGATTTAATTGACAGAACTATTTAAAGTATTTATACAGAACTGTAGAACTATGCTGTAGGTTTAAGGAATATCGAATACAATTTGATATTTTATAAAAAGAGTGTTAACTTCACGTGAGCGTAGTTGCGTTGTATTCGATTGTTGTGTATTAATTTGTATGCTAACTAGTTTTTAATTCCTAAAGTATATAGTCAGTCCTATAGTACTTTTTTTGCCTATGCCACTTCTGAAATAATGACCCACTTTAATATATGTACTAAGGAGACATTAGTACCTCATGAGGCCAGCGCTGGGGACGTAAATTTTCAACAATGAAACAGTCGCATTACCAGTAGCATAGTAGTATTTTGACAAAATTTTATAATTATAACTGATACAAGTTGGTTGTATTCGCGGGGGAATTTACTAGTTAAAAACGTGTACACTTGACTACCGGTATTACACCTCATATTACCCTTATTACTAAGTTATTACACGTTATTACAGAGTTTTACACATTATTACAGAGATATTACAGATTTTTTTGCGTTATTACAGCACCGTAATAACGCGGTATTACACGTTATTACACAAGTATTACGGGAAGAGTGTACACTTGACTACCTGAGTAAATTCCCCCTCGGTTTTATTCTTGTTTTATTTTTCAGAATAAAATAATAATACTTTAAACATAAAGACATTCAGTAAATTTCTTATTTCTTTACACAGTTGATGTTATAAATTTTCTTATAACTAGTTGAAATAACTGAACAAGTGAATTGACAATAATTATTGACTTTGTACGTATAAATTGTAACAGAAATTAAGATAATTACACTAGTAAAACAATCGGAAAAAAATCTTATGCTTCAGGACACTATAAAAATCTATCCAGAAGCGTTTCAACATTAATTTGCAGAAGAATTGACAAGTGAAAATATATGTGAAGTTTATACACAAATTAATAATAGAGTTTACTTCAATAACTTCGTGTTAATTTTTACTTGTCATTTTAAATGAAGTGAATGGCGACAAAATATTGACACGTTCTGTGCAAACTTTCTTCGCACACAGATTCGTTAAAACTATCCAGGAAGATACTTTTTCTACGATTAGTTTTACAAGAGTGAGTCAAGACGCTGAAGTTTGCAAAATTCTTAAATTATGTAGAGATTTGTATACTTATAATTAACAAATTTCTGTAATTGTCAAAGTTGATGAAAGTTGATTAATCCAATAAATCCATGTTTTTCAACGCATGTCTTTTAACTAAATGCTTGTTCATTTTAAAATTAAGATTATTATTATTATTTAAATGTAAGCACATGAAGAGGACATCAAAGTTGATTGTTAAAATGTTGCAAACTTTTTTTTTACAATAAATTTATTTATTCAGAAATCTTCCTGAGAATTAATAGTATTATAGTAAGTCGTCAATGTCAATTAGGCAAACTAATTGATAACAAATTCAGGTACAAGAGGATTTACAGCTACATTTCAGTGATGCTTCCCCTCAGATTATTTTTTACCATAAATAAATATAGTTTCTCTCTGTAAATATCACATTAATCCTTTCAGCAAACCGGATATTCTGAATTATCCGGCGCTTTATGGTAACTAATTTAATAGAATTTGATAATTTGATAACAATTGACAATTAATTATTTATATACATATAAGTACATTTTTTAATAGTAGGAGAAAATAAATAAACTAAACGATCATCTTCAATGAGAAGCGTACTCTATACGCTTTTGAGTCTGCGTCGTCTCCATCCCTTATGTTTTTCGCCCAAGTTCGACATTCGATTTCAACAACTGTATTTTCTGAAAAATATAATATAAATTGTTAGTTGTTAAAAAAGTAACTTTATATTTTTAACTAAGAAAACAATTTGTCTAGATGTTATTTGAATTGATATCCTGGTTTTAATTTTGCTACCCACTAAAATGTATTTGTTACCGGCAAAACCAGAAGACCAGGTAATTTGCGAAATGTCTATAATTTTAGGAAATATCAGAATTTCCTAGAGATTTGCACCTGGGTTAAAATTTCGGACTGATTTCAGATTAAATACAGACAGATCAGTCTGGATTAGTCCAGAAATTGTACGAAAACAATACGAAAATGATCCGTATTAGTCAGTAATCAGTCTGGATTAGCCCGCAACAATTTGATTTTAGTTAGATCAAAAAACAATCCAAAATGAGTCCAGAATACATAATCCAGAATTTGCATGTGTAAACGGTACGCAACAATCCGGATTAAGTACTGTCAAAAAACTAAATCCGACATGAGTCCGTAATAATCTGAGATCTTTATGTGGAAAATCCGGTATTAGTCCACAATAATCCTGATTTAATCTGGTAAAAAATCCTAATCCGAAATGAGTCTGTAAGAGTTCGGAATTGATAAGTACAAAATCTGTAACGAATCCGGATTTAGTCAGGTTTAAAATCTTAATTAAGATGTTATACCGGATTAAGACCGGATTTGCTACTTTTATTAGTTCCTACTCATGCCGCCAGGTACAAAACAAAACTCAATTTTTCAATTCGCCTAGAACGGCTCCAGCCTATAAACGGGAAATGCCTGTAAATCTCTAGGGAATTCGGATACTTCCTAAAACCTTATATACTCACTTCTGAAATTTGTAAACTGCACAGCAATCAGAGGACTAAGATATCCAGGTTGATTTTCGTATGGGTAGAAATACCCAGGAAATCCCTGTATTTTTGGGTAGTAGTCTATAATTTCATTAAAAGTGTTATTCACCATTTGATTGAGTGGTTCACAAGATAGCCATATATTTTTAATCTGAAAGGAAATTTGCTGATTAAATATTAAATATAAAGTCATCAAAGTAGTAATAATATATTGTGCAGGCGATTTGTTAATGATCCAACTGTCAAATTTAAATTTTTAAGATATACCAAAACTAACCTGGGTTGAGTCAGTATTTTGAATATGTTTTTTGAGTTGTTGTGGCATATTACTCGGCAGTTTCTCTGGATCATTGTGGTACTTTGGTATCCAGCCAAATATCTAAAATTAATTTTTTTATTAAAACAAATTTAACGAATTCATTTGTGTTTATATATATTATATTGACAAAATTATATCTGTTGCGGGATTACAAAAATTTTCTGTGCAGCTCTCAAGAAATGGACACTTTGGATTTATTAAATTAAAATAATATCAGCAAGAAACACTCGGCTTTGTAAAAACTATATTGAAATATTTATTTAATGCCGATGAAATTAAAAATTTAATATGATATCCAAATGTTTTTAAATACATATTATTATTATTCGTCGTATTGTAGTAGAATAAATACAATAATACACAGAATACAAATACAATAAATACACAGAAAATGGCTTACGGTTAAATGTGGCTATATTTTGAGAATTTTTAGTTGAAAGTGTCGTGATTTAAAAAAAATTGCCCGGAGGTCACTGAGTAAATAGTTTAGCTAAAAAAAATTATTGAAATGACGCTGCCTATAATAAACTTGCGTATCTAAGTGGTCAAATCACTTGTTCGAAAGTATTTGTTTCATCGAATATTATAAAAATCTTTGATTAAAAAAATTAATTCAGTGACCTCTGGACAATTTTTTTTCAATAAGGACACTTTCAACTTAAAATTCTCAAAATATAGCCAAATTTAACCGTAAGCTTACGGGCTTAAAATGGCTAGCCATTTTCTGTGTATTTAGTGCGGGGTCCTTTGTCTCAACCATATTATAGCTAGTCTGAATGGTTATAAATATCAAATGATTTATTTATTAAACAACAATGAAGTTAGTTGGTTTATGTACATTTTGAAAAATAAATTTTTGTGAAATATGTCCATTGGAAAAAATATTCACTGGGAAACGTGAATTCTGAAAATTATTCCCCTATGCATTTACAATTAGAATACTGCATTATACGTATATATATATATATATATATATATACATATATTAAAATTTCTGTTATTACCTTATTTAACTTGAGAAACACACATGGCTTACTAGACGCGAATCCGTATCCTTTTCCATATGAACACGGACCTAAGTTATCCACATCAAACATACACACTTTGCTGGGTTGTGGAAGAGAATCATAGTTGCAGATTTGTTGATTTCGTCCATCATTTAACAGTAACGATGAGTTATGGTAATCTACACAAAGTTATAAAAATGTTAAAACATACAATTATCTAATAATATACAAGTTGATACAGAACTCGGTAATTCATAATGATTTTAATCCAAATCAATGCCGATTTTTAAATTTTAGTAGAAGCATTTTAAGACGTTTTAATTAATTTTTCTAAGAACATTCTTGGCAATAACATTATACTTACCGCTTAGAAATAAATTCAACCTTTGAATCCAAATGTTAATATCAGTACTATTTTTTGTATTATAAGATATTATCATTTCGTCACTTATATCTGTTGTTAAAGGGCGAAGTCCTAGACCTGAAATTTTTAATAAATAAAAATTCAAAATTTGTAAAATATATATGTTAGGCTCAATGATAAAAAATGCTCATTGAGCAAAAAAATTAATAACGCTATAGACATTGAAATATAATTTTGTCATTTATAGACAAGGTAATTTTTAATTACCTATTTAATACCTAATTACTTATTATTTATTATAATAGTTTAACAGTGTCATTAGTCACCACGATTGAAATAAAGAGTTCAAAAATTTTATATTCTATGATTTAAAGCAGCAACATTTGTAGACCAGTGACGTTTTTTAGCAACAACATGAATTTCACATTGTGGCTGAATTCAAAGACCAATAATAATTTTGACACCATTTTTGCAAAATCTAATTTAACTTGAAGCAGTGTGCAATGGAAAAATTCTTTTCTTTTAAAGAACTTATCACTCAGAAAAATGTCTAGTCAGAGCAACCAAAATTTGGTTGGGCCAACTAAAAAATTTTGTTGGTATTTAAGCAACCAAACTATTTGTTTGAGTCAACCAAAAAAATTGGTTGAGTTTTTTTTGTTGGCATAACAAAAATGTTTGGTTGATCAAACAAACAGTTTTTTTGTAAAATTAAAAATTTTATTCTACCTTATCTTTTTTATTTATTTCATTATTTATTTATCATTTATATTTATCATTATTTATTTTGTTATCAATTTAACATTGAATGGTTATCGCAACCAAAGTTTGGTTAGGACAACAAACGATCATTTGGTTTTTCAGACCAACCTATTTTGTTGTGTTAACCAAATTATTTTGTTGTCGTAACCAAATTTTGGTTGGAATTTAAAAATGTTCAACCACATAATTTTGTTGGCCTAACTATGTTTGGTTGATATAGCTCTACGACTTTGTTTTAGCCAACCAAAATTTGGTTACAAGAACCAAAATTGCCTAACCAAACAATTTTGTTCCAAACACTAAATTTTTTTTCTCAGTGTATCTTTTAAATTTTAAAATAATTTTAACAATTTATTTCTTGTTAAGATTTCTTACCAGGAGAAGTTCCAATAATACTGCTGTCGAGAATCCATCTCGGTTTATCTTCTCTCAAAGTCGCTAATAAGCCTTTCATACAGATAGCAAAAAATGCTGCTAATATACTAAAAAAAACTAAGTAAAAAAGAGCGGTCCTCACTGAAATTCAAAATTCATAATATTAGTTCTTAAGAAGTTTCTAAAGATAGTCAAAGAGTTACTCAAAATACTTAAATTTTGTACAACCAGAATGTTTGCAGATCAAATATAAAGTTTTTAATCGACCGAATTCCTAACTAAGTGTATATGCACTTAAAAATAAGTGATTTTCACTAAAAAATAATAGTTAAGTTCCACTTAAGAATAAGAATTCGTTGTCATGTTCCCAGAGTTGATAAATATTTTGTCAAAAAATATATTTAGGGTCAGTTGGGGTAAATGGGGACAAGAGGTTTTGAAGCTTAATTTACAGTTTTAAAATTAAGTTCAACGTCAATATTTTAACCTCAGGTCACCTGCAAGAGGTTTTGAGTATTGCCAAGCTTTTATCTTGACCACATACCACATTTTTTTCTTATTATTTATGACTCCTATAACAGAAATTCACTTGAATTTTTGATTTTTGTCATTATTAACCAAATTAACAAAAATCAAAAATTCAAGTGAATTTCTGTCATAGGAGTCTTAAGGAATAAGAAAAAAATTTGGAATGATTTTTAAGTCTGTTTTTTTTCAAATGCGAGACAAAATACTGAAATGAAAAAAAAATAAAAAAAATTGCAATTGGTTTAACTATGTATTATATGAGCCGCCGGAAAGTAAAAGGGCGCCCTAATTTCATAAAAAAAAGTATTTTCGATGTATAATCTAACCGGATTGTGAAATTTTAAAGACAGAAAAAGAAAAATAACCTACAGTAAAGCCTCATTATAATATTATTTATGATTCAATTAAAAGTTAATGAATAATTGTTGCGATTAAGTCGGGGCTTCATCTAACCCTTTTTAGTTACGACACTGTCCACGTATTAAGTTCGATTTTGATACTTTTGCTTCCTCGTGGAGGAAGCTTTGTAGTCCTTTCGTTTATAAAATTTTTAAAAATGGTGAAAACAAATTTTTCTCTATATGGAAACATGTTATATGAGATCCTGCTCAATTCTCCGGACCCAGATAGAACGTAAGCTTGCAGCAACCTTGTGGCAAGCTTCAAATGTCCCACCTAACCCAAGCTTGCAGGGTAAGCTTGCCGAAAGATTGCAGTGAAAGGTTACTGCAAGATTGCACAATAAAATTATCGCAAGATTGCTCAGTAATCTTGCACGGTAAGCTTGTCGCAAGGTTGGTGCAAGGTTTCCAAATAACCTTGCCAATCAGCACAGAAAGTTGCAGCAAGCTTGCCATGTAAGTTTTCTCGGCAACCTCATGGCAAGCTTGCGGAATATAACAAAAAATGTTTTGGGGAGAGGAAATTTATTTTTGTACATACATTGAGCACCAGTTCCTGGAAGGTCAAAAAAATGTACTGCGCAGCCGTAAGTACTTGTGATTGCAAGTGCGCATAGTGCTCATTTTCAATGCAAACTTCTGTGCTCATTGGGGAAGGTTATTGGCAACCTTGCACCAACCTTGCCACAAGTTTACCCTGCAAGCTTACTATGCAAGCTTGCGATAATCTTATCATGCAATCTTGCAGTAACTTTACACTGCAATCTTTCGGCAAGCTTACCATGCAAACTTGTGTTAGGTGGGACATTTCAAGCTTGCCGCAACATTGGAGCAAGGTTGCTGCAAGTTTACGTGCAGTCTGGGGATGTATATGTGTGTGTGTGTGGATCTTTTTTGTGAACACGATATCTTTAACAGGTTTTAATGGATTTGGGTAAAATTTGGTAGGCTTATTTATGATATTAATCTCTCAAAAATGACAAGAAGATTTTTAAAAAATACCCCAAAAAAAAATTTTATCGTTTTTTTTCCAAAAATTTTTTTTAATTGAAAAAATTTTTAAGTAGAAAAATTTAAGGTGGTATATAATAAAATCGTCATCCTTACGTCAAGACGAATCGATTGCGGTAGGTATATATAAAGTATAGATTTGATTTAAATTTTAAGAATTAATGAAAATTAAAAAATCAAAAATTCATATCTTATAGTTAAAAAAAATTTTGTTAATTTAAATTCAACTTAATACATAAAATAATTATATTTCTTGCATTGAAACGAATTGATTTGTATATATAGAGTATAGGTATATGTTACACCCAAAAGTAATTAAAATTTCTTAATTTTTCAAAAAATTTAATAAATTTATAAAAGTTTTCAACTCGAAACGTTTTAAATCAATCAATTGAATTGCAGAAATTCATTGCTTTCTCCACGAGGAAGCAAATTTTTTGCTTCACACAATGAGGAAGCAAAATGTTTATGAAATAAATATAAAGGACCCCCTCCTTGTAGCGTACGCTACTCATTTTGAGACCAGGTTGTTTCTGTGTTCTGTCATAAACAATTACATTAATATTTGATAAATTATTTTTGTAAATTGTATAAAGTAATTCTTTTTAATACTGGCATAACGTAAAATAAAAATGCCAAATAATTTTGAATTGTTGTATATGCCTTCCAAATCTTATTTGAAATGTTTTAATTTTCAATGGAATTTTGAAACAGTATATTTTTTTCAAGGCTATTATAAAGTTAGGTATATGTTTTTTCGTCGAACCAACGACTGTTTTGTTACTTATTTGCGCATACAAATATTCTAAATGCTACATTCGATAAAGCGACATCTATTTTCAAAAACAAAAATTAACTTTGATGTGATAATTATTTATCGATAAATCCATGTCAGAATTATAATCTATAATTGCTGTTTCTAATTACTTGTAATTAAAATATACGCAACTGTAGAAATGTAATATATTTGTCTATGTATTTTCTAACAAAATTTTTTTTAAACTTTTAGCTTTTTTTAACTTCTCTCGTCACCATTTTTTTTACTTTTTTATTTTATTAAATAATTTTTTAAAATAATTTTTAAACTAATTAAAAAAACATTTTTTTTCTGGAATTTTAAAAATAATGTAGTTGAGTTTTTAATTAATTTAATTCAAGATAATAAACTATTTTATACATATCCTGCTATAAGAACAATTTAAAAAAAAAATTATTTATATATAAAAATTTTATATGCATACACTCCCACACACACACAACTACGCGCGCGAGTAGCGACATTTTCTGAAAATGTGATGAAAGCAAATTAATAATGAAATGAACAAAAAAAATTTCAACTTCAACTTATGAGCGATTTTAACATTCCAAAAATTTAAACATTCTTTTTATTGTGCAAGACTTAAATAGCATTTTGAAGTTTCTTAAAATTTATCTGTTTAGTGTCTATTTTCCAGAATATTTAAACTATTTATAACATTTTAAATAAAAGTTATTATTCCACTTGAACTGAATAAAAAAATGTAAATGTTAAAAATTTACTAAATTTTATTTTTTACTAAATGTAAAAAATATGACCAGTGTTATTTTAATGTTTGATTAAATTTTATTTTTTACGAAATATAAAAAAATGAATTATTTTAATGTTAAAATTGTACTAAATTTTATGTATATAAAAATATTACTTGTGTTATTTTTAAAAAACACTATGATAAAAAATAATTGACAGTTAAAAATAGTTAGGTATTTAAAAATTGTTTTATATTAAGAAAAATATTGTTTTTAAAAATAATTAAAAAACCTTGTTTTCAAAAATTGTTAAAAAAAATCATTGTTTTTAAAAATAAATGTACTAAATATTTGACATAGAAGACAATTTCCTATTTTCATTAAAAATAGTTGAAATATTTTTTTGAATAAAAAATTCTTACTCCACTCATGCTTAGTGTGTCCAAAAATTGTTTTCTTTTTGTTATTATAAATTCCATCCCTGAATATTTGCCACTTTGTTCTTGTATCTTTTGGCCGCATATAAGCAAATTCATAAACACCATTTTTCACCAATTTTCCCGGAATACTCATTTTCACTATTTTCTTAAATTTTGCTTTTTGAACTTTAAATTAAAATTCTATACAGAGCGCATACGCTCTGTTCGACATCAACGTTACTCTGAGAATTAACTCTAACTAGAAAGTATACACAAAAGCACTGAATCTACCTTAAGAAGTTTACTTAAAAAGAGAGGGGAGACCATTTGGAAGAGGATACAGATAAGAGATAACTTAGGATAGTATATATGTATGATTTCACACAAATATCTCGAATAATTAATAAGTAGAGGTGAAAAAAAATTATTTTGTAATTGCAACAAATGAATAGACTAAGATAAACGATTTGCCCATAATATAAATATTCATATGTTAAAACAAGATTTACAACTTTGATATTATTATAAATGCACAGATTTATTTTTTTATTTAAAATTAGATATTGTAATTCTCACTGATTATTTTCTGCAATTTTATTCTAAAGAGTAAATAAATTGTTATTTACAAATATGTCGCTTAAAATAAATTTTAAAATACACTCAACCTAAGTTAATACTTATGATAAGTGTTTTTAAAAATTTATTTTAAACATTTTTCATTATCATTGAGAAAACAATTTAGCTTCAAATGCCATATAATCTAAGTTGTAAGCACTTTTACTGATAACACAATGTAACTATTTCTTATATATATATAAGGTCAAGGCTGGTTCGTGCTGAAGCAATATTTTATTAGATACAAGATTAGGAATCAAAAATTTAGGATTATTAAAATTTAGCTTAAAGGTACGGTTTAAAAAAATAAGTTTGCCCGCAAATTGGTGTCAAATTTTAGGATAAAATACTATTAAAATACCCAGTGACAAGGCTGAAATTGAATAGAATTAAAAATATTAATTCCACTTAATTTTGGAAAATTCCCTCATTTGTGACGGTCCACGAGAAAAGGGACTTTATTATTAATTAATTTTTGTAAACTGCCATCTACATAGCCAACTTAAAATTCCCAAATGAAATCCTATATATGTATATTGTTTCCTTTCTATAATTCCATGTGAAGTCTTAGGTAGATATTTCAGAATCTACATGAAATCCCATATGATTTATTATGTTCAAGTCAATGTGAAATCTTGTGTAAGAATGCACATGAAATCTTATATGGTTTCCTCTGTATTAAAACTTCTATGTAAGATTTTATAAGGAAATCTTTAGAATTGTATATAATATTTTTTATAAGATTTGAGGTGGATTAATTATATAAAGGAAATTGACAAAAATGATATGCCAGAAAAATTATAGGAAATAATGTAGGAATTCACATTGGTTTCAATGTAGAAACAAAATCATAAATTCCTACAAGATATCATACACCAAATCGTGTTCCAATTTCCTATATGATTTTACATAAAATCCCATTTGGATTCCTATGTGGGAGCTGGGATTTCATAAGGGAACCTATACGGAATCATATAATATAGGATCCCACGTGGGAATTTTCAAGAGTTTTTAAAATATAAATTTGTAAATTACAAATTAATTTATCAAAATTATTTATTTATAACTGCTAATTTATTTAATTACAGTATAATTATTATTTTCGTGCAAATTATTTACGAAAATTATTTTATTAATTAAAAAATTAAACCAATTATTTATTTATTTATTTAATTACAATGTAATTACAATGGTTTACAAAAAAAAGAATAAAATTAAAAAATTAATTATTATTATTTATAAATCATTAATTAATGCTTTTAAATTCAATTTTTGTAAACTAATAATTTTATATAAAAATTCACAAAATAAATAATTTTTACATTTTATCTTTGATAGGTACACATTACCAATATTATTATAATTAAACAATCTAATTTTTTTTTGAAATCATTATATTTATAAATTTATTATTTAAAATTTTAGAGTGTTCAACTATCTCTGGAATTTTAATTATTAAATTGAAAATAAATTTAAATTTAAATATATAATTAAAAATTAAAATTTTTAATAAACAATAATATGTAATAACCAGGGGCCAGTAAAAAACGATGACGTTTAACGCATTAGCCCTTTTAGACGCCGGCGATTATCAATTAAAGATATCTTTTCAGATAAAATTTTGATAATTACTTAACTAAACTGATATTCCTAATTATAAACTTATATAAACTATTTATGTGATCGAAAAATGTTTTATGTTTAAAAAAAATTGTATTAAAAAATTGAGTTTAATTGAATCAATAAAATAAAATAATTTTCAATTGCATTAGTAACTAAATTTTTCAGTGAAATAAATAAATTGTTCTAAAATAATTAATTATTTTTCTTAAAATGTATTATTGATTTGATCCAAATATTTATAACTTGTATTACTCCCATTACGTATATTACTTGCATTAAAAAGTTTAATTTATAAATAGTTATGTAATAAAAATAAAATAAAATTGCTGTGTCAAATAATTTTTAAATACATAAAAAGTAATCAAACATTCCAGTGAAATAGTTATAAATAAATTTTTTTCGCTTGTTAGGATTCAAAATGTTTTTTAATTTTCGTTTCATTTATAATTGTCTTTATCAATAAAAATAACAAACTATGACGGCTTGATGTTTGAGAAAATAATTTTAAACCTCTTGAACCAACATTTAGGTAAATGTTTGGTATGAAAAAATGGGAGAAAATTGTTTTCTCAAACACTTATATCGGTTATAGTTATATAGCGTATAATAATATTACGTGAATTTCAACTCAATATAGGTTATGTTCGTTTCTAATTCATATGACAGCTGCATCAGATGCTCAATCTATGGTAGAAGTGTTGTACTATGGTTTGAGGGCAACAATTATGTATATGTGGAGATATTTTAATACTTTCTCATGTGCTTTGCATGCACTGTTATTTCAAAGAAAGGATTCGAGTGGCGCACTACAGATGGCCACCGCTTTCCCTCTCACAGTCGACACACCTCTCATATATATGTTATATAAGCAGGCAATAGTTTTGGTCAAAACTACATCATATTTTTCTAATTTATTTTTCCCGTGAAATAAATTATTGGAACTAAATTATTATTCATTAGTACATATGACTTGCCTAGTACTTTGTATTTTTAAAAAATATCAACGAAAACAATTTTTGCAAGCGTTATGTGACTCTATTTAGAAATTCGAAAAATTTAAGTTATGATTTGGACACAAGTTATTTGCATTAGGAAAGTTAAGCTTTAATAATATTGCATTTTTCTAAAGAATACTCTAATTTATAAATATATATATATATATATATATATACACAATTTTGTATACATATGTACCAATACATTATATTTAGATATTTTTGAAGTACGTTAGTTATAAGACGAAGATGGCTCAAGTGCAAAAGAACTTATGGGACACGAAAACAAATTTTAAAAGACTGCTTGAAACCAGATACAGCCGGATATGTCCGCTATGAAATCAGAATAAGAACAGGTTTCTCAATCTTACGCTCAAGGAAGTGTATTTATTCATTTCTATACACAATTTTATGCGTTATGCAGTATAATAGTTATTGCTCAAATTTTGACCATTTCTAAATATCTATTATTTAAACATGAATGAAACATGATGAAACAGAATCTTCAGTATAGCAATATTTCTTTCTTTGTGCTTTAATTTGTATATGTTAACATATGTTATTGTTCATTTTTATAACAAATTTCTCATCTGAAATTGATAAAGACAATTTATCAAAGTTTCCATTTGATAATTTTATATTTCCAAAAAGTATAACAATTTACATAGTGTAAATTCTTCTTTCGCCAAGTGTTGGCGAAATATAAAGTAAAAATTACAGAATAATTATGGGATATTGGTAAAGTAAGATATATTGGATCCGATTTTAATAATTTGGAATTTGTTGTTCACAACATCGTTATTATATAACGGAACACTACGATTAATACTGTTTATCTACTTTCTGAGATATCAACTATTATTTTTGGATTCTTAGAACAACAGATTTTCAATGAGAACTATTTTTGAAAGTCTCATACATTTACTAGAAAAATGTGATTGGTTAGAATCCACTGTAGAGAGCGAAAATTAAGCGTTTTTTAAACCCATATTTTTTTGGGTAGAAAGGTTCAATAATGTTCAATTATGTATGTAGTTAGACATGTGTGGAAGCTTTTAAAAAAATGTTATTAAAAAAAATAACAAAATGGCGGTATGAGAAGCAGGTCATGTGAGACGATTTTTTTTTGGAGGGGCTCCCCCAACAAACAGTACAGACGATGCAAGAAATAATCTGGAGCAAATTAATTTTTTTTCTTAATTTACAGAAACTACAAAAGTACGTAGCTGATTTTGAAAATGAGGCGCATGAATATTCCCCACTCTGAATTTGTTGGAATTTCTATTGAATTCGATTTTCGTATTTAAGAAATTTTTATTCAACAGATTCTCTAGTTAAACGAATTTTTATGCAAAATTTATATAATACAAAGTTTTAACGTATATGTATAAATTCTAATAAATACAAATTATAGTAAATGAAAATTCGGTCAACTAGAAAATCTGTTTTTTAAAAACTCGACTAAATAAAAATTCCTTCAATTATGAATTTAGTTAAATAAAAGTTCTGAAATATGGAAATTCAATTGAATATAAATTCTATTTTATAAAATTCCAGCTTATTAATTTAGAGGGCACTGAAGTTTTGAGTTTTCAGATAACACGGTTATTTTAAAATCCGTATAACTTTTGTACAATAAATAAAAAATTTAAATTATAATTGCTTATAGGTATTGAATATTCTAAAAAAATGTCAAACATAAAACAGAAAAAATACGTCAAGTGTGTGTTACACTCACACTGTAACCTAGGATTCCTTACACGAAACAAAGTTAGTTATTTGAAAGTGATATTCTATAAAATCGATAAGGTTTTTAGTCAACATTGATATTATATATAGGTCAATATATGAGCCGCCGGAAAGTAAATCAAATCACATAAAATTTGTATTGATATAATACAAAAATAACATAATGATTTAAAATCTTTTTCAAAAAAATTGTTTATTGTATCAGAAAATTTTTTTGTCAACATCTTTATGTGTACTTACATTTAATGTATTAAATACAAATTGATTGTGACCATACACTAAAATTTTTTATAAATAAAAATACAAGAAACTGTACTTGACATTGATTTCACTTTAACAGTAACATGAATTTTTTTAATAATTAAACAAATTTACAAACAATAAACTCAAACCATATAAATAATTAAAGATACATCAGTAAATTAACATCAAGAATGTAGAATATCAAAAGTTTTACAACAAAAACTTTTGGTACAAATTTAGATTATTTTCGAAAACATATTAAATTCATAATTATTCTGATATTACAATAAAATATTTATAACAAATCCTGATGAGAGTATTTATTTTTGATTGCAGATATATAAAGTGATGTTAATTACTTTAAAGGTTATGAGTATTTTTAATTTTTAATACATTTGATTCATTTAAAACATATAGAAATTAGTATATGAAAAAAAAAATATTTTTTGAAATTAATTCAAATTATGCTGGCGAAGGTAATGATAGAATTGATAAGTTTCATAAAATTATCCTACAAATTCAAATTCCTCGTCTGATGAAGTTATTTAAAATTAACCTAAAAGTTCAAATTCCTCGTCTGATGTATCATATTGTCGATTAAAATCTTCGAATTCCAGTACTAAAAGCAGTCAATAATTATATTAAAACTAGTGAATAGAAAAATGTGGTACAGTTTTGTCTTACCAAAGTGTGAAATAAAAATAAAACTGAATTATGGAGAGGGAAAGCAAAATAAAAAAATATGTTTTTCTCCAAGACATTTTTCATTTTGTTTCAATAGAGTTGGGTTTGGCAAAATTACAAATTTTTCATATTTTCAACTTTTACACTCCATAACTTGTAGAAAAATGCATTTTTAAAAATATTATTTTAAAATATACCAAATTAAAACATTATTTTCCGATTTTTTGAGATAAGGGTCGATCATGTATTACTAAAAATTGTTTTATTATACTTAAAAAATAAAACTTTCTTACCAGTTGAAGCTGCTGCTCCTAGGACTTGTGAAACCATAACATCTTCTGCTGGAGACCAATGAGCAGTTTGCTCATCCAATAGTTCAAAAAGTGGCTGCTTATCTGATGATATTAGCTTTTCTTGCATTAACGTACATAATGATTTAAAATCATTCTCCGTTTGGCAGAAAAAACACTATAAATATACAAGTTAATGATTTGGTATTGATGCAAACAAAAAAAGCAGTCGGAGTTACGTAACTGTCATATTAATTTCAAACCTTTAATAAATAGTACCATAGCAATAAAATAAAATAATAATGCTGCAGTTGGCAGGCAAGAAAAAAAGAAGCTAGTTACAAAAGAATACTGCACTTACAAGTGCAACTGAGGGGTCTATTCCAGTGATGTGAACTCGACTAGCGACGTTACAATGATACGTCATGTCCAGATCAATTTCATTTTCATCTATTTTTTGATCAACATTTCCGGACCTTTGTGTTGTATGAGGATCTAAAAAAATCACTTCGTCACCTACAAAAAAATTTAACTTTTTTAGAATGTTTGTACCCGGATACAAACCTCCAGAAAAAATATTTATTTGACATTTAAAAAATCAAAATATTATTATTAATAATATTATTAATAATAATAATAATACACCAATTATTTATTTCTATATTTTACATATGATCAAAATTTTCTTAATATTTCTTCTATAAAATTTTTTAAAAATGATCCGATTCAAACAAATAAGGACCTATTTCTTTAAAAACATAATTTTTAACATCTTCACCAAAATGCACCGTTTGGAAATATTGTTATTTGTTTAAAAAATAATTCTCACTCCCATACGAAAAGTATGACACGAAAAGAATGAGTCATTCTGTCTAACAAGGATTGAGAAAATAATTCCCTGACTCCTCCTTGACATTTTTTTATTTTTCCCTGACTTTTTAATAACTTTATTTCTGCTTTCTTTGGACAAAAATATGGTTATTGACATATTTAACAATAAATTAATTTCTAATGGTAGTAACAAATGGTAATAAAAACCATTCAAGTTTTTTTAGATTAAAAAAATTTTAATTTTTGTAAAAATTTACAGTAATTTCCCTGACTTTGAATGAAATTTTCTGAAATTCCCAGACTTTTCCCTGACCGTTAGACACCCTGAATGACTCTTAATTCTAAGGTAATTTTCTACAAAATGAGAAACAGTTGTAAAAATTAGCGTGTCACATTTAAAAAATGAAAGCCTTCAATGTTGTAGAAATAAAATTGAAATAATTTTTTTATACGAAAAATTCCAGTAAAACATATTGAACTGGAAATTATTTAGGCGTTTTTATTCAAATAAACAATATTAATTTTATCAAGGAGTCGCCTTATTTTGTTCTAAATCTCAAAAGTTTAAATTATCAATTGATTGAAATCCAAAATGTCGAATAACCGAATTATATCAAAAGATCGAATTGTTAAAAGTCCGAAAGCCTAATCTATCGAATTGTCTTAAAAGATAAACATACAACGTCTTTTTTATCATTCTTTATTGTGGTTTTATCGAGTAAGCAACAATTTTTTTATATCATTGCATTATTTCGCCTTTTTCTTTCGAGTTCTGCTCGTATAGACAGAGACATAATACAAGTATTTTGCCTCTGTCCATCTTGGTAGAATATCTGTTGTATGTTATTTTTATTGGAAACAGGTTCAATTTGGAATAATTGCTTATTGTTAGTGCTTTGTTAATTTGCTCCGACAAAGTATCACAAATTTCTGCACCTTTCTTATGTTCACTTACTCACTTTTTACGTTCCTTCATTTGTTAAGAAAACATTTTCTTTCTTTTTTCCCTTCATTACCTTCACTCCCTTATTCATGCCCCTATACCCTTGTTTACTGGAAAACCGCTGCTAGATTTATCATGAGATATCCAGTCTAGTTACAGTTAACATTTACGTTTTTGCGATGCACTTCGTTATATTTCACTTCTTCATAGTTCACTTGCTTACAATTCACTCCGCTCTGGTTAATTCTAACAATTTTACTTGTATTAAAATATAAAAGTGTTGTACGTTTTCCTTATAGGATTCCCCTATTCATGATATTATTCCATCTAATTGAAATAAAAAATGATTTGCAAGTTAGTATGAGTATGCCTTCTGTGCGATTCCAGGTGAGATTTTGACTTTTTCGGAGTAGGTTAACCGATTGCAATGAAACTTTGGAATTTTGTTATATTTAGTAAGACTAATCTTTAACGTAAATTTCAGCCTAAAATATTTGTTAGTTTACGAGATTTGCAATAATAACAAAAAATTTAAAACTGCTATATCTTCCGTTCTAATAAACGGATTGAGGTCTACTTTTTTTTAAAATGTCAAGGAAAATGAGAGGAATAAATCTCTTTCAGAACATTTTTTTATAATTTTACAACTAAAAAAATTATTAAATAATAATTGAATAACTTTCGCGCGACTATCTAAAATTCAATCACTTAAACGCTAAAATGATCTTACCTGTGTTTTCTTTAATGTTCCAAAGGATTTTTATTGTAAATGTAAGTTTAACTTAAGAAATTTTATTAATTTATTAGTATAAACAATTGAGATTTCTGCTAGTTGACGTGCAGACGACATTGCGCACGCAGCATTCTCCTGTAACCAACTGACGTGATTCGTGGACTAAATTGGCTATGTCAGAATGCTGCGTGCGCAATGTCGTCTGCACGTCAACTAGCAGAAATCTCAATTGTTTATACTAATAAATTAATAAAATTTCTTAAGTTAAACTTACATTTACAATAAAAATCCTTTGGAACATTAAAGAAAACACAGGTAAGATCATTTTAGCGTTTAAGTGATTGAATTTTAGTTAGTCGCGCGAAAGTTATTCAATTATTATTTAATAATTTTTTTAGTTGTAAAATTATAAAAAAATATTCTGAAAGAGATTTATTCCTCTCATTTTCCTTGACATTTTAAAAAAAAGTAGACCTCAATCCGTTTATTAGAACTGAAGATATAGCAGTTTTAAATTTTTTGTTATTATTGCAAATCTCGTAAACTAACAAATATTTTAGGCTGAAATTTACGTTAAAGATTAGTCTTACTATATATAACAAAATTCCAAAGTTTCATTGCAATCGGTTAACCTACTCCTAAAAAGTCAAAATCTCACCTGGAATCGCACTTCTTCATACACCAGAATTTAGCATTTGTTTACTTATTATATTTGTTGATCAACCAATAGGTTTTCCGGAATAGCAGATTTCTTTTTGTTTTTAAAGTATATTTTTAAAGTCCCGTTTAGGTAATGTCCCGATTTTAGAGAAATAACTTGTATTATTTATTAATTTATCTTCACTAATCTTTTCGGGTTGAGACGGGTTGTGACGTTAAGTATTTTTTGTGATTAGCGTCACAATAGCACCAATCCACATTCGAAACTTTTGAGTTTTAGTTATTTGAACTTTGTTGTGAGTAACCATTTAATGCTTATGACATTTAGAAAACTTCCTTCGAAACACCGGTATGTGCAGAAAAACTTAACTATTGTCAGTCGATCTTAATTTAGTATTTCGATTAGTTATAAATTTTGACATTTTTATTATTATAGTTTAGTCAATGGCTCTCCCACTGCTACCGGACTACCATCAGAGCGTGCGTCCGATTATTGCATTGATACACTCAATTAATAGCAGAAAAACACGTTACAATCTATACAATCATATCTGTTGATATAGTTGGCATGTGTTTCATTATATTAAATAATTAAATCCAAGAATACAATGATAATTACCTAAATATCTATGTTTACGGTGATTCAACCACATTTTTCAACTTATTAATTACTCAGAACCGATGTAAAGTCAGGGATAAAATTGATAAAGAAATAAATATAAATAAAAATATAGTAAATATCCCAGATGTGAAAATTAATATATGCTTCAGTCTTTTCCAACAACCAAAAAATAATTTTCAAGACTGGATTAACACTAATCGGAATTTTGCTTGTCATTCATCGCAACTTCATTTTTTACTACAATGCCTTACGTACGACATAACACCTAAACACATAGGCAATCAGTGATTAGCGATTTTATGGATCTAGACGTTTTATAATCTAACAACATTTTAAAATATCTTAATTTTATTTATTTATGTTATTTTTTTAAGATAAAAACCTTTATTTATATTGTTTATAATTTTTATTTCTGTGTACTTTTTTTTAAAGTAATTTTTTTCTAATAAAATTTAAGTTTCTGAAGAGTGCAGCTGTGCTATTGAAACGTAAACGTCTTTTATTTTTAATTTAACTTAACTCTGAGTGATCGATATCATCATCTTAATTATTAATAAAGTAAAGTTTAAAATCACTTTTTTTAACAATTATGAAGCAGTTGCATTCTATAGCAATAAATTTTTGTTTTAGATAATTGTTATCGAATGGGGAAAATCAGCAGAATTAGCTGTAAGGTTATTAAACCACACACAAAAACCATAAATTAAATATTTTTCTACCACTCACCTACACATCCTATGAAATAAAGAGCTAGATTTGGTTTTCCTCCAATTACTCCCATGGACTGTGGAAATTGAAACGAAGTCTGAAAATAATATTTTAAGTTAAGTTTGTTATGTACTAAAGCAAAAATTCTTTTAATTTTCAATTAAATTTGAGTATCTGCTATAGTTATTTATAGTATTAAAATGTAATAAACAAATTTTGCAAAACACATTTTTTATGGCTGATGAAACGCCCTTTTAAATGGTGCATTATGAAAAATACTGCTTAATACCAAAGACATTTTCAAATTATAATAAAGATAATTATGAGAAATAAAATAATGTTTAAGTTTTATGGGCAGTTCGCTTTTTGTCATAAAAATATCAACACTGTAGTTTCGATGGTTTCCTGTTTGAATGTGATAGTATTTATTGCGTAAAAAATTTTCTTTTTTTGAGGAGTTGTCCATTTGAAAAAGTATGAATGGAAAAACATTAGTAAATTACTTTCGATTAGTTCCTTAAAGCCTTACAAAATGAATCAATTTTAAAAACCACCTGCGTGAAATACATTTCGAGTTAAAGTTGTCACCAATTTAAAAAAAAACTGATTTAACTGGGGAATTCTGTCTAAAATATTGTGACATTTCTCATATATGATTATGGCGATGAAGCTAACAAAAAAAATCTTACTAAACAGACAACCCTTGCTAAGAGTCAACAGAATGTACAATTTTCAAGTAACATAGAGAAAAAATATACAACATTTCCTACTTACTTTAAGGGCATTTATGTAGATTGGATTAATTTCACTTATACCCAGCCTAAGTGGAATTAGAAGTAAAAGAGGCTTCCATTGACTTGGAGCTTGCAGCGGAATATTACCATCCGCTTCTGCAGTTGTAGCTCCTTCGACCTTGCACTGCCTTACTGAAAGTCAAATTAACATCCACAATTGAAATATATATGAGCTGAACAAAAAATAAATATCTACTTAAATTAAGGTGTGGCAATCTTTTTGGAACTTAGTAAAAGAATAAAACATATCCTTGACGTTTCGAGATCGGTACCGATCTCATCATCATATTTAACCGAAGATAATAATTCTGATATGGATATGTTTTATTCTTTTACTAAGTTCCAAAAAGATTGCCACACCTTAATTTAATTATAATTATTGAAACATTTAAACATTTTTTTAAATATCTACATTAAATATTAAAATCTATCTTCAAGACATGTCAACAAAGAGTTTCGTCCTCCACTGTGTGCTAACAAGAAAAAATGTGGAAACATTTTTATAAACTTTAGGATGATAATTTTAATCTTAATGTCTAAATCTAAAATTTTGGCAAAGCTAACTATACGTTAAAAAATAGTTTAAGTGTACAAATCTTTCAGCTGTACTACACGAATCGAAATACTCATAAGGGTTTAAAGTGGTTTAAAAATACATTTGAAGGCAAACACTGAAAGGGGTACATAGGGACATATTAGGTGTATTGACTAACAAAATTTCACAGAAAATCAAAAATTTCTTAGTGATAAAAAAGAAGAAAATATAGGGGAATTATATCTATATTTTATTATTTATTACAATAATCATCTTTGGGAATCAGTCTTATTAGGAACATTTGTTGCATAATTAAATATAAAATTAACAAAATGTAGAAAAGTGAAATATGACCATCTTGCCCTCCCCTGTGGGTAAGATGGGATACCCTACTTTCAATTTTCGAAAGTGAAAGTTGCATCTTCACCTTTCTTTCCAACGTGATTTGAGGCACTGAAAATATTTTCCCTGCCAAGTTGAAACCCATTTTTCATGCTCTCTACTGACCAATTTTCTCTATTTGTCTTTCTTTTATCATTTTTTTAACCTTCTACAAGAAAAATGAAATATTTATACAAAACTATTCAACGCTTGTACTTACAGTAATACGCTTTTAATTATATGGTAAAATAAAATAAAATGGTTAAAAAGAGAGACTCTATCCTAAAACAATCAGTTTAAAATATTTTACAAGTTCAACAAACAGACTAGTCTATTTTTACAAATATTTCATATAATAATTTAAACTATACATTAAAAAAAATTTTTTTTGGGCATTCAATGGACTCATTAATTTAAGTAAATAAATAAAAGAATAAAATCTTTTATAAATGTTATCAAATTAAATAAATGAAATCCGCCTAAATCTTATTGTTCATGTAATAATTCATACAAATTTGATCCACTATTAATAAAATTATGTACTTTAGAAATATCTTTAACATTCAAATACTCATAACTCCAGGGATAAGTTTTTTCTAATTCGAGAAAACGTGTTTGCATTTTTTATTCAAAACAATGAACTAAGTAAAAAAAATGTAAGTTCTGAGCAATGTAGAGACAAAAATCTAATACTATTAATATTGATTACTTAACTGAATTTAACTCCACACCGCATGAAGTACTTATGTCTAACAAAACGAATGATGTTTCATACTACATATGTGAAATTGGAAAATTTCTTCAATTTAATATGAATTTAAATTATTTATTTACTAAAACTTATAATTAAAAAAAAATATTTGAATCTATCAATAAACTTACTTAAGCTTAAGAAGTTATAGCTCAAATTGTGACGTATATTTAAACTTCTTTTTGTGCATAAATTGTTATGCGGTGTAGGGTTAATAATGATATTTAAATTTTAATACTAACAGACATCGTTGACAATCAATGTATTATCTAGTGCAACATGTATCGTTATAGAACTCCATTCATCGAAAACAATTAATTTCCTGCAACAGAAATAATTTTTAAATTTTTTCAAATGAATTAACAATATACATTTGTACCAATATGGCGTCAAATATAAAGTAAGATGTGAAAGTTTTGATCAATATGTGCTAAACTGCCCTAATGTCATTGAATTTGCCTGCATTTTGCAAAATTGGGGGTTTTTCGGGTCGCTGATTACCAATGCGATGTTAGTTTTCAAAAATTCAAAATGGTGAATTTAATATGGAGGACGACTTTTTGAAAATACAATGAAATTCGCTTGAAATTTGTTACTCGGAGGTTTTCGGGGTCGCAGATTACGAATCTAAACTTCGTTTTCAAAAGTTCAAAATGGCGGACGACTTTTTGAAAATTCAATGCAATTCACTTGAAATTAGTTACTCGGGGGTTTTCAAGGTTGCCGATTACGAATCTGAATTTTGTTTTCAAAAATTTCAAATGTCGGCTCCAAAATGGCGGACATGTTTTTTAAATTGCATCAGATTTACACAAAACTTGTTACTCGGGGATTTTCGTGGTTGCTTATTACGAATCTGAACTTCGTTTTCAAAAATTCAAAATGGGGGATCCAAAATGTCAGACAAATTTTTTTTTTTTTGTCTTCGACAAGCAGCGGCTAAAGTTAGTCGATAACTAAAATATAGTTTCCATTTTCAGCTTACCAATAAAATAAATGATTCTTGAACTTGTCTACCTCCACGCGCTAAGAGTTGGAAACGTGTAAAAAGGCGGCTAAAAGACAAAGAAAACCTTTTCAAAAATTATGATTGTCGTTTTGAATTTTTGAAAACGAAATTTAGATTCGTAATCAGCGACCCCGAAAACCCCCGAGTAACAAATTTCAAGCAAATTGCATTGTATTTTCTTGGTATTTTCAAAAAGTCGTCCTCCATATTAAATTCGCCATTTTGAATTTTTGAAAACTAACATTTTTTACACCGGAATCGGAAAGAGCACACTTAAGACCTACGGGAAACGTATCTCTAGTAAAAAATATTGACCGTTTTATTAATAATAACTTAGGTTGAAAGTGAACAAAAAATTTTTTGGTTTTCGGCGTTTATGGGTTAAGGGGTAAAACCACCCAAACAATTTCAAAAATCGAATTTTTCATGCTTAAATGGTCCCTTGGGGTATTAGAAATGATATCCCATTAGTTTTAAGTCGAGAAAAATCATGGAACTATTTTTAAAAAATAATTTTCGGTTGAAAGACACTTGCACAGTAAGAAATTTCAATATGATTAAAAAATGAATTCAGAAAAATTATATAAATCACTGATAGGAGGTTTTTGAGGTTGAAAATTACGAATCCGATGTCAGTTTTCAAAAATTCAAAACGGCGGATCCAATATGGCGGACAAAAAAAATTCAAAATTAGTCGGTTTTACATGAAACTTTTGTTGCTAAGGTGTTCTCGGGGTCGCTAATTACGAATATCATGTCAGTTTAAAAAATTTTTTTAAATTCAAAATGGTGGAAAATTTTTTAAAAATAGTCAAATTGAATATAGTTCATATTGAATCCGACATTTTAAATTTTTGAAATCTGACGTCATATTCGTAATGAGAAACCCCAAAAACCACCGAGTAACAAGTTTCAAACAACTTACAGTTTCATGTAAATCCGTTAAGGCCAGGTCCAAGTGAGGCAGCGCCATCTACATTGAAACTAAAATTTTGGAAAATTTTCAACAGCCTTTTCTTGAAAACAAGAAGGTAAAATGCTTTTTCCTTTATGAATAATTGATTATTGGCAAGATATACACCAGCTAAAACTTTTTTTGAGTTAAAATAATAAAAAAAATTTCATGTCAATAAATTAAATATGAGCACTTTTTTCACAAAAACTGTAACAGTACTTTCTCAGAAATTACAATCAAAAATGCAATTTCCATTTGGAAAATGGAAAAATTTGCCGAAAGGAGGAGATTGGCGCTGTATCTAACCACCTGAAATACATAATCTACCAAAGGGCTGTCACAATCAGTAAAGCAGTATCAATATGTTAAATATTTAATAAAATTTTTTTTTGTTATTTTCGTGATTGGTAAATCTTAGGTCGTGTATTTTTTAGCGTTTATTAATTTTCCAAATGGAAATTGCATTTTTGACTGTAATTTCTGAGAAAGTACTGTTACAGTTTTTGTGAAAAAAGTGCTCATATTTAATTTATTGACATGAAATTTTTTTTATTATTTTAACTCAAAAAAAGTTTTAGCTGGTGTATATCTTGTCAATAATCAATTATCCATAAAGAAAAAAGCATTTTATCATCTTGTTTTCAAGAAAAGGCTGTTGAAAATTTTCCAAAATTTTAGTATCAATGTAGATGGCGCTGCCTCACTTGGACCTGGCCTTAAATATTTTTTTGTCGTCCGCTATATTGGATTCGCTATTTTAAATTACCTTTCTTTGATCTAGTTTACTTTTTATTGAAAAAATTAATCAATTTTATACTGGTAATTAAACAATGTGAAAGTCTCAAAAATAAATGAAGCTTACTTTAATACTTGTGCAACAGTGTTAGGTCCAAACCATTGACCGACCTCTTTTCCTTCTGAGGCTCCAGTTAGAGCGATTTGATGAATTGAAAAAGGCGCAGCCCTTCTATCTTCAAAACGACTTAGTATTTTCAGGTACGTACTGTCTTTTGTCTCCGGCGTCCACTCCCAGTTTTTACCTGCAATAAAAATAATAATGTGTAAACAATAAATCAGACAAATCAAGATTTTTAAAATATCCCTCTATTTTTCTAAAACTTGTTATCTAGGAGTTTTTGTGGGCGTTGTTTACGAATCTGCATTTAGTTTTTAAAAATTAAAAACAGCACATTATTCAAGGGAACGGATTTTATTCACACTTGGTATATCTATGTTTTCGGGGTCGCTGATTATTAAGAATCCGATGTCAATTTATAAAAATTCAAAATGTCGGATCCAATAAGGCAATCTTATTTAATTCATCGGATGTACTTGGAACAATTTACTCGAGGGTTTTCAAGCTTGCTGATTGCGAATCTGAATTAAGATTTTAAAAATTCAACATGTCGGATTCACTTAAAACTCGTTATTCGGGGGGTTTTTAGGGTCGCTGATTACGAATCTATCAGCAAATTTTGAAAATTCAAAATGGCGGAATCAATATGTCGGATTTTTTTTAAAATGTAAATTGTTTGATAGGTACTCAAGGATGAAATTTTGAAGTTTATCCGCAATTATCAAATTTAATTTTCCCAATAGTCCTATCTTGTAGCCTAAATATTTTTGACGCAATATTTGCAACATTTATATATATATATTTATTTATTCGAAAGATCTGATCTTGGGGCAACAGTTATGTTACATCTAGAATTTATTTTAACAGTTGCCAAAACTATTATGGAATAATTTTTTAATTACATAGTTTATTGAATAAACTTGATTTGATAAATTCACTTGTATTTAATTGCTTTTGTGCTAAATAATAAAGGATTTGTAACAAATGTGCAATTCAGGGTTGCTACGATTTTTCTCGAACAAAATTCCATGACTTTTCCAGGTTTTCCAGGACTTAATATGATATTTTTCCATACTCCATAAAAGAATGGTTTATATAAAAATAGTTACAGGCGAACCTTTCATAAGACAACCTCTAATAAGACAAATTTCCCCTATCGTGTTCCCCTTCCCTAAGGCTGCAGTCCCATGGCAGCGTTTTGCGTTGCGTTTTGTCACTAGACCCTGAGTGTAAACATAGCAAACATATATCTGCATCTCTTTTACACTCATGGTCTAGTGACAAAACGCAACGCAAAACGCTGCCATGGGACTGCAGCCTCAAACTTTAGATATATATTGCGTCATGCGCAGTAGCGTCAAGCGGAGCATATGGCTAACAATGTAAACAGAAAATAACCTGCCTAAAAATGTGCAAAAAAACCCCTATCTGTGATCACAGTTATGTAGTTTATATTTAAAGTTTAATATTTCTGTAAGTGTAAAGACTGATTATGTGCAATAAGCAACAGAAGACTCACGTGCATCTTCCATTACAGGAGAAGATTAATATTATAAAAAGCCTCAATAATGGAAGTACAAAAAATAAGTTGAGAGAAATAGCTGAGCAATACCATATTTCACCATCGGTTGTTAGTAGATTGAAGAAAAATTCAGAAAGCCTTAAAGATGTTGAGAATTTAAGTCCAAAAGTCCTGCAAAAGAGGAAGGTCAAAAAACCAGTGCATAATGCTGATTTGGAGAAAGTTTTAATCAGGTGGTTTAACGAGAAACGTGCTGCGGGTGAACCAGTGAGTGGACCGCTGATTTGCGAAAAGGCTTTGGTGTTAAATGAACAATTAAACGGCTCGGAAAATTTTAAAGCTAGCAATGGCTGGCTGCATGCGTTTAAAAAAAGATATGGTATTAGACAGTTATCTATGAAAGGAGAAAAATTATCTGCGGATGTTGATGCTGCCATAAGTTTTGCCTTTTATTTTCAAAATTTAGTTGAAGAGGAAGGCTGCGATTTGAGTTTAATTTTTAATGCAGACGAAAGTGGAGTTTATTGGAAACGGCTGCCAGAAGTAACTCTAGCTGGAGCAAACGAGGATTATGATTGTCCAGGTAAAACACACTTTAATTTAACATTTTCACAGTTTTTCTAACTTTAATAAATTAATATAAAAAAATGTTGGTAGTTTTTAATCTTTTTGACTTGTAATTATATTGAAATTCGTGAATTGCAATAATTATAACCTATAAAACTGCAAAGTTGAATGTGATGATTTTTAAAAACTTACAAAACAATTCACACTTTTTAAATTTAGTTTAAATGGAAATTATAAACTCATTTAAAGTGAAATCTCCATGAAATCTCGACTCATTCCTAATTTATTAAACTAAAAAGATTAAGGATATATGTATCTTTAAACATCAAACTAAGTAGTTTTTAACAAGGAAACTAAAAATATATTTAAAATGTATTTCACTCAATTTTGAAAGATCCAGTTGTACAATTTTCCGAAAAAATTATTTTTACTTAAAATTTGTTGTTTATTAATAATTAAGTAACATTTTGTGTTTTTACTTGAAAGTTAGTCAACGGAATTATTGTAATTTGTATCCAATTTTTATAAACAATCGCTCATTTTAATCTCCAAAAGTTTCTCTACAAATTTATTTCTTGAATTTTGTTAAAAAAAAATTTGTTCAAAAGTTATAAAATAAATAAAATTTTTTTATTTAATATTTTGTTAATGAATCATTTATTAACAAAATTAAACCGCGAACTGAATTATAGAGAATCTTTCAGATATAGTAAAATGAGTTGCTATTTTTAATAAAAATTGGATAAAAATTAAAATTATTCACTAACTTTTAAGAAAAAACACAAAATGTTTATTAATTATTAATAGACAAAAAAATTTTTGCAATTTTCTCTGTAGTGACTCCAATACATATTTATAGTTACAATTTATTTTAATATTTTTTTTATGCAGGTTGGAAATTAAAAAAGGACCGGGTGACCGTTTTATTTTGTTCAAACGCAGATGGTTCTTTCACTCTACCATTACTAGTTATTGGAAAATCTGAAAGACCCCGTTGCTTTAATAATAATTATACTACGTCTTTACCAGTCACGTATACACATCAAGCCTCAGCTTGGATGAATGCAAAGATTTTTTTCAGTTGGTATAAAGATCAGTTTATTCCGTTAGTACAGGCCATGCAAGTGCAAACACAAAAATATGGAAAAGTATTGCTGTTACTCGATAATGCTAACTGCCATCCACCGAAAGAAATTCTAAATAATGTAAACGAAAATTTTAAAGTTGAATTTTTACCTCCCAACGTTACGTCACTCATCCAGCCAATGGATCAAGGCGTATTTGCAAAGGCAAAAACTCTCTATCGAAAGGATCTACTTAGATTGTTAATATTAAAAAATGACCACATTGCTGTTCAGGACTTTATGAAATCTTTTAACCTCAGAGACTGCTGTTGCATGCTTGCAAAGGCATTCCAATCCTTGACTCAGGAGAACTTACAAAATGCTTGGAATAAGCTCCGTGGAATTTCAAGAGTAATGGAAAAGAATAGTAATGATTCTGACAATTCAACAACAATTAGCCAAATGCATGCAATGGTCAACAAAATTAAAGGTAAATTATATCCTACGTTTTTATTCATTTATGTTCATAAAATGGAAATATATTTTTGCAATACTAATTTCTAAATTAGTTTTTTTTTTTCTAAATCAAAGTTTTCAAAATGGTGGATGATCAAAAATAGGTCTTGAAAATGCACTGCAATGTAATAAATGATTTATCATATAATTATTCAAAATAATACAACAATTCTTCTTATTCGTGAGGTTTTTGAGTCTCTAGTCAAGAATCGGATAGCAAAATTTAATTTTTCAAAATTCTGGATTTATGTGATAAATCACTGATTACATTGCAATGCATTTTTAAGACCTATTTTTGATCATCTACCATTTTAAAAATTTTGAATATTTAATTTTTTTTAAAAATGCCAACATAAAGTGTAGCTAAAAATAAAAGAATTTGTGACCTGAAAAATCTTTTGCTCAATAATTGAAAAAGTTATGAATTTTTTTTTTTTTTAAAAAAAGTGCATTTTCCCCGTGTACTTTCAATGGGAAATTTCGATTGATTACTGGCACTATGTATTGAAAACGAACTGGGGGGTGGTCCAAATAAAATTCGAAAGTCGACTTTTTTACGGACACTCTAATCCCACGTACATATTTTACACTCTCTTTATTCATCAACACTTGTATCATAAATGTTTGTTTATAGAGCAAAGTTTTTGTTATAAGATTATTATAATTAAAATTTACAATAACTTTCTTATTGTTGAATAGGTCTTGAAAAAGTTGATCGATCTGAGGTGAAAGAATGGTTATCTGAAGATCAGCACGAGCCTGGATGGAAACAACTCAGCGACTGCGAAATTATTGAAATTGTCACAGGAAAAAATCCTCAAACCATTGCGAAGGAAAAGTTACATGAGAGAAAAATCTTCCAATCAATAGAGCCTAACAGTATCAGTATTCCAAGTTCTGAAGATATTAACACCACAGTTCACATTTTACACAATTGGTGTAAACAGAAAAATGAATATACACTTTCGGATTATCGTCTCTTTCGGAAATGGGAGAATCTGACTATGAAAAAATCTCAAGAAGAAGTTTCCAAAAGTTCTGATGCTAACAATAGTGATATAATTCCAAAGCTATAATGTCAAAGAATATACGAATGTTATGAAATGTGTTCTTCATAAATAATTACATTAAAAATATTTATTTTCATTATATATTTAAAACGTTGCTTTATAATATTTTAAATTACATTATGTAAGAAAATTGTTGAAACTCAGATCTTTATTTTAATTCTAAATATATTATGAGACAAATAATAAAAATTACTTAATTCTCGTTACATTTGTACCCTATCTTTTTCATTTATAATAATTATACAAATTACATCATTATATAAATTCTTTTAAATACTTCTAGAATCGATTATCTGTTTCATTTTTTTTTTTTTTTTTGAATTACAACTATTACAATTCATTAATTTAATTTCTAATAAATAACTTTATTTTAGAGGTAGATGGTAATAATTTAAAAGATTAAAGCCAAATATTAAAGTTTGATATTTCCTTGTTAGATAATACTTTGCACACTTAAAAACTACTTATCATATCTCTTACCTGTAATAAAATAAATTCTAAAGAGGTAATTTATATTTTTCAAAAATTTTAAGCCCAATTAAATATCTTCTAAAATACTATGTATTTTTAAATCGAAAAAAACAAAATAACTGCAATATAAAACATAAATAAAATACTTAATAGAAATAAAAAAACAACCACTATTATGAATTGTCAAAACCTATCAAAACACAATAGCATAAATATTAGGCTAATTTTGGTTATGGAAAAAATGCAAGAAAGAAATTTATGATTACTTTCTGTAATTTTTCTACTATTTTTTATATTCATCTCTTTATTTCTTCTAACATAATTTTCAATAAACTCCAACATTATTTTGAAATAGACCGCCATGCGCAAACGGTCACTGCGCATCAATTTCTCCTCTTGCGAAAAACCTGCTTTAAGAGAACCCCCCACTAAAATTGTCTTATGAGAGGTTTCGCTGTATTAAATATAAAAAATTCATTAAAATACAGTAAAGTTTATTATTATAATAAATATTTTACACTTTTTCCATGACTTTTCCAGGTTTCCAAAAAGCGTAGTAACCCAGGCAATTGTATTTTATTCTTTTATCAGTAAAATATAAAAATTGATAATATTTTAATATTATTCATAAAAATAATAATAATAATGCTTCAATATTACTTCATTCATTTAATTATTAACATTGGCATTTATAATAAAAATATTATTAAGTTTCAAAAGCGTTTTTTAAAACTGACACTGCAATTAAAGCTGTGTAAGTTTAAAATTTTTCTTTCAATTTTTCTAAATTATTAGGGCCTCAAAAAAATTAATCGAAAATGGGAAAATAACAAAAATGTTTTTAAAAATATATCAATTGATGTAATCTCTCCAAAAGATTAAAAAAATTTGAATTATATGTCATTAAACGCAGAACTCTTTAGGCTTTCAAACAAACTAAGTTTCAAGTTTATATTTTTTCTAAATTAAACTATCTTCTTTGAAAGTCAGTAGAAATTGTCCACTATACTCACACCCATCGTACGGACATTCCATAAATCTTGTTTTTTTTAAAGATAAATAGGATTTCCCGCGTATATTTTTATTTGTAAATATATAAACTTAAAATTTGTACAATATGTTAAATACATGTACATACCTAAATGTAATGAAATTAAAGCTTGTCCAAGAACCATCTGACCGCATCGTAACATACAACCCCAACCTTTATCAGAAGTAAATGTGGATCCAAATCCACCAATGGGTACAAAATTTTTTCGATATGTAAACCACAATTTGGATTGAATATTTCTTCGAATTGCGTCTAATTCTAGAAATTTATAAATATTAATTTAATGTATTTGGAATTTTAATTTAATCGTTCAATAAAATAAAAATGAACATAAATTACGTCTACTTCTACTCACTAATATGTACAACAGTAATCACCTTTCATTGCGTTATATTTTTTTCCTAAAATCCAAACAGGTTCTTCTGTTTGTGGAATATCTTCCAAGTCCTCAGGAGCATTCTGAGTAAAAAGGATATCCATACTGGTGATCTTATTCAGATCAATTTACAATTTTTGAGATTTATTGTAAGCACTGGAAATAAATGTAAGAAACTGAGTTGAATGAAAATAAAATTATATAAAATAAAATAGTTTAAATTTAGATTGATGACATTTTCTAAATTATCCGAAAGTGACCAATTTTACGAAAATTTTATACCAAATATCCATCTTGGGGCCCTCTCCCCTAAGTTTTACAGATTTTTAAATTAATTTTTTTTCAAATAATTGAATTGCACAAAATTTTTAATTTGAAATAAATTTTAAATGCTGTAATTTTATTTTTAAATTTCTGACAATTCAATTTTAGAGTAATTTAATTTAATTTTGGAAGTTAACAGTTGAAAGTTTTAGAAATAATTGAATTTCAAAAGATTTTGTTAAAGGACCCCGCACTAAATACACATAAAATGGCATACGGTTAAATTTGGCTATATTTTGAGAAATTTTAGTTGAAAGTGTCCTAATTGAAAAAAAATTGTCCGGAGGTCACTGAATAAATAGTTTAGCTAAAAAAAATGTCGAAACAACGCTGTTCGAAAGTGAATATTATAAAAAACTATTATTAAAAAAATTAATTCAGTGACCTCCGGACAATTTCTTTTCAATCAGGACACTTTCAACTAAAAATTCTGAAAATATAGCCAAATTTAACTGTAAGCCATTTTCTGTGTATTTAGTGTATTTAGTTTCCTTTCAAACAATAATTAAGTTTTCCAGAATTAAAAATAATTTATCAAATAATTTAACAAAATTTATCATTTTTGAAATTAAAAATTTTCGAAATATGTTCGCCTAGTGGATCAAAAGTTGCATTTGGAAAAGAAATGAATTAAATTTTCCAAAATTCAATCCATTATGAGGGTATTGAAAAAAGAAATTACCGGGAGGATTTAATAACAATACTGATTATATTCGAACATTAAAATTTATACTACCTATAATTTCAAATTGTTAATTTCAATGCAATAAAATAGTAAAAAAAATTGTAATGCTAAATAAAATATTATTAAAAAGAAAATAAACAAACTATGTAGAATCTTGTTTACAATTTATTTTCACACAATCCAAATTTAAGGTTAAGCACGAAATTCAATTGATGAATGTATTTATTAAAAGAAATTTTACTATAAAAATTAAAATTATACATACCAATAATATTCGTAACTGCACAACTAATAATATTAGCATTGCTTTTATTAATGTCCTAATAAAGAGTAAAAATTAGCAAATATTTTTCTTTGTTGACTGTTTTGAGACTTTTGTATTAGTCATGCTTATAAAATATAAAATGTCAACATCAAAAACATAATCGAAAAGGTGAATTTTCATGTAAGTTAAATGACTTAGGCTGCGTTCACACCTTTCTTTGAAAATATTCCCTTTTTTCTTTTCTTTTTTTATGTATTTTACAATAATTTTACGTTTGAATTTTCCAGGATACCAAACTGTAAAGGTGCTTATATACCTCAAATTTCGATCAGATGAACATTATTTCTGGACCGTGAAAATGCGTGAAAAGTCATTTTCACGGCGGGTATTTTTGAATTGTTTTAAACAAAAAATGTTTTTTTAAGAAATATAATATTAAATAATTGTTTTAATATGTAAGAACACTTTAAAATAGTGATAGAGAGATGATTTGATTAAAAAATTTAGCAAATTTTGCTCTAAAACGTTTTCTGCTACAAGAAAGTGTAAAATGACGATGTTTGTGAAATGGTTTGTACAGTGCTTCTTCCTTGTGAGTGTCTCTCAGAGTTTTGTTTATGTTATATCGTTTCTTTTTAACTTGTAATAAATAATGAGTGCTGGAAATAAATCGGTAAGTTGAAATGTTTATCAAATAAATTTAAATTCTACTAATTGTTTCGAATAACTGAAAGAAACATGTACACATGTACACTGTACAAACCATTTCACAAACATCGTCATTTTACACTTTCTTGTAGCAGAAACATTTTAAAGCAAAATTTGCTATATTTTTTAATCAAATCATTTTTCTATCACTATTTTAAAGTGTTCTTACATATTAAAACAATTATTTAATATTATATTTCTTAAAAAAACATTTTTTGTTTAAAACAATTCAAAAATACCCGCCGTGAAAATGACTTTTCACGCATTTTCACGGTCCAGAAATAATGTTCATCTGATCGAAATTTGAGGTATATAAGCACCTTAAAATAAGACACAGTTAAGCTCAAATCATTTAACAGAGAAAGAGATGAAAATCTATTAAAAGAAAGAAGGTGTGACCGCAGCCTTATCTCTAGGACAGTGTCACAATTCGGACTTTATATGAAAACCTTATTTATGAAGTAATTTTCCATTCCTGGATGTTTATTATTATAATTACAAAAATAAAATAGATTTGAGTACAGTAAATTTTAATAATTTCTATATAGAGTTAGTAAATATGTGTTAATGTAAAAATAAAGTAGTGTCAATTATTTTCTATAACTTTGAAACGAGTTGTTAATTGTGTCTTCCAATATTAAATGAAGTGTAGTTAACCCAACGCGATTGCGAAATTTGTAAACATAATCAGGTGTGAATGTTTATTTTAAGAATTCTAAATAAATTGGTATATTAATTTTTTTTTATATAGAAAATAGAAAAAAATATTTTAATTTTACAGAGTACGTTTATTAAAAGAATATTACGATATTAAAGATTTTGTCCACTTTTTAGGTTATATTTATAATATTTGTTAGTTTTTTAAACTTTTGCAGTATTTTTGCGATTTTACTCAAATAAATTCTAGACAAAAAAATTTGACATAACTTTAAATAATAACTGGTATTAATTCTAATCGGTCTAAATTAAAATTCATTCTAATTCTAATGAAATTGTATTAAATGAAAATTTGAACAATTAATTTTTAAAACTTTTTCATGCGTCCTGAGAAATCATGAAATTTGTAAAAGAGTGCTTAAAAATTTAAATATTTATAACTTTTTCCTATCAAGTAGTAGTAGTAGTAGTATTTATTCTTGTATACTATGTACATAGTTTTTACATTTTCAAATCCCTTACATAAATATAAATAATTTTAAATTTAATAACAAAAAATTTTTTTTTAAACTAAAACAAAATTAACTTTTTTCTATCAATCAGTAATTGTAAAAACTAATGTCTCAAGGAGACTGCGGGTTAACCATTGTATTAAATAAATAAATAAATAATTGAAAAATTAAAATTTCAAAAAAAGTCTATTTCAGGTACTATCAGAAATTAGATTTATTTTCTTTATTTTTCACTTTCTTACAATATATCATTTTTCCTTATTTATAACAATTTAATAGTGCTTTTCTATATTTTTTGCTATTAAATTTTTATGTAATTTTAATATACCGTATCTATTTTATAAACTCTTTGAAAAAGGATCGATTGACCTATGTTTGAATCTTATACGACCTCAAATTAAAAAGTCATTGTAAATTTAAAAAATTCAAAGTTGTTTTAGAAAAGTTTAATTATTTAGAGTTTTTGTTTAAACTCTTTTTTTTATTTTCTAATTAACCGACTTAAATTTTTAATCAGATTCATATTCATATTAATGAAAATTCATACTTGAAATTTTGCGGAATGTTAAAAATTTAATGCTTTAATTGGTTACTTGCAGGTGACTAAGTATTAGTATTTCGCAAAAATGTTAACTCCACGGTTTGAGTTGACCCAAACAGAAGATGAAGTGCTCGTTGTCATTCACGCACCTTATGCGAATATTAAAGATACTGAAGTACATGTTGAGGCATGTGATTTCAGATTCTTCTCCAATCCTTATTACCTTAGGTAGAAAATTTTAAAGAAATAATTTTAGATATGAAAAAAATTATAATTTTTTTTATTCTTTATTTTCAAGATCTTTTGATTATTTATATTTCAGAAACAAAAAGTTCAATTTTTTATTATAAAAAAAAGATGTTGAAACTTTAAGTATCTATTAACATTATTTTTTTTTTCAATTGAATGACAATAAATATAAATTGTAATAGATTAAATCTTCCTGGAGAAATAGAGGAAAATGATGCATCGACAGGAAGTTATGATTGTGAAAAAGGAGATTTTTCTATGAGATTTTCAAAAATTAATAAAGGAGAACATTTTGAAAATTTGGATATGATAAGCAGTTTACTTTTACCATCAACAAAAAAAACCATAATTCCGGATATTCAAGTTATCAGTATGTATGAATATTTTTGTTTTCTTTCTTTTGAAATAAAAAAATTATATTCTTTTAATATTCGCTTTTTGTTAAAATCATTTTTTAATTAATTTTATAATTAAAAGGCCTTCTACATACATAATTATGTTTTTAATTATATTTTATAGTCTACTTACTTTTGGGTCTTTATTCTGGAACTGCTCCAAATTATTTTTGTCATATTTTTAAAACGCTTTCACACTTTTTGAACTTATTCCTCTAAATATGATAGTAATTTAATATGTAAGTAATAGATTTTTAAACCCCATCTTTTTATGGTTACAAAGTAGAGTAAGGCCGGTTTACCCCACGAGGTGGGGCAAATCGTGCAGTTTGCAAATTTTTTTTCAAGTTAATGCAGCAACCAAACAATACATCATACAGTATAGGTGTCTATGGAAAAGTTGCGTAATGAAATTACTTTTAAAACAAGACATCATAAAATAAAATCAGTCTTTTCTTTCGATCACCAGAGAGTGAAACCTGTTAATATGTCCGCTTTGCCCCATTCCCTTCCCTAATTAAATAATTCTATTTCTTCAAAGTACCTAATTTATTATATACAATATTACATAAATATATTTAAAGGTAACCCTGTAACAAGTGGTACAGATGTAGTAAATGATAACGAAGAAGATGATAAAGATGATGGCGATGACGATGAATGGTTTATTCCTCAAAATGTACCAAGCGAAGATTCTTGCATATCCTTAAATTCTTCTAAATATGGTTTTGCAAATAAAATATCTCGAGCCTTAGACGCATTTGAGGTACCAATTATTATTATTATTTAAACACCGTCAACCGGGGTAATTATACCGTCTCAGGGTCAATTTTACCCATCGACAGTTTTTAATGATTAAAATTTATATTTTAAAGGGAGTCATCACCTTTATTTTGAGTCCTTTAAATTTTAATGATCGCAGGAAGTTATACTTTTTTTCTTGTACCATTTGGGTCCTAAAAACATACAGAATAAAAAAAATTTTAATTTTTGACTATTTTAGAAATTAAAGTCTTAAATAAATTACCTATTATTTTAAATATCTATATTTTTTCACAATTTTGATTATTTTTCATCGACAATTTTTTTCCACGCTTTTTTAATAATTCTTAAGAATCTCTCCTACTTTAAAATAAAAATTATAATTAATGATTTTTATGAAAAATTCATGCGCCCATTACTTTATAAATAAAACTTTGATGTGTATAATATCCCCTACCACGGGAGTAATACATCCACGATTTTAAGTTTCTGCAACTGTGTCAAAAAAAAAAAAATTTTTTTCATCCAACTTATGGGAACTCTTTAGAAGGCTGTTATCAACATAACGCAACAGTTAATTTTTTAAAAATCTGAATAAATTCTGCGAGGAAAAAAAATAGCTTTTTGTGGGTATAATTACCCCGGTTGACGGCGTAATACATACAATGGTAAAATTAATTTTTTTTACTAACATAACGTGAAATTAGGAATCGTGGTTGGCGGAAATAATCGATCTTCCTCGTCCAGACGACACACCAATAAATCTTCGGAAAAATCTTAGAGAAAAACATGAGTCAAGTAGTTTCAATGTTGTGCATTACATAGCAGAATATCTGGAATCAGAACAAATCGATGAGTATATTAAATTTAAAGCCGAATGGGAAATAATAAGTGATAAGGATGTAACTTTCACTGAAAAAGAAGTCTCAATTTTGAAAGAAATGCCTAATAAAGAATATTTATTGGATGATAAAGAAATTTTAAATATTAGTCTAGGTCTTGTCGATATACTTTTTGGATTTTGTTATAATTATAGAACAACTTTAGGGGAAAATACAGTTGAAAGCGGATGGACTGTTGCTAAACTAAGTTCTACTTTATCGTGGTTTGAGGTAAAATATTGAGAAAATTTTATCAGTTAGTTAATCAGTATTTATTTTTAAATTATATTAACAAAGGGACGTATGAATATTCCACACACTGAATTTGTTCGAATTTCTACGGTTTCGAAATTAATAAGCTCCAATTTCTATGTTATCAAATTTTACAAAGTAAAATTTTTATTGTATTGAATTTTCATATTTAAGAATTTTTATTTAACTGCATTCATACTTGAAGGAAAATTTATTTAGTCGATTTACATACCGAAAAGTCGAAAAAGTCGATTTTTTTATTTCAATTAAATATAATTAGCTAATAAATATTTTACTTCAAATAACAAATGTTATTAGATATTATATTCATTTATTAACTCCTTAATAAGAAGAATTTTATAAGAATATTATCAAGAAAATTTATTTAGAATGTTAAATAAAAATTCGTTTAAATGTCAATTATGTTAAATAGAAATCATATTAAATGAAAATTTGTTCAACTAGAAAATCTGTTTTATAAAAGTTAGACTAAATAAAAATTTCTTAAATTATGAATTCAATTAAATAAAAATTCTAAAATATGAAAATTCAATATAAATTCTAGTGTATAAAATTCACTAACATAGAAATTTGAGCTTATTAATTTCGAAACCGTAGAAATTCCAACAAGTTCTGTGTGGGGAATATTCATATGACTCTTGAAAAATATTAATAATATATTATAGTTAATATTTAAATTTTATGTCTACTTTCAAGCAAACTATTTCATTTAGTTTATAAATTTATAAACTGATTTCAGAATTTTTTGGAAATGAAAGATGTAGTTATTGGATGTATTAGACGATCTTTATGTTTTCCATTGTTTAGAAATTGGAATCTTTCTATGAAAATAATTGAAGACATTAAACAAGTCTTAAAACTTGGTATGTAGAAAGTTTCTTTTTTGCATTATTATTGGTAAATTATGTTATAATTATTATTGATATTATTAATTATAATTTTATTAGGAAAAAAATATGTTGTTAAATCTTTGTGCGAAATATACACTTTCTTTAATTCATCATGCGAACCAAGATACGTTCTTAATCAACTTTATATAAAAGATTATTTAATATGGATTCAACAATCACCAAATTCTGTGTTAGAATTTCTTCTTAAAGAATTGAATCAGGTAATTTTTATTTATTTTCATAAAAAAATAAAAGAAAAAAGTGCATTGCAATTAGAATTTACTTTAATTTTTTATTTCTATAGATAGAAGTGAAGAAAGAAGAAATTGGCTTTGACTTACCTTCATTAGAAAATTCAGCATATGATATTTATGCAAAGGACTTGATTATAGAAAATACTAAGACAGAAGATGGTAATTTAATGACCAGTTTTAGTAATTTGACAATAAACAAAAAACCAATTACTCCGTAAGTATAATTATCTTCTTTTACACTGATTGTCAAGTGATTGATAATACTAGTGATATTAATATATTTATTAATTAGTTAACAGATTTATTGAGAATTAAAAATATTGACTTTTGTTTATAAAGTAATGCGACTTAATTTTTTATTAATTATATATATGAGGCAAAATTCCTGAAATGTCCGAAAAAAATTAAAACTTCTCGAATTTAATCCATACTTTTCTAAAATGTTGTTATTGTTGGTGAAAGTCTAAAAATCAATTGTTATTGAATTTAATAAAATAGTTTTTGAATTACAACGTTTTTAATTTTTGACCTTTGAAAAAAAAAATTTTTTTCAATGTACAATATTTATAAGTAGAATGCATAAAAGTTAACATACACTGAGAGAAGTTTAACGCAACATCTGCATTTTTTGAGGGACAGATATTGTACCACAATTATGTGCAGACGCAGTACTAAAATCGAACAGCAGCAGCGCCAATTGAGTACTGACTCTGACCTAACTTGTGGGACAAACGATTTAGTACAGTATCTGTCCACCAAAAAGCGCAGCTGCGATACAATTTAGAACCGATGTTGCTCGAAAGGTTAGGTACACTATCTGAACGTGTGTTTAGTACGAAATCTGTGTTTAATTTCTCTCAGTGTATATATAATGATTTTTAAAGCTTTTTTGACGAGCTACACGCTGTTAATAAAAATTTTTTTTTTTTAAATAACATTTGACCTTGAAATTCAAGGTCAAAATGTTAATTTACGTTTATCTCAAAATCGGATTTTTTAAAATTATTTTTAACTATCTCAATGGAAAGCTTGACTAATTTCCTACAAAACATGTAATTTTCAGAGTGGGATCTTTTAAAGTTTTTGAGATATTAATTAATTAATTAATTAATGTTTATAACAAATCAAATATTTTACAAACGAATAAAGTTACCGTAATTCTGAAGTTAGTAGTTGAAAGTTAACGTAATTCCGCATCCAACGAGCCCTATATGAAGTATTTTGGATGAGTAGATTGTTAATAAACAATTAGTTAACATTGCAATATATTATACATACATACATTGCAACAATCTACTTATCCAAAATACTTCATATAGGGCTCGTTGGATGCGGAATTACGTTAACTTTCAATTACTAACTTCAGAATTACGGTAACTTTATTCGTTTGTAAAATATTTGATTTGTTATAAACATTAATTAATTAATTAATTAATATCTCAAAAACTTTAAAAGATCCCACTCTGAAAATTACATGTTTTGTAGGAAATTAGTCAAGCTTTCCATTGAGATAGTTAAAAATAATTTTAAAAAATCCGATTTTGAGATAAACGTAAATTAACATTTTGACCTTGAATTTCAAGGTCAAATGTTATTTAAAAAAAAAAAAATTTTATTAACAGCGTGTAGCTCGTCAAAAAAGCTTTAAAAATCATTATATATATGTTAACTTTTATGCATTCTACTTATAAATATTGTACATTGAAAAAAAATTTTTTTTTCAAAAGTCAAAAATTAAAAACGTTGTAATTCAAAAACTATTTTATTAAATTCAATAACAATTGATTTTTAGACTTTCACCAACAATAACAACATTTTAGAAAAGTATGGATTAAATTCGAGAAGTTTTAATTTTTTTTCGGACATTTCAGGAATTTTGCCTCATATACAGTTCCAAAAGTATGGAAACTTGCAAATATCTCGAAAAGTACGCATTTTCGTGATACTTCTTTTTTCACTGTTGGGTCCCGGGACCTATTTTTTGGGTTCAAAAATGTAGATCTTTTTTTTTGGGAACAACTTTTGTTTTGGATATTTTTTACGAAAATGCGTACTTTTCGAGATATTTGCAAGTTTCCATACTTTTGGAACACCCTGTGTACTAATTGAGACTAGCTTCCATGAATTTTTTCAAATTTTTTTTAGCAAGTCGTTTTCGAGTTATGGAATTTTGAAAATTGGAGATTTTTCATGACTTTTAATTTTTGAATGCTCATAACTTCCTTAAAAATGCATCAATTTTAAAAATCTTTTTTTCAAAATGTGTGTTTTTAAACGTACTTTGCAAAAAAAATCGAAAATTTTTTTTAAACCATATTACTATCAAATTTTTGAGTTTTAATGATTAAAAGTCATTTTTCTCATTTGACGTACTAATCGATTTTTTTCAAAATTTTTTTTAAAAAAACCACTTCTTTTTACGAAACTTTTAAGCCTAGCCCGATAATGGTTTTTTTCGTTTATTGGATAAAAAATGCAAAATTAAAAGAAATGCATAAGATATAAAAATGTATTTTAATAAGGTCTATAACTTTTATTTGAAAGTTTTTTTTTAATTTTGCATATTTTACCCAATGAACGAAAAAAACCATAAATTTTGGGTCTTTTTTATGGTTTTCACCACAAAAATCAAATTTTTGGCTATTGTCACTATGATTTTCGTAATCAGCGCATCAAAATACATAAAAGTACGTAGTATAAAAAAAACCAAAAATATTTTTAAAAAATTCCGAAAATATTGTAAAAAATTTTTAAAATGGTTTAAAAAAAATTTCGATTTTTTTTTGAAAAGTACGTTTAAAAACACACATTTAAAAAAAAGGCTTTTAAAATTGTTGCATTTTTAAGGAAGTTATGAGCATTCAAAAATTAAAAGTTAGTATAAATGCAATTAGTAATAATGCAGTTTATATACGTATTGTTTTAGAGTTGTTTCTGACAGTAGTGATACTGATTCGGATTCCGATTCAGATTCAGATTCAGATTCAACAACGTCTTCCAGTAGTGATAATAACAGTGAATCCAATAATTCAACTAGTATGTTAACTGATCATAGTAAAAAAATTGAGTGCAAAAGTAAAAGTTCTGAATCTTTGGATTCAGACGATCATAGTGAACCAGAGACGCCTAATTGAAAGTAAATAATTGAAAATTAATAACAACTTATTACTTCATATATTGTTAATATTTTTAATAATTATATTTCAATATAATATAAATTTTGTAAAAAGAAATAAAAATAATAAATTACATTTTTGTAAACTTTTCAATTATTTTCACAGTTACGAACATATTCGTTATTATTACTTATATAATTTATTAAAACAAACTATCTTTTAGACAAATATTTTTTTAAAAGAAAGAAGTCAAGATCAGACAATCGTGATTTTTCTGGGGACGCATGAAAATTTCCCAAATTAGACGCCTGAATTTTTGTGGTGTCGAATATAATTTAAAGGGTAGCTGGGGTGTCCAGACACCTCCAAATTGAAACTTGTGTAAAAAGGTTTCTATTTGACATAAAACTAATTATATATTGTGATTTTTATTGGTTTTTTAGTAAAGAAAACAATAGTTTTACTGATTTTTTGATAAAAATAAAAAAAAGTTTAAAAAAGCTTGCAAAAACGAAAAAAAAACAAAAAATTTGCCAAATTTGTCTTTTTTTTAAAAATGTTGTAGTTTTTCGAAAATTTGACAATTTTAAAAATATCGATCAGATTTTGAAAGGTGAATAAATACACTTTTAGAAAAAATATTGGTTTTTGCATTATTTTAAAAAAATAAAAATAAATATAATTGTTTGAACAACTGAAGTGCAAAAAAAATTGATGAAAATTGACCAATTGAAAAAATCACAAAAATTAATTATAAAATAGATTTTATCAATTAATATTTATTAAAATGGGTGTTATAAATATAAAATTTTACAATTTGAATATGTATATAATATATGTGAATATAATATTATCAGTAATAATCCTCAATTGATATTCCATATGAAGTTATAAATAAAAAATGTTTATTTTTTCAACAATATATATTTTGTTTAAAAATGTATTTTTTATAAAATACAACTTATTCTCATGTATAATCTATAAATTTGTAGTCTATTTTGTAACGTTAGGGGATAACTGGGGTGTAAATATACCCCACACGTATTTCAATTCGATACAGAGCTTTTCCTGGAGCAAAAATTTCGGTCAGATGTACAAATTGAATTATCGTTATGGTCCCGTCGCGAAAAAATGAATGGTTAAGTCAAGAAAATACTTTGAATGTGGCTTGGGGTGTCTAGACACCCCAGTTACTCCTTCTAGGGTTAAGAAAGTGGATTCTATAAATAATTAGCCTAATTTTAATATCGAAGAATTTCTATTTAAAAAAATTAAACAAAAAATCGATTATAAAATATTCACCATTGTATTTTTTTTTCTCAATAAAAGTAATATAATTTATTAAGAAATTATATTCAATACAATATAAGTTGCCTGGGGGCCTTTCTTTATTTTGTGACTCGGCTCTGGTGGAACTATCTTTCAACTATGGAGAGGGTAGAAGTAAGGTGGGGATTTAGAAAAAGATAGAATTTGGTCACTTTGTGAGACCTGACTGTAGTACAAAACTACTCCAAAATTTGCCGTAGAGTCATACAATCAACTTCGTCAATTTTTATTGTATTACTTTTAATATTAATATCTTCCTCCAACTGGATTTGAATTTTAAATAAAGAACGCATACAAGTTTGAGCCTAAAATAATTTTAAAATTATACTTTTCAAATTTTAAAATTCCTTCAATGTAATTTACAGAGTTAAACTCACATCATATAATTTTCTTTGAAGTTCTGAAATTATTTTCCTCTGATCCACGACTTCCGCAATTAATGATTTATTATATACATCATATAGTGATATCGAATCCTCTTTTTTACAGCAATTGTTTAACTGTTTAAAAACAAGTGCCATTGAATTTTCTTTTTGTGCAATTGATTTTTCCAAATTTGTGATTTGGCCACCCAATGTTTTTGTCTGGCGAATAATCTAAATAATCATATTATTATTATATTTAGTGCTAATTATTTAAATTACACTATTTTAATTATTTGTTTCGGTGTAGGTTTAATATAATAACCGAGTCAAAAAAAAAAAAAAAAAAAAAAAAAAAAACGAATTGCCGCTAGGTGGCTGTAATATTTTAAAGTTTTAATGAAATTCTTTTTAAAAATTCAATTATTTTCAAAACTTTCACATAAATTTTACGAAATTTCAATTAAAATTCTTTTAATTCAATACTATTTGAAAATTCAGTTATTTTGTTAAATGATTTTTCGGTTAAGTATAAATTCTATAGTATGAAAAATCGGTTATATGGAAATTCTATCAAATAAAAGTTTTGTGAAGTAACTTTTCGGTTATGTAAAAATTCTGAAATATAGAAAATCAGTTTAATGACAATTCACTATTTTCATGTTGGTAAAGAAAAATATATTTGAATCTAAGTATTCCTAAGTTAGTGGATGCAATTCCAGACTTAAAAATGTGAAAATTAAAATATCTAAAAATAAAGACGAATTAAAACCGGCATTGGTAATAACGGATCAATTACTTGTTAAAACCGCCTTAAGAACTTACTTCTGAATGTTCATTCTCTAATTTTATCTTTGCTTCACTAGTTTGTTCGATTCTTTTCTTAAAAGCTTCGTCTGTTAATTTCTTTTGTTTATTTAAATCATCAATAGCTCGCTTCAAGCTTTTATCTACATAACTTCGCAATGTATTAGCTGTATTTATTTCTTTAGTACCGGTTAAAATAATTTCCCGCCATTGAATTTCCCATTCCTGTAATGTAGTTATCCTGGAAATTCACAAAAAATGCTTCATATAGTTTATATTTAGAATGAAATTACTTATATCAGAAAAGTAGAATTGATCTTCTAGATCGTAAAAGATAACAAAAATTATCATGCTAATTTGACTTTATGTATTTAATTAGAGACCAAAAATTAATTTCTACAAAACATAACAGAAATTTTAAAAGTAAAAAATTTTTTTAAATTAAATTAAATTAAATTTCTTTTAAATATAGAAGGCAAAGGTAATATTCTTACGAGTTGTGATTAAATTTTCCACGATGAGAATTCAGATCTAAGCAACTTTCCTTAGAGTTTAAATTTTCTTGATGAACATTTAAATTATATTCTTTACCTTCAAGATCATGATTCATATGATATAAAATAGATTTTAATTTTCTAACTTGTTCTTGAGATTGTTCAAGTACTTGAAATAAAATAATTTTTATTCTTTGTATCAATTCATTTTCTTTATGCAACTCTTTTTGTACGTCATCATAAACCAAATCAATTCCAATACGATGTTCTCTGCAATCATAATTAATTTAATTACTTCATTTTTTCACCTGTGACGAAGTAATTCGTCACAAGGCAATTTTTGACTGGGGTTGGGTTTCGCGCGTTTGGGGATTTGTAGCAGAGACAACGCAGGAGTCCAGGAGGTGGCGCCATCGCGGCGGCCACTCATGGAACGAGTCGGAGACGAAGGCGATCGAAGTAGAAATCAATGTAAGAGACACAGAGAGCGTGTATTGAGTCGTCGACGTTTCTGCGTGTTGTTGATTAAGTTGTGTAGAGGAGTTTTGTAAAGAGTGTCGAGAGTGTTCAGAGATAGAGTCGAGATAGAGCTCGACTCACTAGCAAATAAAGAGTAGAAAAGAAGTGTTAATTTGTGTTATTTATCAGCCCCTTTTTCTCGACACCGGCGAGTTACATCGACCACGAGGACCTGCCGGGAGGAAGCTGTGTGCTGAATTTGTCGACGTGGGTAAGTCCAATTTTGTTGTGTCGTGTCTCAAGGGTCGTGTCCCTTTTTGCGACTTTCGTTCTCGACAGAATCTCCTCTGAGAGACTATTTGATTTATTTTGAGTTTTGGGGTTATTTTGATGTTTTCTCTGGTTTGCCAATTCCATCTAAAAATTGGCTGGCGTCTAACAATAATCACGTTGGGTTTTCTTTTGTAACAATTAAGAGGGGTTATTAATTAATAACATTAATTAATTAAATAATTTCGTTATAAAAATTGGCGCCCAACGTGGGGCCTCGTTGAGAAACTTTGAGACACGACAAATTTTTGTGACTTGATTTTTGTGACTTTCTCGACCTGATATTTTCGACAGAAAATATTTTGTTGCTGATTGTAATTTTTCATGTAATGAATTTATTGTTTTTGCCCTGAAATTTATAATTTGCGACATGGTTGAGGAGTTGTGTTCGGGCAATTAAAGTGAGAAAATTTCGCGAGTGTTCCCAGGTAAATTTAATATGCATAGCGTCCGCCATAGTCACGTGTAGAAATTTTCAAGAATTAATTTCAGAGACATTTCTCGACCGATTTTGACGAATCGATTTTTCTCGGAATCAGTGAATTTTTCTGGATTTTTGTGCGTGATTAAATTTTGAAAAAATTATTTATTAATAATAATTGCTTCCCACGTGGCCGGCGTATTAATTATACCATACCATGTGATTCGTCGCGCATGCGTATTACGTGATATCTCGGTGTTTGAATTTGAGCCATGCTTCTCGACTTGGAAGAAGATAGAAATTTCAAACACTTGTGACTTGCGCAGTAGGGAATCTTGCGACTTGTAAAATTTTCAATGAGTGGAGAAATTGAAAATTTTAAATGAAACGCGTGGAATAAATTTGAGTGTCGATTAGTGTGACTTTTAAAAAAGAGAATTGTTAAATAAACAAAAATTAATCCAGGACCGTATTATTATCGCGACGGTCATCTTAAAAAAATTTTCTTTAATTATAATTGGAAATTTTAGTGGGTAAAATTTCCTTAACGACAAGTCAAGTAATTGTTGAATTTTCTTTTTGTTTACCAGGGCCGTGTCAACGGACCGACGGGCCCTATCAAAAATTAATTGACATTTTACGTGAGAATTTTTAATGGGAAAAATTCTCTTAATGACGACCCGGTTATAAAAGTAAATTTTTACGAGTGACCAGTGCCGTGACTAATAGTTAGCGGGCCCCAAAAATTATAAATTTTATTTAATTTAATTTTTGCGACAGGTTAATTTTTGCGACAATTTATTTTTGTGAAAAGTCAAGTTGTGTTAACTTGAATTTAATTGTCAGGGCCGTACCTATAAAATTGGCACCCCTATTTCTAGAATTCCAAAATAACTGAAAAATTTTAGGGAGTAAAATTTTCCTTTGCGACTAGTCAAGCAAGTGTATAAAAATTATTGACCAGGGCCGTGTCAACGGATCGACGGGCCCTTCAAAAAATTAATTTACAATTTTGCGTGAAAATTTTTAAGGGAGAAAAATTTTCTTTGTGGCGACTCGATTATTTAACGGAATTTCTTTTTATTGACCAGTGCCGTATCTAGTAGGGAACGGGCCCCCTTTAAAAAAAAAAAAAAAAAAATTTTTTTTATTGTGTTTTTCGACAATTAAATTTTTTCGAGCGTTCAAGATGGCAGAGGCAATTGAACGAATGCATTTCTACAAAGAAAGAATGCGTCTCTTGTCAACAATTCCACAGGCGAAGGAATTGTGGCAAGTGATTTTAGGAATGCCGGTAGGACAAGTGGTAACGAGCCTGTTGACTAATCAATTATGTATTAGTGGCTCTTTACAAGTTCTGCGCGAACGACTGTTTCGGGCAGAATTAAAACTCGCGCTTCCCCCAGAAACTGACGTGCCCTTTTGCGACGAGTACGATAAGGGGAACTCAGTCAAAGTTTTTCAGTTTGAGGCATTCACGGAAGAGAGTTTATTGCCTAACGTAAATCTTAAAAGAGGAGGCGAGTTTTATCCGAGTAGCGACGAGGAGAAAAATTCACGGTCGATTCGTGACTTGGGATATTTAGGAGACCGACAAATTCAAGGAGCCATTAGAAAAAGGGGGGGAAGTGAATCATCGCACAGCAGACCAAGTCCGACCACCGATGACTTTCCAACCCCTCCACCGCCCCTTCCACAATCACCACCGGTGATGTCCACAGCGTCGATCCCCACGAATTCCCCACCACGAATGTCAGCCGTTCATTCTATGAACTCTGCGCCAACGACCACCGTGAATTCTGCCCCGTCAATGAGGGTTTCAGCGACGATGTCGCCCGGGGTGATTAGCTTGCGACAGTCTGTAGCCAAGTTTACCCTGAGTCCAGAACTACAACAGCTGATCCGTATTAATAACCATTTAATGGCTAGAATGGGTCAGAATGTGGGGGATAATAGCAATTTCCACCGGCCATGTCAAAATCCAGTAGAATTTGCGACAGGGGAAGGGGATGAAATAACTTCTGTTAATCAGGACCAATCAGGAGGAGAGAGTCCCAACACCATCCCTAACCCAACCCCCCGGACAGTAGGCGACAACAGGATTAGGAGTGGGGAAGTATGTGACAGTAGGCGCACATACATAAAGAGAGAAAGGGGTTCAGGCGTAAAGAGCGAACCCAGCGAGTTAGGTAGCGACAATAGAAGTGTGAGATCGGAAGTTAGCGACAGATTCTCGACTAGGGAAGGGGATCGTCAGAGACGTAGGGAATCCAGCCGAAGGCATACCCCCCAAAATACACCACGGGTTGATGCTAGGAGGACACTTTTCGACAATTCTTCAACTGATAACGAGACTGACGTTAGCGACAGGACTCAGAGGCGAAGAGACTATCGTGTAGCTTCTCGATTAACTCAAATCAATAGGACTCTTAAAGATTGGGATATTAAGTTCTCGGGTGAAGAACGAGAAGATCCCGAAGAATTCCTGGAGAGAATAGAAGACTGCCGAGATTGCGCCATGATAAGCGACGAAGATCTCCTCCAAACACTCCCCAGCATTTTTAAGGGTAATGCGAGTAGGTGGTTCCGCACAATTCGTAATGAAATCAGTTCGTGGAGGTCATTCAAAAAAGCTTTTCGACGAGAGTATTTAACGACCATTGATGACGACGAAGTGATAGACGAGATGAGGAGTAGGACTCAAGCGAAAGGGGAGAAAATATCCTCTTACATAACCAGTTTGCGACTGATAATGGGGCACCTTAGGAAACCATTGTCGACCAGGGAACAGGTTAAAATCGCGTATAAGGGACTTACCCCCACTTATCGTAAACAAGTTGATTCATCGGGGTTAGAATCACTCTCGAAATTAGAGAGAAATTTGCGACAGTTCGAAAAGGTTCAAGACCTCGACGACAGATACGTTCCCCCTCCCCCTAAAGAGAAAATGCGTTTTCCCGCCGCGGCTTATAAGGGTGCGAAGAAGGATGAGAAAAAGCCATCTTCCTCTAAAGAGACCAAGAAGATAGCGGCTTTAGAAGACGAGTCAGCGACGGGTAGCGAGGTAGAGAAGGTGGTCGACAAGAAGAGTAAGGGGAAAAAGTCGAAGAAGACAAAGAAGACCGATTCTGAGAAAGGGACTACAGAGGTGAATGCAATTAGGCAATCAAGTCCTCAGCCATCCGCGACTCCGATACGGGCTTCTAACCCTACTTTTGCGACAGTGGCCGCTGGGAAAGGCAAGCGCCAATTTCCACCAAAACAAGGAGTTACAAATACTGGACATACAACACAAATTGCGACGGGCGGGTCGAAGCCATTTGTGGGGGCATGTTTCACATGTCAAATGGTCGGACACAAAGTTTCGGAATGCCCCATGAGGACATGCTTTGTCTGTCAACAGCGTGGTCATTTCGCGGCACAGTGCCCAGCTAGAGTCCAGGTAGAGTCATGCCTTGTTTGTCGAGCACCTGGCGTGAATTTCCTTAATTGTCCGAATTGCGTCCAAGTGAGGGCCGCTTTGGGAAACGGACAATGGGGGGCACAGAGCGGGTCTGTACCCCCCTCCAACCCACTGAAGAATCCTTAAAACCGATTCTTAACGACGGGGTAGCGACCAGGGTTGGAGAAGGTTCAGGGGAAAACAAGAGTAAACCAAGAGGGTTAAATTTTTTCCCCATCAACGAGGGTGCATCCTGTAGTGGGCAACAGAGTGGGAAGAGACCACTCACACAGTGTGATGAGAGAGTTGGTACTGACGAATTAAATGAAGAGAATTCATTTAAATTTGCGACACAGGTACCAAAAAGCCAAATGAGTGGAGAGCGTTCACTCAAAAACGTGTTAGTGACAGATGGGACTAAAGATACTGAAATGGAGTCAGTACCAATAGTCCAGGGGAGGGGAGAGGCTGTGACGGGCACAGCTGACCCAGAACCCTTATTCGACAAGGATGTAGACGGCAGTCGTATGGAAAATCGTTATTTCTTTCGAATGACCATTGGCGACAAATCTTATGAGGCACTTTTCGACCCTGGAGCGATGATCTCGGTGATTAGCGACAGAGTAGCTGAGCCTTATAAGAGCCGCATCCAGCCTTGCAATACATCGATAAGAAGCGCCATTGGAGGAGTAACTGAGACAGCTGGATTGTTGAATTTGAACATCGAGGTGGATGGCCATTCTCAACCATTTAGCGTCAAGGTCCTTAGTTCAGTAGTACAAGACATAATTTTGGGTGTGGATTTCTGTAAAGCCTGGAATATGGAGGTACAATTGGGACTGGGGTTATGGAGAGTTTTCAATGGCGACTGGCATGTTTTTGGCGTCAAGGATGGGATTGAGAGTGATGAGTCGATCTACGCTGAATGCGCTGGAATCTCTGCGTTGACGGACAAACAAAGAGAGATCATTCAAGAAATGGTGAACCGATTGGTTCTTCCAGAATCTGACGTACTGGGGGTGACAAATCTGACAGAACACCATATAAGGGTTACAGACGAGACACCAGTACAGCATCGACAGAGACGCATGTCACCTATTATGATCACGTGGGCTCAAGGACACATGATTCAATTACATGGGCAAGGCGTGATCGAACCATCAAGTAGCGACTGGAGGAGTGCACCGGTGATTGCCAGAAAAGGGAATGGAGATTTTCGAATGTGTATGGACTATAGGGATGTCAACAAGGTTACCGTCAAGGACGCCTATTTAATTCCGACGATAGACTCCATACTCGACAAGTTGAGGAAGGCGCGATACTTGTCGAAGATCGATTTGAAACTGGCATATCACCAAATTCCAATGGCAGAAGAGAGCAGAAAGTACACGGCCTTTGCCATCCCCGGCTCAGGACTGTGGCAATATCGACGAATGCCATTCGGCTTGACTAACGCGCCGATGACTTTTCAACGAGTAATTGATGCTCTTTTCGGACCGGAATTTGAACCTCACGTGTTTGGTTATCTCGACGATATAATAATTGTGACAGATACTTTCGACGAACACGTGAAATGGCTGGAGATAGTTTTAAAGAAGTTGGCAGACGCGGGATTTGTGGTTAACCCAGAGAAATGTGAGTTTGGGTGCTCTAGGGTTACCTACTTGGGGTATCTTCTCGACAATGAAGGATTGCGACCAGACCCCGAAAAAACCGAGCCAGTGAGAAACTATCCAGCACCAAAGAACGTCAAACAACTCCGAAGATTTTTGGGCATGGTGGGGTGGTATTCGAGATTTATCCAAGAACGATAGCGAAATCAAGATACCTCTTCTTAAATTGCTCAAGAAAAGTCAAGACTGGGAATGGGGCGAGGAGCAACAAGAGGCTTTCGACAAGTTGAAGGACAAACTTACGACAGCGCCAGTGTTGGCCCGTCCTGACTTTAGTAAGACATTCACCATCCAATGCGATGCGAGTAATTTTGCTATTGGAGCTGTGTTGACTCAGGAGTTTGACGACGGTGAACATCCGGTGATGTATATCAGCCGTGTTCTGACAGGGGCAGAACGGAATTATAGCGTCACGGAGAAGGAGTGTTTAGCGTTGTTGTGGGCGATTAAGAAGTTGCGACCGTATATCGAGGGATACAAGTTTAAGGTGATCACAGATCACAGTGCCCTAAAGTGGCTCAGAAACTTGAAGGACCCGAGTGGTCGACTAGCGAGATGGGCCTTGGAAATGCAGGTGTGGGATTTTGAAATCATTCACAGGAGAGGTGCATTGAACCAAGTCCCAGATGCATTGTCCAGGATGAGCGAGGATGACGAAGGGATGATCGATGCCTTTGATACCATTATGGATCAATGGTACCTTAAGCGACGAGATTTGGTTCGACAATTCCCGGAGCGTTTTCCTGGATGGAAAATTGAGAACGATCATCTTTATCGACATAGGAGTGACCCGTTACTCCTTCCGATTGTTGGCGACGAGGATGGTTGGAAACTGGTGGTACCTGAGGAGTACAGAGAGAGAGTTCTCCACGACGGCCATGGATTGGCGTCGGCAGGTCATTTGGGGGTAGAGAAAACGTACAATCGAGTGGCGAGAGAATATTACTGGCAAGGAATCTGGAATGATGTCCACCAGTATGTCACTCGATGTCCCCAGTGCCAGCTTCACAAGGCATCACAAGCAGGACCGGCAGGACTAATGGGACAGAGGATAGTTGAGCGACCTTGGGCTGTAGTGGCAGCGGACACGATGGAGTTTCCACCAAGCAAGAGTAGGTGTAAATATCTTGTCGTGTTCCAAGATCTTTTCTCGAGGTGGGTTGAGGTGAAACCGTTGCGATCAGCTGATGGAAAGTCGGTGGCCAAAGCATTTGAAGAATTGGTCCTCTTTCGCTGGGAAACCCCTGACTTTTTATTAACAGACAATGGGAAGGAGTTCGACAACAAGTTCCTCAAGGAAACGCTTCAGGAATATGGTGTCAAACACATCACCACACCACCCTACCACCCGCAAGCTAATCCTGTGGAGAGGAGTAACCGCACATTGAAGACCATGATTGCGACTTTCATAGGGAATGATCATCGCGACTGGGATCTTCATGTTCACGAGTTTCGCCATGCTATGAACACTGCGACACAGGTGGCGACTAAAACGTCTCCCGCATTTTTGAATTACGGAAGACATCCTCGACCGGTTAAAAGTTTGCGACGGGAGGTAGAACCACGAGATCAGGTTAGGAGAATTGCGCCAGAAGATTGGGTAGACAGGGTAAAGAGGTTGGATGCGTTGCGAGACTTGATAGCGAAATTTATCGACAAAGAACGTGATCGACAGACCGAGTACTATAACCGTAATCGACGTGAGGGGTTGTTTAATGTGGGTGATTTAGTACTCCGTAAATCACACAAATTGTCGAGTGGTACACGGAATTTCGCGACGAAACTCGCACCGAAATATGAGGGCCCTTTCGAGATCGTGGAGAAATTATCACCTACGGTTTTTGTCTTAAGTGATAACGAGAGTCGTCGTATCCCTAAAATCCATGTCTCCGACCTAAAACGATACCTTCCTCCGCGAAATTAGTGACCATATCTAATGATTATTTCTTTTGTAGATCAGAGGAGGAGTTTTGACGAGGGTAGTAAGAGACGGAGAGAGAGGGATAAGCGACGGGGGCCATATTGGAGAGAGAGGATGTCCGGACATGGGAATAGTCGACGAGGAGATGAACGGCGAAGTGATCGTTATCGACCAAGATCGATGTCACTCCATCGCCCAGAGAGGACCTTCGAACCACCAAGAGACCTGTCGGTCCCACCTTCACTTTTGGACTTTCCAAATCCAGATCCTATGACGACCGGGGAATTGGGGGCTGTCAGACGGCCGCTGTTAGCGACTGGGGGATTGAGCGATGATCGTTCGGGGGATAGGGTCATCGAACCAAAGTCCTTACCGGTGGCCGAACCAATTGACGATCACCCACATAAACGCGCGGGCGAAAGTTGGGCGCAGTTCGAGTCAAGATTGTCGATGATCGAACTGGAGCGGTTCATACAGGACAAGCCTCGAAAGTCGACGATGGAGCTGGAGAAGTTGAGGGACAGACAACGGGAAGAGAAGGAAAAGAGGAGAAAGGTTTTTAGGAAGGAAGACTTGGTCTACCCAGGGGAGGAGGAAGAGAAGGAAATCCCACCCAGGCCAATCACTCCGCCTGGACCTCCTAATCGATCTAAAACATCAGCCGTTGTCTCCAAACGGAATGAGAGCCAATCTGGGACCGGAAATTTGCGACAAGGGGGCGATGTGGGTGGGGGAAATCGATCCAGACCGTTACCTACAAAGACGACCGGGGTTATGTTCAATGGATTAAAACCAATATTGACCGACCCAACAGTCGACCCCCCTCCCCATGTTTGCCAGAACTGCTGGTTGAGAGGACATCGACGCCAGGAGTGTCCCAAGAAAGTGACAGAATCTTGCTGTTATAACTGCGGCAGGAAATATGTCACCCTAATCAACTGCCCCAGATGTAAAGAGGCTCACGAACGGTTTCTGGAGAAAAAGGAGTCATCAACAATTAGTGACAGGGGAAAGTTGGAGAAAGCGCGAGGACGGTCCCAATCGGGAGTTGATCCTTCACCATCGGGCCCAAAAACACCGGAGAAGTCCCGACATGTAGCAGCAGTCCCAATTCTTTACGACGTGACACCTCGTAAGCCAACGGTGGTCTCTGCAGAAGAGAAAACGGAACCACCGAAGAAGAACACACCGTCGTCTTCGGAGTTAGTGGCGACAGAGGAGGTTCCTGCTATGGACTTGGTCAGCGCCATTGAACAACTGACTCGAATGATGACCGGGTTACCAGTTGAAACAATCAATTTGGCGGTTCGACAGTTGATTGAAGAGAGGCGAAGGACCATGGACAAAATGTAGTCCTCCAGATTGTCGACAAGGGACGATTAATTTTCGACTTGGGTTTGGTGTTGTGGTTAGGCGTTACTGCTGGGAGTAGTAACGGCCTAGGGGAGGGGTGTTTGTGACGAAGTAATTCGTCACAAGGCAATTTTTGACTGGGGTTGGGTTTCGCGCGTTTGGGGATTTGTAGCAGAGACAACGCAGGAGTCCAGGAGGTGGCGCCATCGCGGCGGCCACTCATGGAACGAGTCGGAGACGAAGGCGATCGAAGTAGAAATCAATGTAAGAGACACAGAGAGCGTGTATTGAGTCGTCGACGTTTCTGCGTGTTGTTGATTAAGTTGTGTAGAGGAGTTTTGTAAAGAGTGTCGAGAGTGTTCAGAGATAGAGTCGAGATAGAGCTCGACTCACTAGCAAATAAAGAGTAGAAAAGAAGTGTTAATTTGTGTTATTTATCAGCCCCTTTTTCTCGACACCGGCGAGTTACATCGACCACGAGGACCTGCCGGGAGGAAGCTGTGTGCTGAATTTGTCGACGTGGGTAAGTCCAATTTTGTTGTGTCGTGTCTCAAGGGTCGTGTCCCTTTTTGCGACTTTCGTTCTCGACAGAATCTCCTCTGAGAGACTATTTGATTTATTTTGAGTTTTGGGGTTATTTTGATGTTTTCTCTGGTTTGCCAATTCCATCTAAAAATTGGCTGGCGTCTAACAATAATCACGTTGGGTTTTCTTTTGTAACAATTAAGAGGGGTTATTAATTAATAACATTAATTAATTTTTAATAATTTCGTTATACACCATATATGTATTTTCAACTTTTTCATATGGCAAACTTGTAAATGTTATATAAATTTTTACTATATTACCTGGCAAAAAGGCATTTTCCACAAATTAGATAAGCACTTTCAAATTCATTATTCAAAGTATTTGAAATTCTTTTTATCCCAACAAGTAGAGCATCTATTTCAAGAGCGACGTTTTTCTGAATTTCAAAAAGTTCATCTTTCGAAAATTCTATTGTTTTGATATTTTCTTTTAAATGGTAATCTGTTTCTTCTTTATTCAATCTATCCTTTTCTGCTGTTAATTCGGCGATACGTTTAACTTCGAAAATGAGGCGTTCTGCTGAACTACGATGTGCCTTACTGCATGCAAGTCTATAAAAGTAAGTATTTTAGGAACATTTAGTTCATTTTATTGATATAGCTGACAATTAACTCAGGGTTGACACAAAAATATTAATCTGTTTTTCCCTGACCCTAATGAAAATATTTCAAGAGGTTTTCAATAACAGGCCTCGGATTGCACGACTTTTTCGAATTTAATTTATTTTTTAAAATTGAATTATTAAAAAAATATATTAACTCGAATTGTTTGCAAAATCAATTATTTTCAATAATTTAGAACAAATTCTTCGAAAATTACATTTTTTAAAACAGTTTTCAATTACAAATTCACTAAAATTCAATTATTGTCTAAAGATTTGCAAAAAATTTCACCAATTTAAAATGAAAGTTTCAATTAATAATCTCCTGAAATTCAATTATTATTTCTTAAAATTTTAACTCGAACTCTTCTAAAATACAATTATTTCCAAATATTGTATTTAAAATTCTTTGTTGAATAATTTAAGTTTAATAATTTTAATCGATTTGTGAAAATTTAATTATTTAAAACATTTTCCAATCTAACATTCTCCAAAGTTTAATTATTGTTTAAAACTTATAAAATATCTACAGAAATTCCAATTTACGAAATCTTAAATTCAATTAGTTCCAAATAAATTTTATTTAATTTCTAATAAGAAATTGTTAATAATAATAAAATATTTATCAACTAATTAAATTCATTAAAAATAAAAAAACCGACATTTTAGACTTTTTTGTAATGTAAATTGACTAAAATGACCGAGGCTTACAATTATAAAAATATAAGACAATAATTTTTAGAAGAAAAAATTTTAATTGAAAATTTCAAAAATTATAATTTTAGTAGCAATTTTAGAAATTTGATATTTTTCTAGTACTTTTCATAAAATTCCCTGATTAATTCCCTGCCCCTTAGCAATCAACCCTAGTTTAACTGAACTTAAAGTGCCTGAAAATATATAAATAATTACATAGGTAGACAAAATCCGCGACACTGAACATTTAAACTACCATTCGAAATTTACGTTTTTATGCTTTTTTAATTATATGATGTATTTTTCAAGTTTTTTTACTTAGTTTAAGAATATTGAAAAATTTACTATAAAGACAGAAAATTCAAATGACGATAATTATTATACATATAAATAAATTAAATGTAATATTGTAATAAATTTAACCTGTATTCATTATTGTTTATCCATTGGTCTGGAGTAAATTTATTAGTACAAGATGAATTGGCAGCTACCATATTATTTATATTTAATTTGAACATATTTTTTAATTTTCTTCAAAAAATTTATTTAACAAACACAAACAAACATGTTTATAATTTACGAAATTAGAGATAACAAATTTACAACCCGAAATTTCGTAACACTTTCATCAATAATGTCAACAGCTTGTTGCTATAGAAATTAACATTGAAAATTAAATACATACGCTACCGGCGCGGAAACAATGCGACCTTCCTCCCCTTTTTTTATTATTGTAAAAGAACTTCAAATTGAAAAAAATATAAAATACTAAAATTTTTTGGTTTTCATTTTCCAAAAACTGATAAAATAATTAGATATTATATTCATTTTATTAATTCCTTAATAAGAAGAATTCTATAAGAATTTTATCAAGAAAATTTATTTAGAATATTTCAGAATCGAACTAACAAAAGACAAATTTTCAAAATTTTAATTAAGTAGGACAAATTTCTAAAAATAATTCTTAAAGTTCCATTTTTAAAACTTTATTTTATTCAAATTTTAAACTTTTGCACAGTTTTTAGTACTTATTAATGGACAAAAAAATTTCTGACGAATTAAGTTTTACAGATTTTTAAATTAAATTTTTTTTAAGAATTGAATTGCAAAAGTTTTTAAAATTTGAAATAAATTGTCTACAAATGTAAACTGCTGTAGTTTTTTTATTTTTAATTTATGACAACCATTAAATTTTAGAGTTTTTAGTTAAATAATTGAAATAAAGAAGATCTGCATTGTCTTTTAAAGAAGAAGTATGTTGTAAAAAATGAAAAAAAAAGTGGAAAAAGTCGTATAATCCGAGGCTTGCTTTATCTCATTTCACTATATAAAAGGAATCACAGTAACTTTTTTCATTATTTATCGAAAATTTACCGAAAATATTTAGGAAAAGGTGATAACAAAACTGATACTTAAAACCAATTAATGAACAAAATATAACTAATTTGTTAACTATTCAAATTTAGAATATTTGAAAAATATTTTTTTACTTTTAATATTTTTTAAAAATTAAATATCAAATGACTTGGTACCAATATCATACTTTTTTCTTACATTCTTTTACATCCAAGAAATAACAAATTTTGTTGCCAGATCAATCGCAAAAGTAAATGACAGTTAAAATTGAAGAAATTTGATTTTTGGTCACTAAAATGAATGGCACCTCATAGAAATGAGGGGACAATTATTTTCTTATTTGGTATTTTACTTTGATTGATTAATAGGCAGTTTTCAATAATTCATGAAAATATAAGTTATATGTTGCTAATATCCTCATTAAAAAATTTCTTTTTAGGCTCATTATATTTTCTATTTTTTAATATTTCTTAATATTTTCTATGTAGGCTCAAGTCACAAGTGATATTAAAATGTCCACTGACTATTTAATAATTCAAAAATGAAATGAAATCTTATTTGATAGAGAATAGAGGAAAAATAAAGAGAATTTGAAAAAAAATTTCTAACTTATTAAAAATAATTACAAAATTGTTGGATAATTTTCACCCAGCTTAGACTGAATGCGATTTAGAGCGGTTGACAATACTGTAATGAAAACCGGTAATTATATTTAAAAAAAATAATATTTGTATGTTTTTATTACATAGAAATACATAATGTACACAGACTTATTCAATTATTAGATTTCATTTACTGTGAACTGTTATATAAACATTTAAATAATTTTTAGATGTTTTATTATATTAAATTTATTACATTTTTTTGGTTCAGTAGCAAAATTCCATACATTTTATCATTTCTTTGACATTGCTATGCCAAGTCCAAGTATACTAGCAATTCCTATAATAACACCACCAGCGACAGCCATACCAACTAGTCCTTCTAAAAAAACAAATAGTCTTAAAATTAATCACTTTTTATATTGAATACCGTATACCTATTTTATTTATTTATTTTATTCTTTAATTTCATAGACCTACACGCATACACAAACAAAATTGTCAGAACAAAAAACCAAAGCACTTGTGTCATACAGAATTTATCTAACCCTAAACTTGCAGTAATAATTGCTGTAAATTCAGAAACAATGCGAGAACTTTAAAATTGATAATTCGAAAAATTTCAATTAGAAAAATATATATGCGTACAATTCCATGTCCCTTGTGTTTTTTAAAAAATAAATTTTACATATTGTAATTAATCCAACATGAAAAAGTAACTTTAATGTTTACAAACAAAAGCATATAGCAACTTTCATTTATGAAATTAAATATTATTTTTAAAATGCAAATTAAAGAGCCAAATCATCATGGGAAAGCCTGTCATTTACGAAACAAAAATAAATATTTTTAGCAATAACACAATAATAAAAGTAATTATTGTTAACATTTTTTTATTGTCCAAGTTTGTAAAATTCAGAAAAAATTGGTTATTAAAAAAATTTATTCTTTTTATATTTTTTTCGATCAAAATATCTTGTGATCATACATACTAAAATTATAAAAATCAAATTACCTTTGTCCATTTTCTTTTTTATAAGAGTCTCTAAATGTTGTACTTGCTGATTGCCAGGTTCTATTTGTAAAAATGCTCTAACATAAGATAAAGCTTTTGTGTACTCCTGAAATTAAAAATAAAAACGTTTATACAGTTTAGTTTTTCGAAATTATAATAAATAAATAAATAAAGACGAAAAAATTTAAGAAAAATATATTAATTTATCTTTTTCTTCAATTATTTTGTGGTAGTGTTTTTTTTATTAGAGTCTTTAATAAAATTTCTGAATACACATAAATCAACGAAATGCTAAATTGATCCTTTCATTCAATGACTAATACAGAATCGAAATATTAAAAATTTAATTTAAGTAAGTGACTTAATAATTCAGTTTTAAGGTTTCATAATTATGATACATAAAATGTAAATAATTTCATTATTAATTATTATAAATACCTTTATTCTGGCATTTCCTATAGCTAAATAATAAAGGCAGTCACGCTTTCCTGTTTCTTCTTCAGGATGATTAAATAAATCCTCGAGGAGAATAATTCCTTTTCTGATATCAGCTGGGTATTTGCTTCTTACTAAGCACCATGCATATTCAAATTGTACTTTTTGAGATACATTTGATGAACGTAGATTTTCATGGTAAGTACGTTCAAATTTCTAAAATATTAAAATATCAATATTCTTTCTTATATTTATCAACATTTATATAAAATGATATAATATTTTCTTGGTTATTAGATCTATTTAAGGATATGTCATTAAAATAATTTTAGACAATCCGCTTAAGAAATTCTCTCTCTCTCTCTCTCTACAAAACGGGTACTAATAATAATTAGTTAATTAATTACGCAGGTTTACAAATTTCAAATTTTTTTTCGATTAATATGTGTTTTTTGAGTAAGAAAATCATATTTCAAATTCTTTTCCCTCGTGCAATTTTTTTGTAACAGCAAATTATGCATTTTCGAGGTGTGACGTCACATAAAGTCACCGGTAGAGAAAGTAGTTAATCCAAATGTAAAAAATAAATCACCATTTGAAAGATAATTAAATTACCTTTCAAACCATTGGTCAACCAATAAAATCCATTCAAAATTGTCAGAGTTACAGTCGATCAAAGTTCAAATTTCAAGCAAATTTTAATGATTTTTAAACATTCGTCTAACTTTCGCTAATTTTTTCAAAGTTAAACAATCAAAAAAAGGCAAGTTCAAAATTTTTTTAAATTGTATATTTAATTACGAAACTTTTAAGCTTTTATAGACTTCGATCGGATAAAAAATGACAATTCTACACTAGATTTATTGAACAAAGTACTTTTTCACTTTTTGTATTGTTTGAAGTGATTTCGATCTATATAGTTTTGTATAAAACTAAGTTAAACGAAGCTCACCAAAGTAAGTACTCGGGGGTTTTCGGGGTCGCTGATTACGAATCTGAGGTCAGTTTTTCAAAATTCATAATGGCGGATCCCGTATATTTTAATTTTACTTACGTTATCGCGTAGTGACAACATCTAGTCTGGTTAGATTTTATTTTTAATAGTACTATATTACTATACTATACAAAAACTGAACTCGGATTCGTAATCAGCGACCCCGAAATCCCCCGAGTACTCATTTTGGTGAGCTTCGCTTAACTTAGTTTTGTACAAAACTATATAGATCGAAATCACTTGAAAATATACAAAAAGTGAAAAAGTTCTTTGTTCAATAAATCTAGTGTATAGAATTGTCATTTTTTATCCGACCGAGGTCTATAAAAGCTTAAAAGTTTCGTAATTAAATATACAATTTAAAAAAATTTTGAACTTGCCTTTTTTTGATTGTTTAACTTTGAAAAAATTAGCGAAAGTTAGACGAATGTTTAAAAATCATTAAAATTTGCTTGAAATTTGAACTTTGATCGACTGTAACTCTGACAATTTTGAATGGATTTTATTGGTTGACCAATGGTTTGAGAGGTAATTTAATTATCTTTCAAACAGTGATTTATTTTTTACATTTGGATTAACTACTTTCTCTACCGGTGACTTTATGTGACGTGACACCTCGAAAATGCATAATTTGATGTTTCAAAAAAATTGCACGAGGGAAAAGAATTTGAAATATGATTTTCTTACTCAAAAAACACATATTAATCGGGAAAAAAATGTTTTGTTCGAGTGACAATTTCACTGTAAACCAGTGTTATTAATGAGTTTTTAATCTTAATCCATCAATGCAACTTTTAATAATTAAAACAATAAAAAATAAATTTACTCACATTGTTATTAAAAAATTAGTAACTATATTAGTAATTTAATTTAATTTAAATGTATTTTTTTTAATGTAAAAAAAGGTGGAGTTGAATTAATTTTTATTTTGACCGTCCGTCTAATTTTTTCTCTAATAATAATTTATGTTTATAAAAAAAAAATACTTTCAATTTTTATTGAAATTTTTGCTGCCTGAAAAAAATTCTTTCTTACGTCCCTGGATTTGTAAATATTGTTTAGAATATAATTTTCCAAGGAAAATAGCTGACGTCATTGCAAAAAATGACGAAAGAAATATTTTTCTTACAAATAGATTTCAATTTGAAAGAGATTATTAATTAATAATAATAAAAAGTGAATGTAATTTTATTTTTCGTTGTATGAGAATAACGAAATTTGATAATACCTATATATTATTTATTAAATCGATAAAAAATATGACAAAATAGAAAATTGCATACGATTGTGAAAATAAGTAGATAAGATAAAAGGAGTATGTCGTAGATATATTTTAACAATTTATCCAATTAATAAAATCAATAACAATTTAGGCGTAATTATATTCTTTACGAGGGATAAAATCGATTTTATTTTTCTGTTTCTATTACAATACATTTGAACAGAGAAAAGTTTTTAAAGAATTTTTAACCAGGCAAAATGCAAATTAATCATGTTACGTTGTAATATGAATTTAATTTACTGTGAAAAAATAAAACCAAAAAGAAAAAAGGAAATATACTAGAAATTATATTATAAAAAAGTGACTCATATTTTTTTAAACAAAATACTAACGGTTTTCGATATTTAAAAAGCACTGTTAAATTATGGTTTTATACATATATATATATATATATTTTTTTTTTTTTGCATTTTAAAAAATAAGAAAAAAAGCAGTGAAATAATTGATGCAAGAAAATAAATTTGTTTTATTGATAAAACATAGAATACCTTTAAATCTTCTGAAGAAACAATTTCATCTAAAACATCTTCCATTATTTAATAACCACACAGATTTCAATAAAAGCATAAGGCTACAAATACTAAAAGAAAGTATAAATAATAATGTGTATATTTCTGTTTTTTGACTAAATAAGTAACAGTCAGTAATGGAAATTACTTTGTTCTCTTATATGTTCAGTTTCAATCTGTTCAATATTATGTTCCAAGACTACAAAACTTTAGATAGATGAGAGCAGAATCATAGTTATATGGAGGGGAACTGGAAGTGTCACATATGGGGTGTTTCAACAAAATTTTCACGGTTTGACGGAACCTTTATAGTAATTGTGAAAGCCCCATTTAGATCCAAATTAAATTTTAGTGATATTTTTTATCTTGGTGGCTTTTTTTACTCATAATACCTATAAATTTTTTATTATAAAAAATGGAAAATTAAATAAATTTTATTTAGCATAATATTATTTTTTCTTTGTTACCTATGGAGAAATTTTGTTAACAATCAGAGAACTTTGCGTGAACATCAACAGTTGTCACTAGTTGTTAAGCTGTCAACAGTTGTCATGTTTGTTAGAACTGTCAGAAAAATCATCTGTGAACTTGTGATTACTGTCAAAAAATAGTTGTCTAGTCACAGCTATATAGAGTAAAAAAAAAAGTAAAATAAATATCCCAGAACCATTTATTAATTAACAGTGCATGATTCCTGAAATAAATAATATTGTGTAAAAGCCTTTATAAGTTTATAATAATTGCGAATACAAGTTTTGTGATTAACTGTTTCTTGTTTTGGAATTTTACGCGCATCGCCTTTTCACGTAAGTTATTCAATTTTTTTCATCACATTTTAATAAGAATATATTCTTTAGCAAAAACAAAATAATAATTTCTAGATATTTATTAATCGATTGTCCTTGTTACGTAACTTGACCTGAAAATAAATCCTATTTTAGAATATTATAGGCGTTTGTAGGTTATGTTTGAAAGTTTAGATATTGTATTTTTAATTGCGCAAAAAGAATTCATTAATATGTTTCAACCATTGATTCATGTCACTTTATTTTTTATTATTATTATTTTTAGTATATTGTATTTTTTAAAATGAAAATTGCAAAAAATATATTTTAGTTGTTTTTTTGTAAGCTTCGGAAATTTAAAGGTACACTCCCTGAAATTTTTTTTTCTTTCCTTAAGTCTCTTTGACTTTATTTTTTACAGAAAGGAGAATTAAAGTATTCTAGGAAGCTGTTGAAGAACAGCAATGGCGTTGAATACAGGTAATTATTATTCTTTATTAAATAATGAAAAATTAAATTAACATGATTTTTGTTTTGAGTGTTAAATTTACGTCGCGAAAGAGAATTTTTTTCAATACTTGTTGTTGATCATTAAATATGATCTCTTATTTACATGTAAAAGCTGGACTTATAAAAAAAAGAAAAATTTGCCCGTTTGTACCAAGGTACTCAAATTAAAGAAATTATAAAATATATTAATATTTAAACATAATTATTTCTTAGAAACTAAACAACAATAACTAATAACTAGGAAGCATTGTTGAAATTGCATATTGAAGTAAAATATTTTATGCAGAGACATTGTAAAAATATTTTTTAAATAAATGAAAGTTCAGTTTAATCGAAATTGTGAATATTCTGATAAATGAAAATTAGATTAAAGAACAATTATGTTAATTAAAAATTCTGTATTATGGAAATTGTGCAGAATATAAATTCTGTTAAATAGAAATTATATTAAATGAAACTTTGGTCAACTAGAATATCTGGTTTTTTTAAATTTCAACTAAATATAATGTCCTTTAATTATGAATTCAGCTAAATAAAAATTCTTAAATATGAAAATTCTATTTTATAAAATTCGGCAACATAGAAATTCGAGCTTATTAATTTGGACAACGTAAAAATTCCAACTAACTCAGTGTAGGAAATATTCATCAGTCCCATTATTATCATTATATTAATAATAATTAACAAATGCATAAATTTATCTGTTTTAGTAATCCAGAGTTAGTCTAGACTTTTTAAGTAACAATAAATAAAGCAAAATTTGTTAAATAACGATTTTCTTGCATTTCTTGGTAATTTTTATATCGATTTATTATAAATGAAATAAATTTCTTAGACATATATTATAATTTTTCAAGACATGTCCACGGCTCTCCACTTGTTGGAGCACATGGAGGAGCGTCTCGAGGATTGTGACGATCCAAAACTTCAAATGCACACAAATCAAGATATTCGTTCATTAATTGCACTTCTCCAAGATCCTGTATTTCGGAGTATCATTACCCTGCAAGATTCCCTCTCTGAATTGAACACACAACTTGGACAACATCCATCAATTCTTCCTGGTGACTTTGATATTCGTCTCAGTGGACAGTTGGAATTTTCTGTACCGAATACACCGTTACAACCAGTTGGGCAAAATATTTTCCAAGAACTTTATCAGGATTCTAACGAATTTGATGATCAACGTGTACCCGTTGCTCCGCTCGTGCACAGTAGCAGTGAAGATACCAGCGCTCAGGTACGAATTTCTTAACTCCAATTATTCCCAAAACTCCCATTTTTGGTCAAGTTCTAGCATTCCGTTTTATGAGTTGGTCCCTTTGAAGAAAATCGACACAATTTAACTTTCGTCTTATGAAATTATGATTGTCTAAACCAAAAAATAAGGCTTTTGAGTTTTTTTTTGTTTACAACTAGATTTTCGAATCAAACTCAGGTTGGAAAAATCTAGAACACCAAAATAGGCAATGACGAGCAATAATATCTTTTCTGTCACCTATTTTTGGTAAATAATTCACCCTTTCGCCAATTTTCATGAAAAAAGGTACTGTAATCTCTACTCTAGTGAAATTATTAGATTTCTATTTACTCGTGTATTGGCGTGAACACCTCTCGCGTAATAGTTGCGTATTAACGTGTATTACTTTCGGTTTTTTCATGTAAATGCATGTTACTACGCGTAATAAGTATTTGTGTAGTTATATTAACGTGCGTAATAGCATATATTACTGTGTACACCTTTTAAATTAGTACATACTCCTTCGGGGATAAAGTAGTTTGAAACAATAAATATAAAGAAAAAAATACGATTACCTTGTAAATACTTTCCTGTTTTAAAATATGCAAAATTTTATAATATTAATAAAAAGAAAAAACAGTGCAAATAATTTAACTTTATCTTGTAAATTAATTAATCAAATGTTTTCAATCGGAATTAATGAAAGAAATTTTACAATATACTCAAAATGACTCTGTAAATTATGTCAAAAAAAGTAAATACTTATTAAATATGTTTAACCAGGTGACGAGTCCAAGTTTAATATCAGATGTTGGAGGCATGCCTCACATTACAACTCCATCATACGCCAAGGAATTTCGTAAAGTAATTGAATCTGCAGCGAAGGGCCGTCAAACTTTTACTGTTCAGGTAAATTCAGTAAATATTGATAAATTTTTTATTGATTATTATTATTATTTGTTTGCTTTTTTATATACTTTCTGTTGAAAATGCCACCCGAAATTTAAAATTATTCGATTGAATTAATAATTTTTGGATGGTTCTTTTTCTAGAGTATGCCCCATTTAGAAATGTTGTAAATTAATTTATTGTTTCGCGATATACTATATATACATAAAAAATTTCCACAGCTTTTTAAATCCGAAGGGATGAGTCTAGGATTTAGCGTTGTTGGATTACGAAGCAAAGATAAAGGAGACATTGGCATATTTTTACAAGAAATTCAACCAAATGGAATTGCTGGAATGTAAGTTTGTATTTTCCTTACTTTCATTACAAAAGAAAAAATTCGAGACGCATCAGTAATACCTAAGAGTCAGAATGCATTAAATCAACAAGGAAAAACAATTTTTTTATCTAAATTTAAATTTAAATTCTGGCAAATATGAATCCGATAAAATAGAAATTCTCTTAAATGAATTTTCGGTTAAGTATAAAAATTCTGTAATATAGAAAATCGAATTTTAACAAATTAAGTTCATGAATTATTCATGCGTCTTAAAAAAATCGTTATGCCCAGTTGAATTATTGTATTGTCCGCCCCTCCACTATATTTTTAAATTTTCAAACTCATAGAAAAAATATTTTAAAAATATGTCATTGTAGAGGAAAAAAAGCGCATATTTTTTTCTACTTACCACTTTTTTCTGGACTTGAAATTATTAATAATAAAAAATAACTGAAACTTTTTTTAATCAATTACCTTTAAATTTAAAAGATTACTATAATGGGTCTGTCATTTTGGATTTTTTAATTCTGACATCAAATTTAGGTGAAGGAGGAGAGGAGAGTTGCAAAAACTGTTGTATGACACTCTTGCGTAAATCTGATTATACTCGTGTGATTGCATCACTCGTACCATAAATAACTATTTTAGTCTGAACATTTTTTCCAAAAATGCAATCCTTAAGAAATATCCAATTGTCCCGGAACTTTTGATACACCTTGTATCTCTCTCTCTCTATTTGAATTTCAGTAGAAATACTGCAATCCTAAAATACACATTCATCAATAGATAATATTTTCATGATTGATTAAAGAGAATGAACTGTGTCTCATAATTTAAATAGAAAATAATTTTTCTTTTAGTTATAAATTATAAAGATTTCTCATTCGTTTTACTTGAATTTTATATATATATATATATGTGTCCTGACGCGGTGAAAGGGACCTTATGGTACAATAGCAAATTGTACTTTTGAATGTTCATAATAAAAAATGAATTGAACAAAATAATTTCTAGTTTTTGGAAATGAAAGAGCAACTCAAATAATTTGATTTCCAAAAATTAGAAATTATTTTGTTCAATTCATTTTTTATTGTGAACATTTAAAGTACAATTTGCAATTGGACCATAAGGTCCCTTTCACCGCGTCAGGGCACATATGTATTTCGATTCGAGAAATTTCAACTTCTCAGAATTTACATAAAAAAATAATTTTCTTAAAATTAGGAATCTTTATCAGTTTCGTCGAAATTTTCATCATTTAATTGGGAACGTTTAATTTTCTTCGAAAGTGAAGGAAAATAATTTTCCTGAAATTATGATTTTCATCCATTAATAGAATTTAAAGATTTTAGCTTTTACATCCATTTTCGTAATTAAAAATAGTTATTTATGTGTCAAGTGCGCAAAAGTAAGGGAATCGAGACACGCGTGAGTTTAACAATCACGCGAGATCGACTAAATTGCTGTGATGGAAGGAGAAAGTGTGCTTAAAGGTACTATTTCCCCTCCTTTTAAGCACTTGTGCTAAAAAGACTGTGATTTTCATTTTAAAGAATTATATTTCGGTGAATCTGAAAATTCTGTAATGTAAATATTCGTTTAAAAAGAAATTCTGCCATGAAATGCTAATTTGAAAAATGAAAATTCGTCTAAAAAATAAATATATCTAACTAATGATTTTTATGGAATAATCATGCGCCCCGAATTTTCCAATTAGTTTGAGAACAATACGATATGGCTTGAGAGAAGTGGAAAATTAATTTTAATTGATATTCGAAATAAATATATAAATTGCAGAGAGAAGAAAAATAATGAACACATCATTTGGATTGCATGATGTGGGCGAGTAATATGATGGTTTGTGTGCAGCAAGTGGATTGAGTGGGTGAGAGAGAAGTCGGCCGTCCCACGGGGATGATTGACCGCGTCGAAAAGGGGGTGGAAAGTGACGCATCGTGTGGGGTCGTTTCGCGAAGTTTGCGGAGTGTTGCGGAGGGTCGTATTTATGTAAAGCGGGGTTGCCTTTTGCAAAAGAAAGAAGAACGCAGGCGCGTCAATTCAACCCCTCCATTTTCAAAAATTTTCCCTTTGCGTGCCGTTTGCACTCCGATACACAAACACGGACACTGCGCTTAGAGACTGAAGTGAGTATATACAGTGAGCGTGATTTTCTTTTTTTTTAAGGATTCACTTGCAGTATATGTGCGGGGGCGACTATGTGCGGTCGTCGTCGTCGTCGTCGTCATCGTCTGATAAAACAGTTGATCAGAAACTGTTGTTGCGCAAGGTCGCAATTACACAAACTCCAAATTCATTGTGAAACAACGATGTCGTCTGCTTCTGACTCCTTGTTACAATGCGCGAGACTACCAACGATCGACTGATGCAGTGTATTTTTTACTCTTTTTCGTTGACAGTATTTTCAATTTCGGTGATATTATAAGGGATTTTTTCGAGAAAAAAAAGTGATCATCATTCGACACAAGGTTAATTTCGTTTGATTGCCTTTCTTTTTTACGCTTTGTGTGCTTGATGTGTGTAACTGATACGCGCCACTGGTCGATTATTTATTATCCTCCGAGTAATTGTCACGTGTCACGAATCCTACCCTCTCCCCCACCACTACTCGATTTATTGATAGTGGGGGGATTTGCACGATTTTTCCCTAAGTTTGGGAAATTTATTTCTTTTTTTCTTCTTTTTTTTAGTTTAGTTAATCGCGAGCGTTCATAGCAATCGATTGGCTTTGTTTTTAGGTCTTGTCAATCGATTTCATGCCGTTCACCCTCGACTACAAGGGAATAATGCAAAATTGACCCCTTTTAAACATTCATCGCTCACTTTATTATGCACTTCGTATACTTTTTTTTTATATTTACGCAACTAAAAATTGTATTTTTTTAAAAATAAATTTCTCTATTTTTTAATTCATAATTTTTTTTTTTTTTTTTTTTTATACAATAAAAACAATATTTGTCTCAAAATAATTTTTTAAATTCTTTTTGTTTTTCTTGCATTAGAAATTTGGATTTTATTCTTCACATTCATTTCATTTATGATTCATAATTTTATTTAATGTTATATTTAACAACATTTATTTTTTTATTTTGAAAATTAACTTTTCAAAATCTTCTTTTTTAAATGAAGGTAAATGATTTTTATTTAATTATTTACATATCGTCTTCAATTAAAATATTTTTAAATATTATTTATTAGAATAGAATTTATTATCTCCATTGTATACTATTACATAGTTTGTACAATCAAGTCCCTTATGCTATTAAAATAAAAATAAAATAAATTTAATAATACTATTTATTATATGTATATATGCCCTTTTGTTCTTTCATTTTCTAAAAAAACTCTAACATTTTTTCTACAAAAGGTTTTAACTCTTAAATGAAGTTTATAATTTTTTATTATCTTTTATTCTCAACAGAAAAATTACTTATAGAAAAGAGAACCTCATTTTTTATATTTTTTGTAGTTTATTCTCATCTGAAGAGGCCCGACGTCGTTGGGCGAAAGCTTATGTACTAAGAGATTTTTAATAATAAAAAGTGGATTAATTTAAAAAATAAAAAAATAAACATCATATACTAGTTAAATTAATATATTAAATGGAATTTTCGATTTTTTATAATCATATGTATTTAACCTAATTTTCATTTAATTGAATTTAATTGTCCGAAAAAATAATTGGTATAAGATTTTTTGGTGCAAATTTTAAAATTATCTTGCTACAATACTTTTTGGCTATATTCAATTTTAAAGTTCGCGCTCCAAATTTTTGTGAGAGATAAAAAAAATGTAAAAAAAATTTTTTTTAAATTCAGTATGAATTCGATGACAATTTAAAAATATAAAAATCACGTTTTTTTAGTTCAGTAAAAATTCTCCTATAATAAGAAAATTCGTTTAAGTAGAAAATATTGATAAAAATAACGTGATAATATAGAAATAATTACAAAAACTGAGTCGAAAAAATGAAAATTTAGCTAAAAAAATTATGTCTAATGAATTTCTATCAAATGAAAATTTAAACTATTAATAAATTTTATAATTTATGAAAAGCGTCTCGAAAATTGACAACTTAAAAATTCTGTTAAATAAACCTTTATTGAAAAAATTAAATTCACGGAGATTTAGTCATAATACGTTATAATACACTGAAAATAATTATTAACAATGTATTATTTGAATCTAAACTTTCTAATTAAAACTAATCATAGTTTGAAGTTAATAAACATGAAATGTACAAAGTTTGAGTTTCTGAAGCTTTGAATTATTATTATGCTTTAGTAAGCAGTGAATTTAATCAGTATTTAATACACTTGAAATTGTAATTTTACTAAAGGAATTAGAATAAAAGAAAAGGAAAAGAATAAATCGTAAAAAATGTTGAAATCATAAACATATTATATTAAAGAAATCAAAAAGTGTATAAACTGTAAAATTTTTATTTTAAAAAATCAAATCAACTTGAATTAGTAAATAAGTAAAATTTTGGTTAATTTTGTTATATGTATATCAATTAGTGAGAAATAACTAATTATTATTAGTACCTAAATTCATTTACGTGTGTAATATTTCATAAATAATTAAATTTACAATGTAAAAAAAATATTGATTTAACCTCAGGAATGTTAAAAAATAATTTATTATTTTTAAAAAGAATTTTTTTAATATTCCTTGAGCTTATATTACTTTTTTGTCCTACATGCATGATAAACGCGACTTTTCGTGCAGGTACAGCCGGCGGAAAATAGGCTTTTTCCGCCCGCTACTCTAGAAAAGTAATTTTCTGGGTTATTTAAGACACATTTTTCAAGTTAAGTATTTTTAAACAATTAGTTGACCAAATTTTTAATATTTTTAAATAATGTTATAAAATATAATAATATAAATTTCCCTCAAACGTAATAAAAATATATCCAGTATCTTAAACATGCAATATTTGATCTTGACATCGGGTGCAACACGGGCGGAAAGGTCAATTCCTTACAAAATTACGAGGAATTTCTTGTCTGAAAATGATGAATTTTCATCTTTTCTATAAATGATTCAATTGTCCCAAGCTTGAATTTATCAAAATTTTTCATCGATTAAAAAATTGTTTGGGACAAATTTCAATAAATCCAGATTTAAATTAGTTAAAACATTTATTGATTAAAATTGTAATCTATCTAAAGTTAAATTCATTCTAATTCTAATCAACCATAAATTTAATTAATCATAAATTCAATTTATCCGAATTTGAATCAGTTTAAATTTTAATTCATAAAAATTTCAATAAGGATTAATCTATTTAAGTTTGAAATTATTTGAATTTCAATTCGTTCAAAGTCCTCAAAAAATTTTTATAATAAAGTTCGTGATGTTTCCACGAAAAATATTTCGAATTTATTGAGTTTTATTTCTCTCCATTTTTGTTTTTTTGTTTTGCTTTTTTTATTCAGCTTTAAATTTTTTTAATTACTTCATCAACGAACGGGATATGTAGATATATTTTTAAGCTACTAATTTGAATACCTACATATCTCTTTCATATACTGATAATAACGAATCTTGAAATCTTTTCACAACGTCAACTTAATTAAAAATGTTCCATTAATTATATACATATATATAAGTGCCCTCATCGATGAAGCTTTCATCATGAAATATAAAAAGGAGAAGAGAAAGCGATAAAAATATCCAAATTGTCGATTCACTGTGAAGTGCACTTGGTCACGATACAGTTATTTTCATCAGCAATAATCGCTTGTCAATTATTAAATGCTCCAATGAGCTTGGTATATTATTTTTAATCGAAAATAAAACAAAGAATTAAAAGAAAAAACAGAACGAAGTAAACATTGAACCGTGAATTAGAAAAAATAAACACAAGGAGATTATTGAATTAATTGAATAATGACTTTTACATATAGCTAATATAGGGTCAACTAAAGTAAATGTAAACAGAATATTTAATTTTCACCAATAAATCAATTTCTTTTTCTTTTAAAAGATTGTTTTTTTATTTTAAGTTGTTATTTAACTTGCCTAGAACAATTTCATGAGGTTAAATATATATATAGGAAGTTTATAGGGGCTTAAATCGCTTATAATTATCCCAAACTGAACTGAAATTTTCTGAAATCAATTTTAATTATTGTGTTATTTTTATAAATATTAAAAATAAAAAATATTTTAATTACTTTGCCAGTAAAATATTGAACTATTTTATAAAAAAAAATTGATGAATATAATGAAAGGGAAATAAATTTATTATTAAATTTTTGTCATTTTAGCGATGGTCGTCTTGTGGAAGGAGATCAAATTTTAGCGATAGATGGACAACCCTTGGATTCGAATATTTCCCATGAGCAGGCAATTGCGATTCTTCAAAAGGCTCGTGGAGTAGTTGAGCTCATTGTCGCAAGAAGCGCCCAAGGTTTGATTTTTTTAATTTTTCTACCGGATTTTTAAAGAAGAGAATTTCGGAGAAAAATTCATTTTCAGCTCCGACAACGTTTAGCCTGCCTGAATTGATATAAATTCAGCCAATTATTATTATTGAATGGACTATTTGAAATGTATTAGATATTGGGAGTCCAGCGGCGCCGGATGAGGTATCCGGGGCCTCGATTTCGACCGCAGCTGCAGCCGAGGGAACTGGATCTGGCGTCTGCAGTGGATTTACCGACATCACCACTTCCAAAGAGCAATCAGCACCACCACCCCTCCCATCTGCAGTCTCACCGGGTGTATCAAAACCAATTGTTCCTATTACAACTACAGTTACTGTTGCGCCAATATCAACATCCATTTCAACTATTGTTCCTGGAGTTCCTGTTGTTGAAACAGCTCCGTCCGCCGTTAGCGAAATCGCTAAAAGTGGCACTGACATGGTGGTAAGTTTAGATGACAATTTTGCGATTTTGCCTACTGTGGAACCAACCTTAAAGCTCGAGAAATTGACAATTCTTGAATCGAGTTTTTTTTTCTAGTTGAACACCGAGTGGGCACAAGTAGAAGTAATAAATCTCATCAATGATGGAAGTGGTCTTGGATTCGGAATTATCGGCGGACGGAGCACTGGAGTTGTCGTCAAGACTATTCTTCCTGGCGGGGTTGCTGATCGAGTAAGTAAATTTTATAAATGTATAAAAAGAAAACAGGAAACTAGAAATTATGGGCTCTTATGGGAACTTGCACAAATCCGAGAAAAAAGTGTCATTGAAATGAGACAAGAAAAAATAGAATAAATAAAAAAAGAAAGTAATAGTAAATTTTTTATTTATTTTAGGACAATAGATTGCAGAGTGGAGATCATATTTTGCAAATTGGTGATGTCAATTTACGGGGAATGGGTAGCGAGCAAGTTGCCGCAGTTCTCAGACAATCTGGAACACACGTGAGACTCGTTGTTGCGCGACCAGTCGAACCTACTTCACCCGATTATCAGGTAAAATAGAAAAACAAAAAACCAAAAAAAAAAAAAGGGAAACTGAAAATTATTCATTGCTGTTGAATGACAAAACGCAATCTTTCTTTTCTCTCAGGCCCTCGGCAGTCACGCTCCGATTGTACCAACGAAAATTCTCGGTGATCCCGACGAACTCGATAGACATTTGATTCATTCAACTCCTGAAACCTACAATGTTCGGCACACAAAAACGGATTCCAACTATGACAATGGATACATGTACACGCAGGATCCCGACATTGAAATTCATGTGAGTACTTACACTTTCTTTATTATTATTAATAATAAAAATTCTGTCAAGTTTCAGTTATAAATCAATCGAACCATTTTCGCGTGATGCACAATCAAAATTTTTGAGACAAACAGACATTTATAATAATTAAAATTTCGTAAAATTGGATTGAAAATTTAGAAAATAATTAATTTTTTCAAAGAATTTCATTTCAAAATTTTTGAAAATATATAATTAAATTTTTCAAGAAATTTAATTGGTAAAATTATAAGTGTTTAAAAGGATTAAGAGTCGAAAATTATTTTAATCCTTTAAAACCATCAGCTTTTTTTCAAAAGTTGCTGAACATCTTAATTATAAATATTTTCTTCATCAGACGAGAAAACATTTTTTTAGAATTGATACGTTATAAATCGTTTATCAACATATAACTTTGTAATAATTATTTACTTCTGCTCGTTACATAAAAATTAATTTCTTATAAAAAAAATGGCGAATAGTTTCTTATTTTTTTTTAATGAATTAAAAAGTAAAGTATTAGTGCTTAGGTTACAGTCTGATAAAATTACTAATTGTGCTTTAGACGAGGCCGAGCCTTATTATGGACGTCGTGCGAAATCCGACGCCCATTGGTACGGCGCCCTTCATTCCAACGCTCACAGGTTCGATTCAAATCCAAGACCTTCCAGCACTTTCAATGGATCCAATTGACGTCGACTCCTTGCCTGAAATGGAACGTTTTACCGTTGAGCTGAAAAAAGATAGTTATGGTCTCGGTATAACGATCGCTGGTTACGTTTGTGAAAAGGGTAAAAAAACAAATTTTTTTTCTCACGTTTTGTATATTTTTGTTTGCAAATTATTTATAGTTGAAAATCGACATTTTTTAGTTTTAAAAATAAAAAGTACTTTAAACTTGTTATTTATTTATTTGTATCTTACCTTTAATAAAACGTAAACAAATTGTTTTTCATTTCAGAGGAACTCTCGGGTATTTTTGTAAAAAGTATAAGCGAAGGAAGTGCGGCTGATTTAAGTGGAAAAATTCAAATAAACGATCGAATTGTCGAGGTGAACGGTCATTCACTGCAGGGTTATTCGAATCATGAGGCAGTTGAAGTTTTAAGAAGTACGGGATACACTGTTGTTCTTTGTTTAGAAAGGTATCTCCGAGGTCCAAAATACGAACAATTACAGCAAGCAATTGCCGCCAGTGAACTTCGATTACCACAACCCAGTTCTCCATCTATTACGAGTCTTGCTACTTTTCCAATTACTGCAGTAAGTTTTTAGACAATAGAAAATTTATTTTATTTATTTATTTATTTATTTATTCAACAAATTCTCTTTCTTACTTCTTAAAATTAAATTCATTTAGAATTAAATAACAATATGACGAATTACATGTAGACTGGAAAATTAATTGAAAAACAATAAAAATTAAAAAAATTAAGTCCAAAAAAAATTCAAATTTAAAAATACATTTCTGCAGCAAGATGGAGAATCAACGACTGAAATCGAAGCAGAGGGCGAGTCACATACAACAATTGATAGTGCAATTCTTCACGAAATGGAGAAAGAAGCTGAAAAACGTGGCTCTTCACCAGAAACAAATGTGGAAGCTCTTCTAAGTGATCCCTCACAAGATCTATCGCCTCAAATTGAAGCTGCAATTAAATCCAAATGGCAAAAAATAGTTGGTCCCGATGTGGAAATAGTGGTAAGTGTTTATTTATTATTTTTTAATTTTTTATGTACTATTTTTAATAATCACCATTTCGAATTTCAATTTCTTTTCAAAATTTTGTGTTTTGTTTCTCTAGGTGGCGCAATTAAAAAAATTTGCCGAAGGAAGCGGTTTAGGAATAAGCTTAGAGGGAACAGTCGATGTTGAAAATGGTCAAGAAGTAAGGCCGCATCATTATATACGCTCAATTTTGCCGCAAGGTCCAGTTGGACAAAATGACACATTACGATCTGGAGATGAATTGCTGGAGGTTTAGTAGTTTCATTTTATTTTAAAATTTCATGTACTTTATATAAACTATTATTTATCTTATATAATTTTTTTTAGGTCAACGGATATCGACTTTTGGGAATTAATCACATGGAGGTCGTGAGTGTTTTGAAGGAATTACCCGTTCATGTGAGAATGGTTTGTGGAAGAAATATCAAATCTCAAGATCCGCTTTGTCCCATTGACACAGCTCAACATCAGGCAGCTTTTCAAACTAGGGTAAAGTTTTTTTTATTTATTTACTGTTTTGGATTATCTACTTATAATTGAATGATTTATTTATTTTTATATTTTTGTGAAATGCAGTTACTTGTGAAGAAATTGAAAAAAGTCTATGACAAAGGTTTTATATATTGTAAATATTTTCATTTCATGATATTATCTTGTTCAGAGTATTCTCGGAGGCTCTTTACAAAATTTACTACCATCGATGGATCGTCTCGTGAAGGCAAAGTCTGATGGCTCTCTGGCATCGGCAACGACAACTGCAACCGTCACCGATGCCAGTTTCAATAAAATAAAATCAAGATCTCTGGAGCCATTGACGGGTCTTGCAATGTGGAGCTCCGAGCCACAAATAATAGAGCTTGTTAAGGGAGAGAGAGGCCTTGGATTTTCTATTTTAGATTATCAGGTAAATGATAATAATTTGCTTCAATATTTATTAGAATTATTTATTTATACATGTTGTTATGTCCGAAAACAAACCGTAAATACAGATTATATTAATATAAATTGTCTTAAGGCCAGGTCCAAGTGAGGCAGCGCCATCTACATTGATACTCAAACGTTGGAAAATTTTCAACAGCCTTTTCTTGAAAACAAGATGGTAAAATGCTTTTTCCTTTATAGATAATTGATTATTGGCAAGATATACACCAGCTAAAACTTTTTTTGAGTTAAAATAATAAAAAAAATTTCATGTCAATAAATTAAATATGAGCACTTTTTTCACAAAAACTGTAACAGTACTTTCTCAGAAATTACAATCAAAAATGCAATTTGCATTTGGAAAATTAATAAACGCTAACAAATACACGACCTAAGATTTACCAATCACGAAAATAACAAAAAAAAAGTATTTTAACATAACATATTTTACTCATTATGACAGCCGTTTGGCAGGTTATATATGTCACCAGACGTTTCGCAGTTTTGCCGAAAGGAGGAGATTGGCGCTGTTGCTAACCACCTGAAATACATATAATCTACCAAAGGGCTGTCACAATCAGTAAACCAGTATCAATATGTTAAATATTTAATAAAATTTTTTTTTGTTATTTTCGTGATTGGTAAATCTTAGGTTGTGTATTTGTTAGCGTTTATTAATTTTCCAAATGCAAATTGCATTTTTGATTGTAATTTCTGAGAAAGTACTGTTACAGTTTTTGTGAAAAAAGTGCTCATATTTAATTTATTGACATGAAATTTTTTTTATTATTTTAACTCAAAAAAAGTTTTAGCTGGTGTATATCTTGCCAATAATCAATTATCTATAAAGGAAAAAGCATTTTACCATCTTGTTTTCAAGAAAAGGCTGTTGAAAATTTTCCAAAATTTGAGTATCAATGTAGATGGCGCTGCCTCACTTGAACCTGGCCTTAAGCATAGCTTTAGAATTAATTAATTAATTTAGAAATTAATTATGCACTAATTGTAAGTGCACAGAAATCTTCTCGGATGTAAATTATTTTTTGTGAATAAAAGTGGAAATCGAAGAAGTGATCGTGTCAAAAACTGCCAAAAAATTCATGTCCAGAAAGTTAGACGTGTAAAGTTAAAATTTTCAAAAAAACCAATATGTTTACTTATTGTGCTCGATATGTAGAGGTTCCTCCGCTATAATGAATCCCAACGCTACATTTGGCGTGGTTCTCATAGCTTCTGTGGTTCCTCTATTGCTCGTTCCAGTTTCTTTTTCACCTTTATCAACTAGCTTCTCATCCACCAACAATTACCGAATCTAAAAATCTGGGTTGAAGTACCATCTGGTATAGCCAGACAACCATATTCGGTTTTAGCCTCCATGATAGGTATTCCTATTGCCTTTCTGCAGACCCAAAATCTAAGTTGCTAACAGGGATAAAACCCCATCCTTGTGGGCAATCATAAGAAATAAGGCCTTTTGTCTTCCGTACTGTGTTTTAAGACCTCTATCATGAATCATACTTTCGATCCACCTAATTTTCAAATTTCCTCACTGAGAGACTTCTTCTTCTTCCTCTTCTTCTTCTTCTATTTGTGGCTTCGACTAGTCAGGCCAATTCTTGAACTGAGAGACCTTTTGAACTGCAGCGGAACAAGGTAAGTGACAGCAGCGCCACTATGGTTTTGGTGTGCGGCGGTACAATTTTGGGAGCGTGACTGTCCAAAATGTTGGTGAGTAGCTCACCGAAGTTGTGGGACGCCACCTTTGGTTTGTAGCTGTACAACGTTTTGGTAGCCACGCGACCAAAAATGTACTGCAGCAGCCCAAACGTATAGTCTCGTAGCTTACCAACAGAATGCTCCGCAGCCGCCTGTCGAAAGTCGGCTACGGTGCAAAAGATCTCTCAGTGCTGGCATGTTTACGGTGTTAGGAAATGTGACATTTAGGTTAAGTACTCTAAATGTCTCATTACGTGCCTTTTTACAATGTAAATTAAAACAAAATTTTTTAATTCTGATTCTTATATAGGTAATGAAATTAAGTACTTTATGTATATCAAATATTCAAATTAAGATCATTTCTAACAGTGTGGGGGCGGGAGGGAGTTAATATTTCAACAACAGAAAAAAGGATCACGTAATTTATGGATGATCCCAAACTAAAGATGAAATTCATCAAAAGTTCCTGTCATTTAATAAAAAAAAATAAAATCTTTTCTTTTACAGGATCCAATGAATCCCAATGAAACTGTGATAGTAATAAGATCCTTGGTACCGGGGGGAGTTGCTCAAGTTGACGGTCAGCTAATACCGGGCGATCGTTTACTATTTGTCAACGATATCACATTGGAGAATGCGACTCTAGACCAAGCCGTACAGGCATTGAAGGGTGCGCCAAAAGGTGTTGTGAGAATTGGAGTTGCAAAACCTTTGCCAATTCCTGACAGTATTGCCCAAACAAGTGAGCAAGACGATCGTTTGGAAAAAAATGGTAAGAGCCCAAGAACAAATCGACATCAGGCCGTTGACAGTCAAAAGCAAAGATGCGATTATTTTCGTGAAAGAAAAGTCAATGTCGCACAATCGCCGCCTCGTCTCGATTTAATTGAGGGACTACAACTTCAGCACAGTCTCGTTAAATCGGAGAGCTTCTAGAAAAAAAAACAAAGAATGAATAATATACCTTTTTGGCGGTCATCCCAACTTTCGGACCTCGATCCTTCGTCGTGGACCAAAAATCGAGAGATTTTCATCTCGAGTTTTCCTTTTTACACTCCTCACATTCACACTTCATTTTCACCTATAGACACGTTTATCCTATGAATGTGGTTAACGATTAGTAATCGTGTTGGTGGCAATCTACTTCTCGGAAACTCACCTGCTGTGCAAGGAGAAGATAGAAGAAAAAGGAATGGGAGACAAGAATAAAAAAAGAGAGATGTGCAATTTTAATATGCACGAGTTTTCATGGATAAACTCATTTTTAGCTACAAGTGTACTTTTAAAGAGATTAAGGTACGAGTTTAGAGCAATAAAGAGATTTAGTTAATGGTAAAAGATGTTTTTTTCATTTTCCGTTTGAAAAAGAAATCACTTAATAAAATACCTAAAATCAAGATAATTTTTCCCTTATTTAGGGTTTCGTTGCTTTGATCTAAAACTCTTATAAGGAAACTAATTGGCGTCCGTCCGTCTGTCGTATACGACGGATGACACGAGACTTCAGATTATTCGAACTATTAAAACTTGTGACTGTTGAAACTTAATACTGTTGAGACTATTGAGTCTTAAGACTCAAGGTTCTTTTTCTTCTTCTTCTATTGCTACACAATTTGGGTATGGTTCGAATAATTAGGTCAATTAAGATTCAAGGTTATTGAGACTTCTAATTGTTGAAGTAGGGTTGTAAAGTTTCATTAAATTTTGAAAAACAGAAAAGTTTCATGAAATTTTGGAAACGTTTCAAAGTTTCAAGATGACGTTGGAAATAGCGGGAAAATTTAAAAATTTGAAAGATAAAAATAAATAATTACGATTAATTACACAATTGAACTAACTTCTATTCTGCTCAGGCCTTTACCATTAGGCTCTGTCTGACGTCAGAGTCGATTCTAGGTGTGACGTCAGAGGCCTGGAGGGACAACAAACAGACGACACAATGTTATTCTTATGGGGAAGAAAATTTCTTTCCATTTTCATCAATTTTATTCATACTTATTAAACATGGAAAACGCTTGTTGACATCTAATAAAATTAAAATGTGTGTTGATAATTAATTTTGTTATAGGGGAGACTGGGGCAAACCAGTGTTGCCAAGTTAGTGGTTTTCCCACTAAATTTAGTAAGATTTTGGTCCTTCAGTAACATTTTTAGTGAGAGAAATATTTTAGTAGGAAATTTAGTATCTTTTTTTTTCTTTCGTGGTTTTTTTTAGTGTTTTTTACCTAAATGTCATTTTTTCTACGTAAATTGTATCTGAAGTATTAAAAGTGTGGTCACTAAGTTTAAACTATTCAAGTGAATTTGATTGGTATGTTGCGATGTGTTCATCAGTTCACAAATAAACAAATTTGAATTAGCGCGACACTTTTCTTTAAGCTTGTCGCCAATAACATTCATGTATATTTTTTTATTTTCCTACAAAATAAATTATCATCTAAATTCTCCAAGTAAACAATTTTAGGTTAAGAAGGGTGGAGGGTAAACATAACCTCAAAAACCTGTAAAAACTAAAAATTGTTTTTAACGCAAACAAATATATAATAAATATTAATTTCAAACAATTTTAGAAGATCTAGATTTACTCCTTTTGAAAAAAATTATTTTTTTCTAAAATATTTTGTCAATAATTATTTTTTTAACTACGAATCACGATTCCACGTGTTGCATATAACGTATTTACATTGCATATGTGTTAGCACGAAGCGCAGAACACCCAAATTCGTCTTTCGCACTCTAACCAAAGTTAAAGTTCCTTCCATCATTGTATGTTTTCAACGTAGTTGTCTCTCCTGCTTCTAGTCTTCTGGCAGCAGCTAAACAATACATTTTAAGATTAGATTAGATGGCAATTAGATGACCTTTCCAACAAGGTATTGTAAAAGGTTTTTCATTAGTTTCTTTAGTTACTAGAGCCTTACAACTGTTAACATGGCCGGTTTTCCCCAGTCTCCCCTATATTTGATACAATTGCATTTATAGATTCTCTGAATTCGTGATAGAATATAAATTTTGAGGTTAGGGGTGTTTGTTTACTAACTTGAAATCTTTTACTGCTGTGGTAATTCCCACTTAAAATATATATTTTATATCTTTTTAATAACATGCATACTGGATATTGTTTAATAATGTTGTTAAAATGTAAAATGTGATTAGTAAACAAACACCCCTAACCTCAAAATTTATATTTTATCACGAATTCAGAGAATCTGTCAATGCAATTGAACCAAATATATAAAAAAAATTAATTATCAACACACATTTTAATTTTATTAGATGTCAACAAGCATTTTCCATGTTTAAAGTATGAATAAAATTGATGAAAGTGGAAACTAATTTTCTTCCCCATAAGAATAACATTGTGTCGTCTGTTTGTTGTCCCTCCAGGCTTCTGACGTCATATCTTGAACTCGAAATATCTCGATGAACTGACACCTTAATGGAGGCTCTACTGATAGCTGAGCTGTGGCCGTACCTTTATTTTTCAACTGCACTGCGCCAGCGCAAAATGGGAAGGAAGAGGAACTTTATTTATAGTTTTACGTTCTTTCTATACAGATGCTGTAGTTAAGAAGACATGGATCATGGTCTCTGGTCATGATCGCCATGGATCGGATATTATATATACATAATTATGTGATAATGTAAATTTATTTTGAAATTTAATTTTTACAATTTGTTGTATTAATTAAAAGTTAAACAATGGCGTTACAAAGTGACAACGAGTTAAAAAGACTTTTAAACAAGCCGGCTAAAAATGCCAGCGACGAGGGTTCGATGGCTCCTCCAGTATTCGTAAGTTCTTGACATATGGTAATTTTAGGTTATGTTAATGTTTGAGTTTGTGTTTTTGTCAATTATTTCTATTATTAAAATAAAGTAAATCACTGAAAGTATTTTCTCAAAACACTGACGAAGCCTTTAGTTTTTAAAAATTGTCTTAATTTTTATCATTAAAAATTAATCTGGTTAAAATTGCTTGCATGATGCAATGCTGGATAATTTGTGTAATATGATAATAATGAATTCTTGTTCCTATTTTATGGAAAGTTTAATTGCATTTCTCTAAAATTTAGGCAAACGTTCCACGACCAAGTACTTCGCAAAATCCACAATCTGCAATGAATCCCATGACACCAGTTCATAGCACAAAAGAAGTCTTCGAACCTTGTTTACAGTAAGCTTCGTTTTTCAAAAAAAAAAAAAAAAAAAAAACTTCATTAATGTTTTTAAGGTAGTATTTTAAAAATACTGATCTAAAATAATACAAAAGTAGTCTAACTAAATATAGACAGCGTTATTTTGAATTATAAAGTGTAAAGAATTTAAATACTTTAAACTTGAAAAAATGATAAATAATTGTTTCAATTTTCAGAAATGTCGTTTCTACTGTAAATTTAGGAACAGAATTGAAACTTACTTATATTAATACTCGAACAAGAAATTCGGAATATAATCCTGCCCGCTTCACAGGATTAATTATGCGAATCCGCGATCCCAAAGCGACTGCCTTAATTTTTCGTTCTGGGAAGTTGGTTTGCACTGGTGCAAGATGTGAGGAAGATTCTTTTCTCGCTGCGAGGAAATTCGCCAGAATTATTCAGAAGCTTGGATTTCCGGTTTGTTATTAATCTATTTATTGAGTCAATCTTTCACCTATTTTCATAATTTCTTACCTTTTTCACCTTTTTTATTATTTCATTAATTTCCGGAGGTAAAAATGTAAAAACAAATAATAAAATTTATAATGTAGAAATATTCATTTAAGCTCAGGAAGGTGGGAAAATATTTTTTAGTTTAAAAATAATTTTCTCTAACATTTCTGAGCTTTTATTAATTTAGAGGACACAAAATTAAAAATTTTCATCTTTTAAATAAATAATTTAATTAGTTGAAGCTTGAATTTATAAACAATTTTCATGAGGTTCAAATTTTAATTAATCCAAATTTCAATTTAATTAAATTTTATAGATGAAAAAATCATTCTTTCCAAGACAAGTTATATTTACTTACATTATAACATGTTATACAAATAAGTTATATGTTTTTAATTGACCTGTTTTCGATAAATACACCTTTTTCACCTCTATTTTCTAGAAAAAAAGTTACTGTGAATATCAACAAAAAAAAATTATATTTTAGCATAAAAATTACTTTGAGCCTTCAAAAAGAAAGAAAGAAAATAAGTTAAATTTTATTTTTAAAAAATTAATCTTTTTACATTTTATAAAATTTTTAATTTCAGGCCAAATTTCTAAACTTCAAAATACAAAATATTGTCGCCACTGCAGATTTAAAGTTTCCGATCAAATTAGATAATCTCAATCATATGCATGGTCAATTTTCAAGTTATGAACCAGAACTTTATCCAGGTTTAATTTATCGAATGGTTGCACCAAGAGTTGTACTTTTAATTTTTGTTAATGGAAAAATCGTCTTCACTGGTGAGTTTGTATCTTCTATTTTTATGAAGTCAGTTCTGCATCTAAGCGACTGATTAAAAACACTTATTTTTTATCAAAATTCATTTATTTCAAAAATTGTACATATAAAACAAGTTGTAAATTCAGATGTTCATTACATGAACATTTTGCTTCCTCGTGGAGAAAGTATTAACATTGAAATAAACATAAAAAAATAATATAATAATATAAACATTTGAGTACCTATAGATTTGAGTTAAATTTAAAGAATTAATGGAAGTTAAAAAATCAAAATTTCACATTTTAGCTGAAATTTCTGAAAATTAATGAAAAATAATATATAATTTATAATTATTTACAATTATATCGGTTTGTTTCAATGCAAGGAACACAATTATTTTATATTTAAACTTGAATTTAAATAAATACAAAATTTTTCAGCTAAAATGGGAATTTTTTTTTTTAACTTTCATTAATTTATTAAATTTACCTCAAATGTATACTTTATATATATGTACCAATCGATTCGTTTTCATGCAAGGAATACAATTATTTCATATGTAAACTTCAATTTAAAAAGCACAAAATTTTATTGCCAAAATGTGAATTTTTGATTTTTTAACTTTCATTAATTCTTTAAATTCAAATTGAAACTATACTTTATATATACCAATCGATTTGTCTTGACGTAAGGAATACGATTTTATTACATGTAACCTTAAATTTTTCTATTTAAAAATTTTTTCGATTAAAAAATAAATTTTGGAAAAAAGACGATAAAATTTTTTTTTTTGGTATTTTTTAAAATCCTTTGGTCAGATTTGAGATATTAATATGATAAATGAGCCTACCAAATTTTATCTAAATCCATTAAAACCTGTTAAAGTTATCGTCTAAACAAAAAAGGGATCCACACACACACACACACACATCCGGACAATTGATCAGGATCTCATATAACATGTTTCTATATAGACAAAAATTTGTTTCCGCCACTTTGAATATTTTTATAAACGAAAGGACTACAAAACTTCCTCCACGAGGAAGCAAAAAGTAATTTAAAAAATGTCAAACAATTTTAAAATTAATTTTTATATATGAATGGTGCACTCTAAGAAAGCTGTATCCGACAAAACAGCACTTACACTTTTGGAGCTAAATATTAACTATTGATATTGTTTATAATTATCGTAAACTTTGTCCAAACAAGATTTTCTTACTGATTTTAACGCTATCTTACAGCGCACCCTTCATATAAAAATAATTTTCAAAAGTCGCATTCAAATCTTTTACAAAAATCATTCAATTTGACTCAAATTTCGACTTGCATGAATATTTCCCAAATTTTATTTGACATAAACCTCATTTGTCATAAAATCATTTGATATGAAACTTATTTGACATAAAATTCTTTTGAAATAAAACTCATTTGTCATAAAAATTGCATTATCTGTCCTTATCTTACACATAGAAGCATATTTGTGAGAGAAGGTCAGACAATGAAGTTTTTATGAAAATCGTTACCTATACCGACAAATTTATAGAAATGATTCTATATATTATATATATCTATTACAAATAAGAAAATTTTCTTTCCAGGTGCAAAGAATCGAAGTGATCTTCAAGACGCTTTAACGAATATTTACCCGATTTTAAAGAGTTTTAGAAAACTATAAAGTTTTTTTTAATAAATCGGAAATCGCAATGTATATATAAAATCGAAGCGTAATAAATGATTCTTTCGAAAAGTTTAAACTTTTAAACGATATAATTATTATGTTCATTTAATTTAATCTTGTTTTCTATTTTGTTAGAAGTTGAGTTTCCTCATTTGTTATTTTGAAATTTGAGCTTTTTGAAAGAATCTTTAAAAAAAAATCTCTTTAATTTCAATTTTTTGAAATACTCTTACAGTCGTAAGCATTAATTTATTTATGAAAATTGTCTTACCGTAATTTTTTATTTATGCAGTTCTACAATTTTTGATTTGTATTATTGGATTTTGTTTTGTAAACCAAATTATTTTGGTTTGATTTTTTTTGTTAAATGGCTAAGGTAAAAAAATAAAAAATCTTTATATTTAAAATATTCTCATGTATTTTTCAACTGTTTCACAAATTTTTGTACCAATCGTAAAAATAAATTTCAATAGACAAACATAATATTTTCTTTAATTAATTTAGTATAATATTGTTAATTGATTTATATATTTGATTATTGAAAATCATTTATATGGAACATTATATTAGTCATTTTAAAGAAAACAAAAAAGGAAAATAATTTTCAAAAACGTATTACAATAAACGATAAAATATATTAAAAAAATACAACATTACAATATTTTAATAGCTTTCAGAACGTGCGATGAGTGGAAATTTTATGCTGACTTTAAAGCAAGATATTTTAAGTTAGAAACTAGTAACTTAGATGGTTGGAAAGCTGATAAAATTCTGCGTGTGAAAATGTATAAATATAATTTTTTTTCTTATTTTTCACATTTATAACACCGAAAAAATTTAAAGAAAAAATTATGCAATTTTCCTACTTCCGTACTAATGTTTTTGGCTCCTAGCATAATCTAGAATAATGTATGGAAATATTTGACAATTTTACAACATAATTTCTTAGGTCTTAGCACACGGACAGAAAAATCATACTATATTCACATGAGCCACTGTTGCTTTTTTCACATAACATTATTTCATGTAAAAATCGTTTATCACGCAAGATATTTTTTCATGAAATCTTGTGTTTATTACATGAATAAACGTTGTGTAAAATTAGAAAGACACGTATACTAATTCTGATTGATCTGTAAACTTTAAACGCTTAAGAAACATGATAAAATTGCCTTCCTTCTCTCTATATAAAAGCTTGAAATCCATGCGCTTTTCGGATGGATTTCTTGCAAATGGGAAAAAACAGAAATAGTAGATGTCAAATGCTTTTGACAGTATAATGGTTTAAAGACGGGCATGTCTCCCCACTGCGTCGAGTTTTTACATTATGTCTAAAAATTTTACATTTTGTCTAAAAAAAACACGTCTCAGGTGATGTGAATAATGAGTGACACAACCCATGTGAATATAGTATGATTTTTCTCTCCGTGCATTAATTTGCATTTTTGAAACTTAAAAAATGTTTTGTGGTTCCTGAAATATGTTAAAAAAGGTCCGAGCATGTTTTCCTACAACTCAGCCGTCGATCATCACTTTTCGATTATTCGCTGCTGAGTTGTAGAAAAACATGCTCGGACCTTTTTTAACATATTTTAGGAACCACAAAATATTTTTTAAGTTTCAAAAATGCAAATTAATGCTAAGACCTAAGAAATTATGTTGTAAAATTGTCAAATATTTCCATACATTATTCTAGATTATGCTAGGAGTCAAAAACATTAGTACGGAAGTAGGAAAATTGCATAATTTTTTCTTGAAATTTTTTCGGCGTTATAAATGTGAAAAATAAGAAAAAAGTTTTATTTATACACATTCACACGCAGAATTTTATCAGCTTTCCAACCATCTAAGTTACATGTTTCTAACTTAAAATATCTTGCTTTAAAGTCAGCATAAAATTTCAACTCCTCAAACGTCAGCCGTACCGACTATTTCCGACGGTACTGTATTTTTTTATATTGATAAATATTTGTTTCCTAAAATTATGCAGGATATTTAAGAAATGTTTTGAAAATTTTTTACTCTTTCAAAATACAAGTTCATATTCAAAATATTAGATTCTAGAATATTTAAAATAAAAGTTTTTCCAAAAAGAGTTTTTACATTTACAAGTATTTTTATTAATTTGTCAATTTTTTAATATATTTTTTTTAATCTCCTTCATTAACTTGCGAAAGTATTCGGAAATTTTAAGAAACCTTTATTTTATTTAATTTAATTTAAGTAGGATATCTGTTGATTATTGATCTCCAAAAATATTTTTTTATTTTTAAACAAAAAAATTTTTATTTCTTTATGTAAAACTAATTATCTTTTTGTAATATTTCGAAAATTGCAATTTAACTTTCAATTATCTCTCAAAAATATATTTCGTAATAATTGATTAGATATATTTTGAAGTCTTCATTATTTCATCATTAATTCTCATTTCTAATACAACTCTAAAAAATTCATGAGTACATTGTAAAAATGCATAATAAAGAAAAGAACAATAAAAATTGTATAAAAATAATAAATAAAATTTAATCGCAATAAAGTAAAATTTAACAAATAAAAAATTCTCTATATTTATATTAAAAAAGGAATTAATATAAAAGAATTAGAATTATCTAACTTTATCTGATTTCAACTGGAGACAAATTATTAATCAATTGAAACTATTTAGACTTTTCGTCTTGTTGATCGCGAAAAAATTAAAATTTACACACCGATCAATATTTTTCGATTACTGTCAAGTATTCGAAAATAAAAAGAAAAAAATATTGCCCATAAAATAGAAATTTGTAATTTCCTTCCATTATTTTCAAATTCAGTTTTCCTTCTTTATCCAAATTTTCCGGGGCTGTCCTATTATTTTGATAACTCAATAAACAACGTTAATTCCTTTTTTAGCAGCGATGGGCAATTTTTCACCTTGAAAGAATGGATTTTCCTCCTGAAACGCAAATTTAAAAGGAAAATAAAATAATTTATTTTTTTGTGATTGAATGGAGAAAATGAAGACTATTTTACTACCTTCATGAAATTATTTCTGTACCTGGAATCTTTCAACAATTTGGTCGAGATCGGTACTGGAAATTTTCAAGTTTGCTTGTTCTTCTTCAGTGTCAATTTCATTTGCACAATCAAGCATGTGTTCCGTGTCGCACATGCAGTCTTGGGCGCTTTGAAAATCTCGACTGAAAGCTGCTGTATTCTCAAAATCAGTGATGCAATGATTTTCCCCTTAAAAAAATACATATTTATAACTGCTTTTTAATTTTCCTCTTAATTATTTGAATATAATGAAGTTAATACAAAAACAAATTTTAAATTTATAATTAATTTAAATCTCCCTCTAAATAAATCCAAGAAGACCCGAGTAACTGTTTCTCAGTATGTAATCAAATAGCTAAAGCTAAAATATTCAGATAATGTAGAAGCGAGTACAAAGGTAAAAATCAGGGATGGAAACCCGACTTTTTTTCGGTTACTGTCTTTTCTTTAAACATTACGGTTTCCGCATTCAAGTTTGGGTTTTTAAAGTAAAAAATTTCAGTTTTTTTGGTTGTCGGTTTCCGATTGTTTCCTTCTGATAATAATAATATGAATAAAAATATTTGTATGGATTTGAATTATTTTTATAATAAGGGTTTCGGTTTCGGTTGCCATCTCTGCCGATAACCAAAAAAACCGAAATTTTTTACATTAAAAACCTAAACTTGAATACCGAAACCGTAATGTTTTAAGAGAAAGCAAAAAATTTTATGTTATGTTTAGAAATTTTCAAGTGAAATTCAATAAAAACTTGATTCGATTTCATGTAAGTAGAAGGCTATAAAAAGAAACTTTTAATCCAAGATAAAATTGTCGTAAATATAACTTATAATTCGTTTGCTTTTACTACTTAGGTAATATACCTCTTTTCATAGCACGTACGTCACAAATATTTTTTAAATCATAGTGCTGGTAGGTTACTTAGATTTAATTCCATTAATTTAATAATAGCGAGAAATTGATGTTATACCTACATCAAATAACAAAGCGAATATAAGAAAATACTTTAAAAACCAACCCTGCTGAAAATCCCTGTACATACAAGATCTTGTGCTGAACTTGTCATTTTCTTGTACAGGGATTTTCAGTAGGGAAAGTAGTACTTTCCAACCTGGTCAATGAAAAAAATCAGAACATTATTTGACAAAATCCATCATATCTAGATGATTCATAAACCCTCCACTATTAAAGAGTTCGCAAAAGAAACTTCTAAGAAAACTTCTAAGAGCATTCTTGGAAAAATGAATCCTATCAAATTATTGCCTTAACTTCATTTTTATCAAAATTTTTGATAGAGGTTAATAAATTTATCTGCGGATAGAACTTGATAGATACTCAATACAAATCCTTTGATAGAAAATTATATCATTTTTCGTAGGATAGAATTTGATAGAATTTTTATCAAAACCTTTAATAAGGAATTATTAGATTTACTTGCGGATAAAAATTGAGCCGTTGGATTCTAGAAGGGCTTACTTCCCCGCATTGAGAAAATTGCACTTAACGAATTTCGCAATGTCTCAATAAAAAATTAATAACTTTTTTATTTTTAATCCAAAAAACTTTTTTCTTTTTTAGTCACTCGTAGGATATAATAACACGTATTTTCGTTTTTGTTTCATAGAAAAACTCGTAAAATTGACTGAGCTAGCGCGAGTTGAAGTCAAAAAAACAATTAAATTTTACGTTTCCAAAAAACCAGTTTTTCTCTTATATGTATTTCGAAACCGGAAAAAGATGGAAAGTTTTTTATTAAGAAAAAAAGATGCGCAATCGAATTCTGTACAAGAATATGCTCGAAAAATATTAAAATTCGAAAAATGAATTTTGAGTGTCCAGAGGACTTCGTTTTCCGGCCGGAAAAATTTACGTATCCTTCTAGTATCCAGCGGCTCAATTGATAGTTTTTCAATTCAACTTCTTTGATAGGAAATTATTGGATTCTTCAGCGAATAGAAATTCTTATTCCTGGTACATTAATGAAGAGTAATTGTTATATTAAAAAAAATAATAAAAAAGATATTCAGTTTTTGCAAATTGAAACACTTGCTTCAAAATGAATAATAACTTACTTGTATATCCAACTGGACAGGGATTAGGAGGAGTGCAATAGGCGGGCAAAGTATTTTCAGATTTCTCATCCTTAGCGCCCTTGAGTCCTCCGGGTTGAATTCTGTGTCTGTCGTTTCCATTTTCATCAGACTTTTGATGACTCCATAGTGTACTGTGCTGCAAATATTCTTGATCGCGAATACTCGGATTAGGATTTAGAGTCTCAATCCCATCATAGTCAATTGGCAATTCAACTGGAATTTCCTTCATCGCCTGAAAATCATTACCAATTCTTGATCCGTCTTGATATTCTAAATATGAATCTGCAGCATCCACTAGATCGTTTCCCATTTGATCGATTAATTCTCGAAGTACTAGGTCCGCATAATAATGTTCCTTTTCAAATTGAAAAAAACATTTTTTTATTTAAAGTATTTTTAATACAAATATTTGACAAATAAAATTCATTGTACCTTAATACGAGTGAATTTGATAGACTATTGAATTTCGAAAAATGCAATAAAATATATTACCTTCAATGGGGGCAAATACATTGTTGCGTGTGCAGCAGCAAAAAGAGTGAATACCACGAGAGCATAACGCATTTTGAGGTTTTGTACTGCAAAAATAATTATTATATTATTATATAAATCAAATATTAATTTCTTATACATGTATAGTCCTTCAATAATAAGTTCAAGAATTAGAATAATATGACAAAATTCTTTTGCACATTTCTCTACAATTGCCTTCCTAATTGTATTATTGTAATGAGTAGTACTGACAATAAGCTAAAGGTATTTTACCCGGATGTATTTTAAATAAATAAAGAAATCATTTTTCAAAATGAGACTACTTATAATGACATAATAAACAAAACATTCAGGACTCCTATAGAAAACAGCATAAAACTTAATTGAAAACAATAAAATAGAATAATTTTTTATCAAAATGAAAAAACAGAAAAATAAACGTAAAACTGTCCGAAAAGCAAAATAGAAGTCGATTTTTCCCTATTAGAAATTGAACTCTAGTAATTTTTGGTAGGGTTGTATTTCCACAGAGTGTAAAAATATAAAAAAGGGGGTGGAACTGAAAATAAGAAAATGAAAATTCTATTAATAATTATAATTATAATAAACAATCAAAAATAGTAAAGAGGAAATAAATAGACTTACAATTATTTTTGTAATGTCCAAATAGGAAAACAGCTGTGAAAGGTCTTTGACAGATACAGACTATTGAATCTTGATGGCGTTTTCTTTGGATGATAAGCGCCGCTGATGGGAAAATTTCTCACTAAAGTATTGATCATATTTCGGGCACAAACACGTGCAATGGATATGAGAGAGCCACCCTCGATTTTACATTTTTATTCTCTTTTCACCCCCTCATTCGAATCTTATTAATGTTCCCTTTAACGTCTACACTATACTGCATAAATATGCGGTTCACCATCTTTAGGTCTTTATTTCGTGGTAGGTCTCATGACAATTTTTATCGCACGCGATTGAGTCTGCTCACACGGGATTTCCTATAGTATTTCAATTGAAAATCACGTCCAACAAATCATTGATTTCGAAAAAAGTTAACGCAACTCTGGCCTTGAACCTTTTTCAGCCACTAACCTTCTTATTCTTCGTTTTGCAAATTCCACGCGACACTTGAAACTCCCTATTTATCTGCTATCTTCGAAATTTTCGTCTTTTCATTTTTATAAAATATACAAATAATTTAGTTTTAATAAATCAAGAAAAAGAAGATTTCTGATGCGAAAATAATTTTCAAAATTGACACATTTCTTGGACATTGAATGTTGTTTGAAAAAAAAAATGTCTACGTCATTTTAATGGGGTTTTTTCTTTGAAGAAATAACAAAAAACACATTTATTACACTAAAAAAAAACTAGTAGGTTTTACTACTTTTTAACTACTATGAGTAGTACAATAGGTCCTCAACTGAATTTAAACGATTCTATTAACTATATAAAAATAGTTAAACCAATTAAAAATGTAATTGGTAGAATGACATTTTGTGATTGTATTAACTCAATTTAAAAATGTTAAAACAACTCAAGATGTAAGTAGTAGATTTTACTACCTAAAGTGGTTCAAATAGGCTTTAAGAACATTTATGTCGTAGAATTAAAAAATTCTTTGCGATTAAAACTATCACTTTAAGTAGTAGATTTTACTGCACTATGCAATTAAACAACTTATAATATATAATTAAAAGATGAAAAATTTACAAGTCAAAACTTAAAAAGGATAGTTATAGCAACTAATAAAAGTAGTAAAAATGACTACTGTAAATAATTAATTACCAATTGGACAAGCAGAAAGTAATCTTCGAGTAGTTTGCAGACTGTCGTAGAGAGCGTGCGTGGTTAGTCGGTTAAGGTATGGGTTAGCGAGCGTTAGGCTCGAGGGTTCAATTCCCGTCGGTTAGAAATTTTTTTCATTAGGGCATAAAATAAGCGTCAGTATAGGAGAGAGGATGAAAAAGTCAATTCTACTGATAATAAACAATTATAAATAAAAAATAATTTTATTTTACTATTTTAAGTAGTAAAATCTACTGCTTAAAGTAGTAGTTTTAATTGCAAAAGATTTATTAATTCTACAAAAAAATGTTCTTAAAGCCTATTGAACCACTTTAAGTAGTAAAATCTACTACTTACATCTTGAGTTGTTTTATCATTTTTAAATTGAGTTAATACAATCACAAAATGTCATTCTACGAATTACATTTGAGTGTCCCGATCAAATAACTCGACCGACGCTCGGACGAACGCTCTATTACCAGTCAAGTAGCAGTGACAGCCTGTGGGCGGCTCACTGCTACCCGACTACCATTAGAGCGTGTGTCCGAGCGTCGGTCGAGATATTTGATCGGGACACTCATTTTTAATTGTTTTAACTATTTTTATATAGTTAATAGAACCGTTTAAATTCACTTGAGGACCTATTGTACTACTCAGAGTAGTTAAAAAGTAGTAAAACGTACTAGTTTTTTTTCAATGCACTTTTTGCTTTAGAATTAGTTAAATTTTACTAATTTTTAGTAAAAGTTACTAATAATTAGTAAAATTTTACTAATTCATAAGCAAAAATTGAGTCACTAATTCAAATTAGTAAACATTTTTACTAATTCAGATTTAGAGAGTAAAAAATGTCATAAAATGCTATAAATGTATTTTCACATAGTTTTTTAAAAATTTTAAATATGGCAACCAGGCCGAGCCCTGGTCGGGCCCATAGAAATTTACTAACCCGGGGCCAGAACAGGAAATTGGATCGGGGGCAGGTCAGTAATCGGGATGAAAAGTGGCAATTTCTGCATAGGTAAGTATTACTCGTTATTACAGTAAATTGAAACAACAGTGCGTAATTCTTTAACTAATATGTTGCTCATGTCCAAATAATGTTTTATAACGGGGAAATTTTTCAAAAAATCATTCTAAATAATACAAGTATTTTAATACTTATATATGTGACATTTAGGTTAAGTACTCTAAATGTCAAATTATATGCATTTTTACAATGTAAATTGATTTAAACTTGTATTTACAAGAAAGAAATTACTTTGCTTTATTAATAAAAACCTTATTTTGTACACAAGAACATGTATAAATTGAGTAAAATACAATTTTTTAATTTGAATAAAAAAAAAATTTGATAAAATTATAAAAATATATATATCTAATATATCAGTTTCTTAAATTTAAGTATACTTTATGTATATTAAAACTACGAACATTTTTAACAGTGTAGATTCGATACTTGGGAGATTAAAAAGATAGTATTGAGCCCAGAGTCAGCCGAAGTTCGGAAAATTGAAGAAACTGACCATCGGTACCAAAATTGGTACAGTAACGGGACGATTTGAACTCTACTTCTGTCCCAATAACATATTTGCCGTATTTTCGGTAGACATTACTGGGCCAATGTTGTCCGCATTGGCAGTCTTAGCATTTCGCTTTTATAGAAATAAATAAAGTTTATTAATAATAAAGTAGTAGTTAGAATAACTTTTTGCTAAAATAGAACACCTTCCCCATAAATACATTTTGAGAAGGCCTGAAGCACAGTTTAGGAAAACAGTTTAAAGCTGGAGTTGTGGCTTTAGTTGACTGAGACTCATTTTCACGAGGGGAGTGAACCGAGGTCGTAAAACGTAATGTGCTTTGAGTCAGGGTTGCGTTGATCAAAGAGACCAGTCTCCTCCCACCTGAAATGTGTATTATCTTGATAGGCAGGACGTTTTAGTGACGATACCCAAACCTATCATTAAGATCCACATAGATACTTATCTCTAAGCTTTTAAATATTTTTATCGATTTATATAATGCCGAATTACCATTTATTAAAATTTTTATTTAACCGCATTTCCATTTAGCAAATTGTTTATTCTTTGAGACTCTAAGAGAAAATATTCTGTTCCTACGCTTTCCCAGGTGCGAATGTCGGTCGGCCGCTAGAGATGGTTGGTTGGCCCATGGTCGGCCCAACTAGGGCTGCACGAGAGTCGGCCGCCCTAGTTGGGCCGACCATGGTAAATATTGTCACCCAAAGGTGGCCCGACTATGGCTGCCAACGTCGGCAGCCCTAGTTGGGCCAACTGTGGGGGATAATGGTCGGCATGACTTGGGCAGCCACAGTTGGACCAACCTTGGCCGCCCTAGTTGGGCCGACTATGGAATCGTCGGTTGACATGACTTGTGATTTAGCAATCACAGTTGGGATATACTTTAAACAAAATGGTGATTAATAAAACTGTGGCAGCCAAAATTTTAAGAAACCCACTTCTTAATGGTCGGCTAAATTTCTTTGAAGATGCAACTTATGAGACTAATTTTTCCTTAGACTCTCATGTAAGCGTAGGGTAATGGATAGCGTGTTATAGATTTCGGTGCGTTAGGTTGCGGGTTCGATCCTTGCGAGCGATAAATATTTTTAAAATGTATGTATGCGTTTAGTGTTTAAATACCTAAAATAATTGTATGATGAATTTAGAATAATTACTCATACACTACCATCCGAAATTGTGCGAACTCTGCTTTTTCAACAACTATAAAACTGTTCAAATCTTCAAAAATATTAAAACTAAAATTTTTTTCTCTTTATTTTATTAAAGTTAATAAAATTCTGAAAGAAATGACACCTTGACAAAGAGAATATGTTAATTTTTCAATTAGATATCTAAGAAAAACCCAATTTTCAATGTTTTTACTATTTTTTTTATTTCTCTGGCAAAAATTAATATTTTTAAACGTTCTTAGGCTCATTGAAATCATATTTTGTTATGCAATTCAAATTATATAAAACAATTCATGTACACATTCTTCGCTAGCGTATGCAAACCGTGAAAGTTGGCTCATAAAATGTCAAAAAATTGTGATTAATATTTATATGACAAAAAATGATCAGTAAAATGTATAAATCTTAAATTTACTTACATAAATCAGAGAAGTTTAGAATGATATATTTACTTGATTTTTAAACATTATATTTTATTGTAGAATTAAATTTAAATTTTTTGACATTTTATGAGCCAACTTTCACGGTTTTCACGGGAAGAATGTGTACATGAATTGTTTTATATAATTTGAATTGCATAACAAAATATGATTTCAATGAGCCTAAGAACGTTTAAAAATATTAATTTTTGCCAGAGAAATAAAAAAAATAGTAAAAACATTGAAAATTGGGTTTTTCTTAGATATCTAATTGAAAAATTAACATATTCTCTTTGTCAAGGTGGCATTTCTTTCAGAATTTTATTAGCTTTAATAAAATAAAGAGGAAAAAATTTTAGTTTTAATATTTTTGAAGATTTGAACAGTTTTATAGTTGTTGAAAAAGCAGAGTTCGCACAATTTCGGACGGTAGTGTATATGTTATTCGTATAACAAATTTTTATATTTTATTTTTTATTGGTCGGCAAAAATTTTAATGCCAAAGTCGGCCAACCTTTGGCAGCCATAGTTGGGCCAACCAAGTCGACCCTAGGTCGGTTGACGTTATCAATTCGCTAGTTGGCCCGTCCTCTGGCTACCCAAGGTGGGCCGACTGAGCACATGGTTGGCCCAACTTGGGGCCGACCGCCAACTCGCACCTGGGTCCTTGATAATCTTCAATTTTTCCAAGACACTAAATCACCCTTAATATTCTTCAATAAAATGTGATTTCTTTAAATCACTGATAGTACCTACACTTAGAAATGTTCTTTTTTTGCATAAAGTTCGCTAAATATTTTAGTTCATATGCAGGAAATATT